GTCACCTGCTGTCCGCGGTCAACGGTCACCTAAAATGCTTCCTGAATCTTAACCTAGGTCATCTTAAGCGGTCAGCCAGGTGAAACGGCCATACAATCTTCTGTCATTTATTTGTAAAGATGACACGTGTCACGGATTAACATAAGCTACTTGTCGGGCGCTAGATATTAACACAAACCACAACATTTCAAGAATTTTTTTTATTTTGTATTGTATTGTATTTCAAGAATTTGCATAATTGTTCATCCGTGTTGTAATTACAAACGTTTGGAACGTCTCCACGCACTTGCAATTCGTTCTTTTGAGTTACTGTACGCTAGTTTTTTTTTTTCAATTTACCGATTTTAAGAAATTAAAAAAGAAGAAAAAATGCATTTTTGATGGTGGAAAGAAATATTTTGATTTGTTTTCCTTTTTATCAGTTTATCCCGATTCAGATAAATTTGGTGCGTACATGGTACTTACCAAAGAAATGAAAATGAATTACATTGCCGTTTGTCTAAATCCCTCAGTCATAAATTCATAAAAACACTTGATCCATGTGTGAAAATAAAAATGCATAAATATAATGATGTCATGTTAAATCACACCCATTAAGTTTACACACTAGATGACCTCTAAGAGGTAACTAGCAGGGCTCTTCAAAAAAATCTTTGATGTTTACAAACCTGTAGCTCTGGAACATCAAAGGAAGTGCCGACACTTAGATGACGTGTACGCAAATATTCTATTGATCAAAAGTTAGATATTTTTTTGTGAAGAAAATATTACGCATTTTAAGTTATTGTGCAAGAATATAATATGGGATAATTAGTTTCAATTATTGACATAATAAAACGTGAGTGCATTTGTTTATCTGTGTTACATTCATGTAACGTACATGTTAAACTATGAATGGCATACGTTTGTAAATGGTAAACAACTGATGATGAATCACACTGGTTTATTTATACTTAAATTAGATTTATTTTACGAAGAAATTTAAATGAATAATCTATTTGGATAAAAACTGGATCCTCCATTCAGCAGCCACCTGTCTTAAGCAGCCAAAATGACTGCATCTCTTGGCTGGCTGCTTAAGACAGTTTTGACTGTATATACCTTTTAAAAGTCTCTCTTTTGACGACAGAAGAACCTATTCGTCACATTCACGTGTGTCAGTGTTTGTCAGTTACTCTTTACAAAAAAAAAGAATGAAAAAAATACCTTATAACTTTACAACACTCGCGTTATTTAAAGTGTAACAATTTCCGTAGCATACAAAAGTTTTTTTTTTTGTTTTTTTTATTTTAACTCTTTCTCTCACTAAGAGCACATAAATTTCTTATCAATTTCGCCATTGTGAAATAGAATAAAACACATTTTAACTACATAGGATAAGATGAGCAATACTTTAAACATCTTCAAAACGAAACCAAAAATATTATTTTTCGACAGGACTAAATCTACGTGTCGTGCACTATTGCGATACATGTAAGTGTAATTGCTTTAAGAAACATTAGCTTTTTTCCACAATCTCTCTGTGAAATATCAACAATAAAAAACTAAATTGTAAAAAGAGTACGGTAGGCATGATGCTTTGCATTTGCAACAGATTCTAAAATCTGCTTTAAACTGTAGTCCTTTTTTTCGACTTGGAACAGGTGCCAGAATTGACAATTGAAGAAAAATGTAAGATTTATGTCATTCATAATAAAAATATGAACATATTTAGGTAAAGTTTTGCCTTCCGTATTCCCTGTTGATGTAAACCTGACTTTTTAATCATGGTGTAGACCAGATAACGCCAGAAAACGAAAGAGCTTGCAACTGAAGCCCGCTCAAATACAAGCAACTTCCAAGGTTATGCAAGGTGTTTGATAAAACGGCTTATAAACTGACGACGATCCAATATTCTGTGGAAAGCTTATATTTTTCCCCATAGACTGGGGCATATCCCAAAGAAATTTGCACAGAAATAAAATATTTACGACTATTTTCAATTCCGAATCGAGCAACATTTGTCTTGGAAATGATGCCGAAAATGACGCCATAGTCACGTGGTATGGCTACACTGTTGTATATGTTAATGTTTCTTTGAGTTAACCTTTTTGCAAACAACTTTCTATTATCATTCTCCGATAGTTCTTAGCGAAAATTGAAGGCTTTATCGACTACCGCATATAAGCCAGAATTGTCGACTTGCGTGATCTCAGTTGAAGAAGCAAGAATTGTCGACTTACATTTACTTGTCCAAATATCGCTTATTTGATACGAAAACTAATCGTAAAGATTGATAAATGAGGGCATTCCTTGCATAAAATTAGGGTGTTACTATTTTAAGTATTTATATAAATAGCGACCAATCAGGCTAGGGGTTTTCCTTACGTCACGCACTTACTGCATGCACATGGCAATTAACTAATTATAGAACGGCGTAGAAACTTAATCAACTAATGAATATTAATTAAGCAGTAACATGGTCAGCTGTTTTCTATGTGATAATTTTAATTTGCTTTTGGGGTACATGTTTGTTTTGGTTTTTGACACAGATTAATTAAATACTTAGCCCTTGCAATAAAAAAAATTACAATAGCAGCTGGGACTCTGTTATGAAATTAACCGACAAATAAATATTTGTCATCGGCTAACGTGCATTTGACCTATTATTTTATTAATCAATCAGCAACAAGATTGCATTTGAGAAAAATGCTATGCCACCGCATGGTTCAAATTTCATAGCTGTACATCAAAGGACAAGAAAGTAGGTCACATCATCAAAATCTAGGTCACCTGATATCAAAGTTCAATTTTACAACTAAAACTGTGCACGTGGTCAAAATGTCATTGCTGTACATCAAAGGACAAGAAAAGTAGGTCACTGTCCCCTTGGCAAGGCATAATTTTGACCCAAGGTTTAATCAAAACAATTTTGATACAGGTCCACCAAATAACATTTCAAGTCAAATATCTAAGCTATAGCTTTCTCCCATTCAGAAAACATTTGTTTTATTTTCTGTTTTTACTATGTGTACATAATGAGAATCACTGCCCCCGGGCAGGGCCAATTTTGACACCAGGGGAAAATTTTGAACAACTTTGGTAGAGGACCTATAAATGATATTATATATCAAACATCAAAGCTCTATGCCTTGTACTTTCAGACAAAAATATTTTTCATTTTTTCACTATATGTACATAATGAAAATCAATGACCCCCAGGGGTGGGGCCAATTTTGACCCCAGGGCTATAATTTGAACAATCTTGCAAGAGGTTCACTACACAATGTTTCATGCAAAATATCTTAACTCTAGCCTTTGTAAATTTAGAGAAGATGATTTTTTAAGTTTTTACTATATACATATAAGGAAAACCTATGGCCACCGGGGGCGGAGCTAATTTTGACACAAGAGGCAAAATTGAATAACTTTTGTAGAGTACCTTTAGATGATATTATTTAACAAATATTAAAGCTCTAAGCCTTGTACCTTCAGACAATAAGATTTATTTATTTTTTACTATATGTATATATTGAAATCAATGACCCCAAGGGTGGGGGCAATTTTGACCCCAGGGCTATAATTTGAACAATCTTGCTAGAGTTTACTACACAATGTTTCAAGCAAAATATCTAACCTCTAGCATTTGTCAATTGCTAGAAGAATTTTTTTTGAAGTTTTTACTATAAGTTTTTACTATATACATATAAGGAAAACCAATGACCTCCGGGCGGGGCCGATTTTGACCCCAGGGCTATGATTTGAACAATCTGGGTAGAGGTTTACCAGACAATGTTAATGCAAAATATATAAGCTCTAGGCCTTTTGGGTCTTTACAAGAAGGTGTTTTAAGTTTTTACTATATGTACATATAGTGAAAATCAATGACCCCGGGGCGGGGCCGATTTTGACCCAAGGGCTATAATTTGAACAATCTTGGTAAGGGTCTACCAGACGATGCCTTATGCAAAATATCTAAGCTCTAGGCCTTTTGGGTTTTTACAAGAAGATTTTTTAAATTTATTCTTATAATTCCTTTTGGTTGCCATGGCAACCAGATTTCTGCATGGAATGAAATTCTTTGAACAACTTTGGAAGCCCTTCACCCAAGGAACAATCCTGCCAAGTTTGGTTGAAATTGGACTAGTGGTTTTTCACAAGAAGATTTTTTAAGTTCACTATATAATCTATATAACACACACACAAACACACACACACAAACACACACACACACAGGTGAATCGCTATATGCCACCGCATCGCAGATGCTGCGGTGGCATAATACCCAAGGAACAATCCTGCCAAGTTTGGTTGAAATTGGACTAGTGGTTTTTCACAAGAAGATTTTTTAAGTTCACTATATAATCTATATAACACACACACAAACACACACACAAACACACACACACACAGGTGAATCGCTATATGCCACCGCATCGCAGATGCTGCGGTGGCATAATAAAAACATTTTATTTTTCCATTTTAACTATGCAATTTATATAACAGTTGTTAAATGTTGAAAGAGACCAATATGTAATATGTAATAAAAAAAATAACAAGAACTGATCCATGACCCAATTAATTTATGATTGTCAACATGCGAAAGTACCTGATTGAAAAAAAGTTAAATGATGCTTTAATTAATCTGTATTTTATAGATCTGCTTAAATTTAATATTTGAAATTCCATACCAGCCTACCTTGATACTTATTTTAGGGAATAGCATATACAATGAAAATCCGTGGTATACCGCGGTTTATACCGTGGTTTTTAGGAAAAAACCGTGGTAAACCGTGGTATTTTCTTTATGGCGGTACCCAACTCTAAAAGTCAGTCAATATGCAAGCTTTTCAAACTGTAATGTCAAAACAGAATATTCAAGTTTTTTTCTATAAAAACAGGATTCATTTTTATCTTGTGTTATGAATTTATCATATTTCACCTTTGACTTGTAATTATAGAAAAAACTTGAATATCCTCTATTTAGTGGTAAAATGAACTGAAATAATTAGAAACTTTACCTTGCCAGCTGTGGTAGCACATGTCAAAGAGCAGTGTATTCCATCATACTTTCCAATAGTGACCATGTGAGGGTTTACTTTATGCTTGAAATTGAGGGTGAAAATTGGCACAAGCATCTTGAATCCTTAAAATAAACATGAAATATTCAATTATTTCAAACTTTACTAAAAGGGTATTACATACTGTTTTCGTTATATATCAAAGCGATATTTTCAAGAATTTTAATAATGAATCACATTAATTTACTAAAATAGGTTTTAATATCTTTAATATCTTTAAGCAATGAGTCACATATGGTAATTCATTAAATTTACTGAGTGCATGGTATGGTATTGATGAAATGCCAGTTTTAATTTCATTTCGATGGGACAGGGCAGATCCTGATACATCGATGAATAATTACACCTCTAAATACTCAGTAACTTTTTTAACCATTTTAACCAATCTCCACACAGTGATCTCCCCTTAATTCTTCGGCGTAGATCTCTGCCACCAAGGTCCCGATATATCAGAATTTCTGATATACTATATTTTTTCAAAAATTGTTTTATCTACTGCTTTTATCTATCAGATAAGTTTTCTCTCATTTATTTAACAATGTTTATGAATAAATAAATAAATAATATGAATATTTAGAAATAATTCTAAAAATTATGAGATTATTTTCTACCGAGACGATATTTTGATATTTTATATTTTTTAGCTTCTGAATTTATTTTTCGTTATTTTGTATACTTACGATAATTTTTTGATAAACTATATCGAAGGTAGGCACCAAAAGTTAAAAATAAAACAGAAAGAGAAAAATAACGTAAGATTTTCTTTGTAACGGTCGATATTTACATTTGAATTTCGACGTTACGTCATGTGACTTTCATCATCATGTGACGTCTTTGAAGGTAGTGATTACAATTCTGCCAAGGGAGGTAATCACTGTGAGGAGTTTGCATTTTAACACAAAGGGCATCTGTCTCAGCCATAAACTTGGTTTCATTCAGAATTTAAATTGTATTTAAATGTAAACACAAGCAAAAGCAAATCAATGGTGCAAACAAAGCAATAGGAACTCTTCATGTATTGGTTGGACAAGAATGAGATTTTTGGGACTGAGACTTGGGATTTTTTAATTGATCTTGAATTTTTTAAAAATTGAAATTGAAAGTTTTTTATTGACAGTTGATGGGTAGGGGATTAGGGGAGCTGATAGTCCAGTATATCAGACATTATGTATGGTGGCTGATTTGTTCCACTTGTGTTTTCGCCCTTCGACCCGGCCAAGAGAAAACTCGAGAATCAACAAATAAAAAAGGTGGGAGCGCGGAGCAAAAACACGTTAATTAGCAGGGATGCTAATTAGAGTTTTTGCTCTGTGCCCCCATCATTTTAATTCTTAAATCTCATTATATTTATCAAACTTAAAGTGACGCACCCCCGCTAATAAGCATGTTTTTGCACCATGCCTTCCCCCCCCCCAGTCCAATATATTAGACATTACAGGCTTGTTATAGTTTTATGTTGGTCAAGCCTGACGTCTAATAGTTATTGCTCATAAACGCATAGCATTTTGAAAAATTAAAAAAATGCCTGTTGACTTGCCTTTTAAGTTTTATTCAAAAGCTTATCTTCTGTTCTTTCAGTTGCATGGTCTATCATTAACAAAAACTCTCAAACAATGTACTTATCAATTAAAAATAAAATATAAATATCAATCTATTTCGCTCATCGGCCATACTGGTTAAGTAAGTAAAGCGTTTTACAGATTGATTCCAATTTTTTGAACGGAAAAATATATTCGAACACACTGACGGTGCATGGGCAATTATTTCGTTGAAAAATATTCCGTTAGAAACTTCTGACTCATTTAAACGCTTGCATTTGAATTAGCCAATCAGATTTTGCGCTCTGTATGGCGGCCATTTGTATATCGGCTGTACAAGTAATTTAATTAAATGAGAGGATTTAATCATGACTTTTCGGATGTGACAGTTAAATTATTTTGTTAAAAGGTATTTATTTTTTAGTTTTGTTCATAAATAGGTCAAAATTAATGTGAATACACGCTGTCTTAATTGTTTAAATGCATTAGATCTAAATCGATGTCTAATGTCAATTTGTTTGCCACACGATTTTGCAAAGATCTGTTAAGACCTAACGTAACATAGAAAATGAAAAATATCAGATTAATGAATGATAAATATGAAATAGGTTATAGGTCTTATAATTAGGACTACCCCCCCCCCCCCCCCCCCCCCGATATTTCAACCTGTTAATTCTAGACTTTTTTGCTTGATGGGCTTTCAGGACAAAACACGAATGGCACAAATCAGCCACCATTCTATTGCTGGGAACGATCACTTATTGACTTAAAAATAACGAGATAACGGTGAAAACCATAGAACCTCTGCTTACTTTTCTCAAAATTATTCGTCGGCAATCAAAACAATTTTTACCGGAAGTTAAATGCAGAGGTGAAAATTTCAAAATTGCTTATTAGTCAAATCATTGAAAAAAAAGATCAGTAAAATACTGGATTAATTGAATTGTATATAACGAATGAAAATACTTATTTAATGAATAAATTTCTTATTTAATATAACTCTTGACGTATACCGTCATAAAAAGATCAGCAGTTAATGGCATTCGTTTTAGGGTGAACACCACTATATATGTTGTACATAAGGCGGTTGTATACTATAACACTACAAGAAAGCATCAAATGGCGTCCAAGCAAGAAATGCAGTAAGTAACTTCGTGCAAGACAAATATATAAAAGCTGCTTGACATTGGTGATAAAAAAGAGCTATTGTAAATTGATTCATTTGGAGATCAATTTACTATTTTGTTGAATTGCTTCAAAAAACTAGTCTGACGTACGGTGACCCACCAGTGTGTTTACATTCCTATCAATAAACCCATAACACCTCATGTTAAAACTGCAGACAAAGGTTTAATGTTAAATGTCACAGTATTGTTTTTTTAGGGGGGAAAGGGTTATAATAATGTATTTTTATTTCTATGGACCCCATTGGAAATAAGCTTTTAGCTTAAAGTTACATTAAATACATTTCATAAAAAAAGAAATAGCGCGACATTTCATTAATAAATTGGGTTTCATATCGACTCCAGATCTTATTTTGGTGTCCAGACAACCAAAATGAGTTTAATGAGCATACAAATGTACAACCTCATTGTGGCGAATTCGGAAGTACAATTTCTGTTTGCATGAGAAACTCCGCCTTCAGATCATCCGTACATCAATATTAAATCAAAAAACATGACTATAAGTATCAGTCCTAATTTAACGGTATATTTCCGCATTGTAACGGATATTTTCATACAAATTTAATCTTTTTTTATGAGATGATTGTTTTTTCTGAACCACAGGCCTAGTGCACCGTGAAGCTTAAACGGTAAAAGTGTGTTTGCACAAGAAAATCTTATATTTGCTGTGTTCCGGATAGCAACTATAACACCGTGACGTAGTGCATATAGTCTTCATTTGCATGTTAAAATACGTATACGAACTTTAGTGGAATTAGTAACGATTCGCCACACTAACGATTCGCCACATAACGATTCGCCACAGAGTAATAACGATTCGCCACAGTTAAATAACGATTCGCCACAGTATGATTATAACAATGATTTTTTAGTTATCAACAAACTTTTTCCTTTTGTTTTAATAATTTGACAATGACAATAATTTAATAATGTTTCTTAACACAAGTAATATGAAGTTAAGGCCCCCATCGCGGATTTTCAATTTATCAAAGTAACATTATTACAGGAGTACATTAACAAGAAAGTAATTATATGTTGAAATAATTATTGAATTACTTATAAACATAATTATATGTCAATTAATATTTATATATAAATACATAGTTCATATATTATAATATATGTCAAATATTTAAACAAAGTATTGCAAAAACATGTGTTCATACGAAAATTGATTTACGATAATTGATTAAAGAACGCATATGTAAAACATTATGTCTTTTAAGTTGAATTGATTTATGTCACATAAAACAGAAAGGCTGCCAAAAATGTTCTCGGCTAATTATCCATTGTTTAGTAGTCTTTGAGACCACATTTATTTCGTAGACCATATGCATCTATGACATTTGAAATTTTATTTCCAGTACTGTTTATTAAATGACATTAAAACAATAATATAAATAAATAAAGATAAAATACCCACATAAATTTGTAGACATTTTTTTTATCTATTTTTATAACTTTAGCCATTACAATTTAATACCTTCAAATTGATTTAATGTCTAGAAAAAGAAAGCTGTAGACGCAAACGGGATTAGTTAACTTTCAAATCCTTTAGAATGCTGGAAAATCTTTCAAGATTTTTTTTCATGAAATTCAAAAGGTGGTCAAATTCAAATTCCTTCCAAAAGTTCGCAATAGTAATATTTATGTTGTAATGCGCTTTACACGTTCTGTTTGTATTCGTAAGAAGTTCTTCTAATTGTAGGTATGGCTATAACTTAACTAGGCAATGAAAACATCTACTAGAAAAGACCTTAAAGGTAGTAGAAGGCATGACTTATCCATTTAAAAAATGTCATATTTAAAGATTGTCCGTGTACAAAACATTACAAACATAATGGCATTTAAATATATTCAGAAATTCAAAGACAAATTACAAGACAAACTAAATATACGTACACGTATATTTTTCCAGTTTATATAAATAACGAAGTTATAAAATGTGTTATGTAATTTTGTTAATAAAATATTTGGTTTTCGTGTGTTTTTATTCAATAAAATGTGTATTTAGTGTAATTAATTTATGTAATTAACAAATGAAATATAAAATGGAAAAAAGTTTTCCATCAACAGTTTGAAAACAGATGTGAAAAAAATTTGTATTTGAACACGTGGCGAATCGTTATTTAACTGTGGCGAATCGTTATTACTCTGTGTCGAATCGTTATGTGGCGAATCGTTAGTGTGGCGAATCGTTACATTACCCTTTAGTGTTACCGTGGGGTTTTCCTTTTAAAATCCTAATTTATGAACAATATTTGATGAGATTTACAACGATACTGTTAAAAAGGTTAATGAAACTGTAGAATGCTTGGTTTCTAGGCCGACGGCAAAAATATTTTAACATATTTATTTAGTGTAGCTTTAATGGTCTATCCATAGGTGCATAGTACCTTTTATTATTTTTTTATGACAAAAGTGTGCTCTTTTATGCTGTTTTATGATCTCATTTTATATATATGATTTATATATGTTATCTCTTAATTGTATGATTTTATATTTTGTATCATGTGCTATGTTCCTAAAATGTATAAATAAAAATATAAATAAAAAAAATTTCAGCAAATCAACATTCCACTCCAACCACCATAAAATTGATTGCCTTGGAACAAAATAGAATCAACTACTTATATAGCAAAGATTTGGGAAATAAGGGTCAATTTAGAAATTCACGGTGAAGTGCAATCAGGGCCATAAAAAAGATAGAAGCAGTTGATTTACTGGAAAGTACTTATGGAAAAGACAATTTCAGAATGATAATATTATGATCATATAGCAAATCGTAAAAAATTGCCTACCTTTATACTTATAATATCTTTTATGTAAATTTATAAAGAGTTCAATTTATTGTTAAATATGTTTGCATTTCATTTCCGGCAAAATTCTCCAGTTCATTATTTATTACCATAGAGCGACACAAATGACCGTTTTCTTTATAAAACAATTTCACCAAGCAGAATTTCTAAAAAGTTGCGATTGCCCTTTCACACAATCTGAATTCATTCCATTTAAGGCATAGCACTTCAGCGCAGATGCCAATAATGTTTTATTAAAATCAATGCAGTACAGCACCATCCATCCATCCATCCATCCATCCATCCATCCATCCATCCATCCATCCATCCATCCATCCATCCATCCATCCATCCATCCATCCATCCATCCATCCATCCATCCATCCATCCATCCATCCATCCATCCATGCATGCATGCATGCATGCATGCATGCATGCATGCATGCATACATACATAATTAGCAAGCCTATAATCAGATAACGGCAGTACAATGTATATTAAATAGAGAAATCTTATTTTACAGATTTCGATGTCCATATGCACACGTACTTGCGGCTTTCATCCATCAGTTGATTCAACTTTAATTTCAAGTTGATTTTTAAGTTGATTTCAACTTACAAAGGAGGAAAATACTTAGTGGTTTAAAGCCTAAAGCCAGCATGGCCACTTCCGGGAAATGACAACTGGAGATGTCAATATCAAAATCTTGCATAAATATCATTAGATGTACAATTTGTATGCCATTTCGTATGCTGAATATGTGGTGGAAGACAAATCTAGCGAATTCCATAAATAGAATCAACGCATTAAGTCGGTACGGACTTGAAACACTAGAAGTTGTTAAAGTAGAGTAGTAACCGGATTTTGGATACTAAGTGCATTATACAGTGTCATAAGTGTTATAACTGACCAAAAAAATCGTACCTACGCGTTTCTGTTAATCAAAGTAACTGGTCATCTTCCCAATAGTCTATTTTTGCATGTTGCCTGTTATGTCGGTCAAAAGATATACATAGCTTATGTTTTGTGAAATGTTGTATACAGTCCAACAATAATTACACCCATAAACACTTTCAATAAATTATATGATCTACGTAAATAACCGAGTGAAAAGTATGAGTTGCTTCCCTTATCTTCGAGTAAAATCGATACCGCTTATGCTAAAACAATACAAAATAAGCCTTTTTTAAACCGCTAGTTTGTTGTGATTAAATGCCTAATTTGAAAATGTATTACACCGATAGAAAGCTTTGGATCTTAGCTTCATCACAATATAAACTTCAACATATCTTTTGACTCCAATGTATTTAAATTAACTGTTAAACCTACCATATGTTAGACCATTTTACATAGGATTTGTACAGTGAATTTCTTTACTCGAAATAATACTGATAAGAAGATTACTGGAGGTTACGTACCACGGAGGATACGTACCAGGAGGTTACGTACCATTTTTGGAGGTTACGTACCACTTATATATTTTGGAGGATACGTACCATATACATAATTTATATAAAATACAAATAATATAGAGCATAACAATTATAAAAAAGACTGAATTATAACTTTAATATTACTTTTTATAAATCACATAAGAGCAATTAATATAAATGCAAACGTTTTACCTATATCTATGTATGTTTATCACATATTCAGAAAATGAGTAATCTAACAAATCACAAACAAATTGCAAACTTTTGACATATGAGTGAATACACTGATTTTATCAGTGTGGTATTATATATTTATCACAACTCTGATCCGACTTTGACGTGTAACTCAAACTTTAAATGAGTGAATACTGTTTTGCGGCTCTACCAACTGAGCTATCTGGCCGCTTACATATCTTCTCGACTAAATAGTGAAGAGTTCTTAACCGTGACATATATTCATACATATTTAATCTCATTACAAAATACAATTAATGCGCGAATCATACATGTGAACTTTTTCTGGTGCCAAGTAGGGAGATTTGACCCTAAAAGTAGGTAGATTGAGTCTGTTGGGAGATTTTTGGAAACCGGACTTTTTGCGTACAGGAAGGTCTTAACACACAATAATTAAAAGCATTAACTACAAGTTCTTTAAAAACATTTTATTTTGCATGATAACTAATTAACAACCCAATTTTATCATTAAAAAACTTTCTTTATAAAACATACATGTTTTTTTTCCCACTGCACTTGTGCTTTGATGTTTATGTAATTTACTCAACTTTCACTTACACACTTTACACAATTAGAACTGTCTTTATATGTCATACATGTTTTTTGACTTCACTGTACACAAGTGTTGGCTAAATGGCATACACAGCCCATATCAGGCACATCAGGTTGCTTCTCAGACAGAGTTGTGACGGCCAATCATGACACTAAGGTTGTCAGACCCATACCCAATGCATTGCTTCCATGGTATATTCTGATCCCTGAAACAGAAAAAAATATCAATTATCATACCTAATATATTATTCATCATTTCATAATTTAAAACAGTTTAAATTGATCCTTCCAATTAGATGTAAATCATAGCCTTACAGAATATTACATTTTGTAGACACCTGTCGTGGATGCGTGTTAATCCCCATGACAATTAACAATTTTCATTCAAAATTACATAATTGGCATTAATTGACAGTGTATTTGTTTAACAATAAACGGTACTTACCAGATTTTAGTCTCCCTCGCATGTGCCTAATTACTGTTATCAGCAATTATAAACCCCGAAGTCAAGCTGTGAAAAACTGACAATATACAAACAAATTTGCCGATACCAAGGTCAAGGTAATTAGACTGTGTTACATTTTTAGTGAAATAGACAGACTGTGGATGGGTAAAACAAATCGATATTGGTAAACCAGTCAATAAATGTTTACACTGATCATGATTACCGAAACGCTTGTGTTGTAAAATTTTTATTGCTTTTGAAATGAAATATCGGTAGTTTGTAAAGCCCGAGCGGTAGGGGGGTCTTAGTTGGCCAAAATCGGTAGTCTACCGCCCAAATCAGTAGGGTTCACATGTATGGCGAATTTGAACAATAAACCTGATAGTTTCACACCTTATCCCTTATTATCACTTTATTATATATTTCTATAGTGGTACGTAACCTCCAAAAATGAAACATTTATGCAGTGGTACGTAACCTCCATGGTATGTAACCTCCAAATTCCGATAAGAATAGCCTGTCGTCTGCTAGTTCTGAAAGTGTTAATCGGTGTATTATATATTTCGATTTGATTTGTTTTGATTTGATAAGTTTTTGATCACTTCTATTTGAAATTTGGTTGGTCTACTGGATTAGACTAAGTAATTTTTAGGTCTAAAACTTGTATATAATGAACTAAAGAATCAGAATGAACCTTAATACGTCGCCCTAGTGCAGTAACTGGTGAACTCCTATTAAATTTAGAAGAACTTAACCTGTTACTGCAATATGTTACAATCAAAATGGAAAATTTAAGTTTTAACATTTTTTGCTGATTCCCTGATATTTCATAGGAACATTAGATTTTATTAGCTTTTGTTTAAATATAACAGTTATTAAAGATAAACAACTTTTAGAAGGCAATCATCAGTGTGGTCTGATAAGCCCTTGGCATAGACCAATGCACAGCATAATAAATAAAACAAAAAGCACATAAGTATTTAAAAAAATTATTAGTTTATTGTTTCATCTTTAATTTTATGGTTTATTTAAGTATTCAATTTAAGGTGTCAATCTTCAAGAATTATTAAACTGATTAAACTGAGGTTTCAGAAAATAAAGTGTAATTAAACAGACAAATAAGTACATTACATGTATATATATTCTTTAACGGTGAAAATAATAAAATGATAAAAGGAGGTAATTAATTGGTAATAACATTTAACATAAAAATGATAAATAAATGATTATCACCAATTAATAATTTCAGAAGTTAGTTCAGGATATTTTTTCAATTACTGTTAGTTCATATTATTTGTTATGATTTTGCGCCAAGCATTGCTCTACCCTGTCTTATTATAATTTCTTACTTTTCTGTCTTGAAATTTTCTTACATAGCTTCTCGACCATAAGTTTGACAAATCCTTTAAATTTTAATAAACTAGTTATTTGAATATGAATAAAAATTAACAATTCTAAATATATTTGTTAAGTTCAGTGAGCTTCTTGTATATATGTTTTAGTTGATTTAGCCATGTCAATTGAAATATCCTTACTTATAGGCTAGCAAATACTAATTGTATACTATAATTGGCTTACTAAATTAGTTTGTTTGATCAGAGGGATTGCCGTTATTGTTTTGTACTTTAGAGATAATCATAATTGTATTACTGTAAAATTTTATGGAAATGAAACTTGGCCGTGAATAGATCGAAAAAGAATGATGAAATTTAGATTAAAAAACAAACAAACAAATGGCAGCATAGTTTGTGCCAGTGCAGTGCTTTGACACATTAGCATACCTGAGGAATTTCTCATGATCCCTGCCAAAAGTATCAGTTGTTTGGGACAGTCATGACAAATAAATATTGGAGATTAAGTTTAGACATATTTTTTTATTTGAGTGTGTGTGTGTTTTTTTTTTGCTAAAAACTCTAATTTTGTATTAAGTGAAAATATTTAATATTTAAACAGTTCATGGTTGTCTCATTTATGTGGAACAGAAGATTTGGTTGACTTGAGAAAAAAAGATGATGAAATAGAACAAAGAAAAGGGTATTGTGATTAATGAGGTTTCAATAAAGTGGGAAATAAGTTATTAACTTCCTATATTGCTTGTCTAACTTCTTGTTGGAAAAAATAATTTGCTAATGTTCTTCTGTTTTTATATGAATATTTACTACATGTATTTAGTTATGCTTGTTTTACATAGTGCATAATTGGTGATTTTTCACATCACATAACAGAGGCCTTAGTTATTAAAGGCCTCTTCCCTAAAGAAAAATTCTTAAAAATTATACATTTTTTCCATCATTTTAACTTCACAAATAGCAATTTTAGGGATAATTATTTCCAAAATGAAACTTGTGGCTAAGGCCTCTTCCCAATAAAGTGAGAAAAATCATCTAAATTATTAGTCTGCTTTTATAGCATGAATTTAGTACATTGTAATTTTTAGCTCGACTATTCGATAAGAATAAGTAGAGCTATTGTAGTCACATGAGCGTCGGTGTCGGCGTCGGCGTCAGCGTAACCACTTATGTTAAAGTTTTTGTAATAGTTCAAATATTTTCAAAGTCCATTGACATATGGCTTTGAAACTTTGCACAATTGTTCACCATCATGACCCCAACCTGTAGACAGGAGGAGGTAACTCTATCAAGCATTTTGACAGAATTATGCCCCTTTTTCTACTTAGAATTTACGTTAAAGTTTTTGTAATAGTTCAAATATTTTCAAAGTCCATTGACATATGGCTTTGAAACTTTGCACACTTGTTCACCATCATGACCCCAACCTGTAGACAGGAGGAGGTAACTCTATCAAGCATTTTGACAGAATTATGCCCCTTTTTCGACTTCGAATTTACGTTAAAGTTTTTGTAATACCTCAAATATTTTCAAAGTTCATTGACATATGGCTTTGAAACTTTGCACACTTGTTCACCATCATTACCCCAACTTGTAAACAGGAGGAGATAACTGAATCAAGCATTTTTTAACTCGACTATTCGATAAGAATAAGTAGAGCTATTGTAGTCACCCGAGCGTCGGCGTCGGCGTCTGCGTCGGCGTAACCACTTATGTTAAAGTTTTTGTAATAGTTTTAATATTTTCAAAGTCCATTGACATATGGCTTTGAAACTTTGCACACTTGTTTACCATCATGACCCCAACCTGTAGACAGGAGGAGGTAACTCTATCAAGCATTTTGACAAAATTATGCCCCTTTTTCGACTTAGAATTTACGTTAAAGTTTTTGTAATAGTTCAAATATTTTCAAAGTCCATTGACATATGGCTTTGAAACTTTGCACACTTGTTCACCATCATGACCCCAACCTGTAAACAGGAGGAGGTAACTGTATCAAGTATTTTTTTTTTACTATCAAGCACTTAGAATAGTCGAGCGTTGCTGTCCTACCGACAGCTCTTGTTTGATGTGGGTGATGCAAACAAATGTGGCAATACAAACTTAAAAATATATTTGGATTGGTGTGTAATTTTTAATTTCGCTTCTTGATATTTTTATATCTGGGCAAAACAATGATGCCAAACATTTAAGCTTTAACAAGCTTATTCGTCTTATACAGTAGAATCCCTTCATAAGACCACCCCGCAATTACGACCACTTTGTTCTAGTCACAATTGTGGTCTTATTTTAGGGTTTTTACTGTTTTTTAGACTATACAAACAAACTTATTTGTGCTTTCCATTATCTCCTTGGAGGTAACACTGTAATGCATCTTTGAGATTAAATGGCAACTGAGTTCAAACAAAACTCAAAAAGGTCTACATGTAGGATGATCACTTTAAAATTCACAAAAATAATTTCCAAGTAGGTCTACCCTAAAATCAATGATTATATATATAATGCAGTTCAGTGAAATAGGGTTTGACATATAGCAATGTATTGAAATAGGGATGTAACGTTTGTTTCTGCAAGATCATGCCGAAATAATTCACTATGACTTTCTACTTATGTAGCATTGAATTGGCTTTTATAGTTCAATCGGTTTTATAACGTTCCCAGAAATATTTGGGTTGGATAATAAGTTGCCAGTTTGATTTTTGGTCCTTGAATTAGGTAGTGTTTCAAGCTTGGTTAAAGCAACAAAGGGGAAAATCTTCTGACATTGACAAAATAATATAAACCTTTAGATAGCCAATCGCGACAGTAATAAGTCTATGCCACCAGTTTAGAGTTTGACAGTCGTGACTGATATATTTTAGTATTTTAGTATTCGAAATTAATAATGAACAGTTTCCAAAGTCAAAGCAAAGACAATCAGTTACAGAAGTTTACCAGTAGCAACATACATGTAAATGATAAAAGATGAAATAAATGAAAAGGTTTAATTTTGTTAATATTGTATATTTGTTATCTATTTCAGGTCAAGAAAGATTATTCTAGGACTTTTTGTACTGTTGGTATTTCTGTACTATATTGGACCAAAATTATTCGGATTTGGATCCAAGAAATCCTCACCATTAGGTAAGGAAATGGGAAAGGAAATGAAGTGTTTCCTTTCAGTTCTTTAGGTTGGCATAAAAAATCAAATTCCTTAATGGAATTTGTTTGAAACTTAACACATGCCTTAATGGTCACAATTGTAGGTTGCCAACCAAGATCACTTGCCCCTTACTACATACTGTGAGCTTGAATCCAGTCAGACTTTGGATTCTTTCATGTGAGGAAGCAATCCAGCTCGCTAATGGAAAGTCTGTTATTCTACTAGAATGCCTGAAATAATGAACAAATGGCACCTTAGATCTGACTCTATCTTCACCAGTAAAACTGTAAAGTTGCCATATGACCTTAAAAATGTCAGTGTGAGTTAATCCCCAACAAGCAAGCAAACAAAGAAACAAACACATAGGAAAGCCTTCAATGCTGTACATTAAGCAGCTATCAGTATTGTTCATTTATCATATTTTTACAAATAGCTGCTCGTAATCCTTATGCATTTCTCAAGAGAAGGTGTTAAAGCAGGGTCTGGATATATTTCACATAAAAACAGAAAATAGAAAATCTATGGTGCTTTGGTTTATCAATACTTAGGCTCTTAATCCAAAAACAATTACTTGCACAAATGACATGTACTGTAACATTTGAATATTTCACTGCCAATAATATTTGCTTTTCTAAGGTACAAATGTATATTATTGTTCTTTGGCTTTGTATTTATGTGCAAAGTAATTTTAAAACTCTTTTTTTTTAAGTTGGGCAGAAAATCAACCTGATCTCTTATTTTTTTTGTTTTTCAGTTGAAAGTGTTTGTCTAAACAGTAAACTTACACCATATAGGAATGGGTTAGACCTGCTAGATAATGTCCTTAACTATGTACCAGAAATGACTACACAGAAAAACTACCCCATGTATGTAGGTAAGTATCCTTAGTAAGAAATATGTTTAAAATCTGCTATATTTTGTTAAAAGACAATTGTGCCCTAGTTCCCGCTGGCTGTATATGATAGATTAATGCTGTATATTTGTACAATAATGTGATCTAGTTGTTGAAGCTTCAGTTTTTTGGTCCCGTTACTTACATGTAGCTTGATAGGGAAATTTATATTCAAAGAATGTCCGGTTCGATATGTGGGAGAGACAAAATTTCTATGTGAGAATTTATTACAGACGAGTGTAATGTTCATTTGTCTCTCGCTTCTGATTCCAAAATCATTTAGGATCTGTAGTCTCTAAATCACAAGGAAATTGGTAATCAGTGTTTGTTAATCCAGGAAAACAGGCTAAGTAGACTGACTGCCAAGATAATTATGACAAATATATATATATATTGAAATTGGCATAAAAATGGAAAAAAAATTATGTTTTCTGTGATTAATTAACTGTGGTATTTTTAAAAACAAAGATAATATCAAAGTTTTGCGTAGTTATCTCTTCCTAAATTTTTTAATTACGATATATTTTTGCAGGCAATGGTTACATTGCGGCATCTTTTGACAGTCAGAATGGACTTTATATACGTCTGAACAGGGCTTTATCATTACCAGTGCCTTATTACCCAATAGTCGGTACAAATATAGAAAGAGTGTCCAGAGAGGGTAAGATTTTATTATGAAATATCAAAATAAAAAAAAGAGGTACCAACCCAGGGTTTTCATTTTTATGTAATGTAACATAATTATGTGCTAACAAAAAAAGCTGATTTGGCCAAGTGCCACGGGGGATATTATAATCTACAGGCTGAAAATACAACTATTTTGAACAGCATTTCAACTGATGATATGAATTGCAAATCTGCTAATAATGAAAACCCATAAAACCTAGTCTGGCTGCACAAAAACTGGTTTCGCAAGCTTATCACTTTCAGTTGTAACATAATAGAGTTAGGTTGTGCACAATGGTATATAATATGTTTTCCTCTTTAACAAAAAAAATGGGAAGCTGTTATTTGGCCATTAACATATTGATATGAATCAAAAAGACAACAACAACAACAAAAAACACGTTCAACTATACTTGATTATAGTAAAAAGTTTATTTTGATAGAAATTTTGTTGTTATTTTCATGTTTTTATTCAACAGAGGTGGACGTTCTACAGCTGAGACAAGGCATTGCTAACAGATTGCAGATTTTTAACGCTGTAAGTAATTTTTATTCAAATAAATACACTGAATTGTGTCTTTAAAGGCATATTATTCCTCAAAAAAAATTTTTTTTACTTCTTTAAAAAGAACAAGCATGAAACATGAATTTTATAATGTTCAAATAATGGTTTTAGAGAATAAAAAATTCTTATAATCTGAAGAAAGTAGCAGTAAATGTGAAATAATTTGAAATAAAAAGTAGGTTTTGAACAGTAGAGGAGTCCTTAAAAATTTCCTAGTTTTATCCTAATGTTATGATAGTTTTGAACATTTTGTATATTAGAGAAAAGGCTGTGTGTCGGTAGAGTCACAGCTGTATGCTCATAGGTCACGACCTTCCTTGATGATACAAGAATTACGTCTGCATAATCCCACCACGGCAGACGTTTATGTGGATTTCGACCAAGTTCAAGCATCGGGATGGAAAGATGTTCAACAAACTACTGCAAGGTACTGCTCAAAAACTTTTGGCAAAGATTATTTGATCATTTATAATATTAATATTAGGTTAATTTAAATTGTAAAGCAAAATTAAAGATTGTTAGTAATTTCTCATCTGGAAATATTTTTCTAAACCGGAAAGCATGTGAATTAAACTTATGAGATACTTGTAGGTATAATACCACTAAATAATAGTAATAGGTTTAAAAAACCTAAAACACTGCATGCCTTTCCACCAGCTTAGCTCAATAGGGAGAGAGCAATGGATTAGTAATCAAGGGGTTAATGGTTGGATCCTTGGGCAAAAAAAAAGAAAAGAAAAACTATGCAAACATGATATTAAACACACACAGAAGTACGGTTAGAAAATAATGAAATTTAGAATAAGATATGTACAAGCAATGTTTTGGAAAATACACACCTAAACATTTACTGTTAGGTGGTTGGTGGCTGGGGATAGGGAACATATGTAGTGCAACTCTACATTTATGATTTTTTTACTTGAAATGCTTCTTAACTTAAGTCACATTTTTGTATCAACAGTTTTTGAATTGGAGCCTGGGAAATATTGAAAATGTTTTGATGCATAACTTTTTTTTTTGTTTCTTTTTTTTTTTTTTTTTTTTTTTTGCAAAATGTACTTAAGTTTTTTTCCGGGAAATGTGGTCCATTAAATTTACCTTAATAATAAGTGTTAAAAATAGATAGAATTTTATTCTATCAAGTACACATACCTGTACAGTGTTCAAAATACAGAGATAGCTATTAAAAAATATTATTTTCAGTGAGAAAAATTACCTAGGAACCATGGTAACCTACACAGTATCATCAGGTATGGTTAAGATAGACAATACAGAGGAAGATTTGTACGTCGGTGTCACGGTGGCCTCAACACTCGTCAAAGATAAACAGGAGGAAATTCCAAGTGGAAAGTAAGTTATCCAATTTCACAGAGAAAGTGAAATGTAATGAGGTTTTTCACCTTATGTAACAGTAGCCTTTAAAAGGCTTTCCATTGAAAATTTTCTTTAAAATTATGCAGTTTTTCCCATAATTTAAACTTGTATTAGCTTCTTAACTTCCAAAATTAGCAACTTGAGCAATAATTCTTCCCAATAAAGTGAAAAAAAACACTGTTAGGTGCCAAATCAAAGAAAATTATTGCCAACACTATAGAGGTCATGAGTTTAGATCAGTCCTTATGAATGTTTTTTTTTATCCATAATGTTTTACTGGATAAAATGTAGGTCAAGAGCAAATAAGGCCGGCAGGAGTCGAACCAAATGTAACTAGTGCAAATTAAAGGAAGTATCGTCATAACAAAAAGTGTGGCACTTATTTATAGAACAAATGATGGTGAATTGACTTATATAGAGACAAAAGTTCTAAGGAATAATAAAAAAAAAGACTTCAGAGGTCACAAATTGGTGTAATTGAGGTCAGCTTGTTTGTTAATTATTGAGCTCTTTCACTAGAGATTGTTATTGAGTCATATTGACTGTGATCTAACTATCACATGTAATGAAATTTTCGTTTAACCATAAACTTTCCCTAAATTTGGTAATAGACAGTTCCAAAAAATGTAAGATGGACAAGTCCATATTAGAAATAAATTCAACAGGTGGAGTGTTAATAAACTCATTAATGCCAAAATTCTAGAGACTGAGGTTAGGTTAATTGATGTAGTTTGAAAATAAGATTAAAAATGTATATATCTGTGCTGCCTGCAGTTTTACAAATTTTTTGTTTGAATTTTGAAAAACAGTAATTCCGAAATACCTATATGAGAAAAATATGTTGGTATATTTCCTATTGAGCAAATTGCAGATGCACGAAATTATTGCTCAACGGTTAAAACTTAACTTACAATAGCTGCATAATATTTTGTTTCGGAACATTTTATTCTGTTTACGTACAGTTTTCATGAGTGTTTATTAACAAAAACATTCTACGTTACAGCCTTTTTGAGAATTAATCAAAAGAGTATAACATCAAAATTTGACCATTTATAAATTTTATAGAAAATTGAGCCGTGTCACGACAAAACCAACATAATGGGTTTGCGACCAGCATGGATCCAGACCAGCCTGCGCATCCGCGCAGTCTGATCAGGATCCATGCTGTTCGCTTACAATCCCTATAGCAAGTAGAAAAACTGATAGCGCACAGCATGGATCCTGATCAGACTGCGCGGATGCGCAGGCTGATCTGGATCCATGCTGGTCGCAAAACCACTATGTTGGTTTTGTCGTGACGCGGCTCAAATATTTCATCAGATATAGCTTTATACACATTGAAAAGAAAATGAAATACATTGTTTATTAGTTATAAATAATATTTGTAATTATAATCCATATTTCAGATATTCAAAACAGGTTATATATACAGTGGTACAATATACAAAAGCAGGCACCTTAATGGATGTTAAAGGAATGATGGGTGACCTGGATACTAAATGTAAACAGGTAAGTGTGACCTGGATTCTAAATTCAAACAGATAAAGGTGACCTGGATTCTAAATTCAAACAGATAAAGGTGACCTGGATTCTAAATGCAAACAGGTAAGGGTGACCTGGATACTAAATGCAAAAAAGTAAGGGTGACCTAGATTTTAAATGTAAACATGTAAGATTTGGCTGGATTCTAAATGTAAACAGGTAGGGGTGACCTGGATTTTAAATATAAACATGTAAGGATGACCTGGATACTGAATGTAAACAGGTAAGGGTGACCTGGATTTTAAATATAAACATGTAAGGATGACATGGATTCTAAATGTAAAGAGGTAAGGGTGACATGGATGCTAAATGCAAACAAGTAAGGGTGACCTGGATTTTAAATGTAAACATGTAAGAGTGGGCTGGATTCTAAATGTAAACAGGTATGGGTGACCTGGATACTGAATGTAAACAGGTAAGGGTGACCTGGATACTAAATGTAAACAGGTAAGGGTGACCTGGATACCAAATGTAAACATGTAAGGTATTCTCTGAAGTTAATAATGTAACAATACATTATAGGACAAGTCTGTAATTGGTCATTTTAGTAAGAAGATAACAAAGAAAAGGTAGATATTTGCAAATTTGAACTTTAAAATAAAGTTTTAGAATAATTAAAATTTTTCTTTTGTTGTGAATATGTTGTTTGAATATAGTTTTAATCTTAAATGTAGAATAAAGTATCAAAAACTGTTAATATGGTATAAAATTTGGATTGTGAGTCCATAACAGTTAATTTACTGAGTTTAACAAACATTAAAAGAATTTTAAAAATAATGGAAATGATAAGCACAAAATTTTTTAAAAAGCATGCGCTATGGCATAAATGTTGAATAATTGAAATCCACTCGTTGTTAATTATTGTAAATATCACTATTCTTGATTCATCAGCCGGGGGTTTGTACCCTTCCTGGGTATTGTTCCTGAAGCTACAAATATGTTGCACAGTCAAGTCCAAATAACAATCAATGCCCAAAATTTATTACTACATTATTGTTGTTGTTGTTGTGTTTTATAGGAAATGAACTCAGCACTGCAGACTGACCCTGAAACATTAAAAGACCAGCATACATCACTGTGGGAAAAGGTTGGTTTCTTGTGTCATGTTGCTTATAATACTGCACGTTTGTAACGTCATTTTTCATTGGATAATGGGACGTTTATATTGTTTAATATACATGACTGCTGTCAATCTTTTAATATCTCAAAAAAAGGAAGTATATGCTGTATTATAAATTCATTATAAATATTCCTGACAGGTGATTTGACCGTATATAAACAACCGCCGTATATGGTTGTTAGCAATATGACCCTCGCCTAGCAGCTTGGGTTATATTTCCAAACAGCCATATATAGGGCCAAATAGCCTAAGAAAAATCTTTATAACTAATATTATACATGTATATTCTAGTTTATCTTAATAATAAATAATTGTCATAGTGGGTGTTTAATTCTGGATGTAGGAACATATGGGTAAATTATCAGCAGATAAAAGCTCATATATTCAGTTAAAGTGACATTATGCTTATTTTTTCATCGTCGAAAGATTGACTGTTATAACAGTGATGACAAACAGTTGAGATTGGAAAATGTCAAGAATAAATATAAATCTGCCTAAAGCCCCACTCCTTTTATAAATTGAACATTACAGGTAGAGTTCAATAGATATAGACAGAAATTTCATTGACCTATGTGAGTTATTTATCATTCATTGGAAGTAAATTATAAAATTAATAGGAATTACGGCAAACTTTAGACTTATTTTGACTTTCACACATGGGTACATGACCTATAACTCTTTAGTTACCTTTTTACAGAGTTATGCCCCTTTTCTTACTGTCTAGTACTGATACTAGTCAAGTGCGATGTCTTACGTAAAGCTCTTGTTATATTTCTAGTTATGGTTGAGTGGATTTAGTATAAGTTATTCTAGAGCGGCCAACAGTCTGAACGGAGACAAAATTAACAGTACGATATACTATGTTCTGAGTAACGTGCCTGCACCTTTACACGACCCACATACCGTGAGAGAGGTAGAGTTGGAACTGAAGAAAACTTTACATTATCCTGACAAATGTTACAGTGGCCATACTTCATTGTAAGTATTTTGTTTTATACATATTCAGATAACAATCTAAAAAACAAAACAAACAAAACAACATTTAATATAAAGTGCAATCATTCTAAGAATAGCAGTAGGGAAGGGTGATACTATTCAACCTGCTAGCATAACATTTGGTAACCATTTTGCATGTCCCTGTAAGTGATTATCTCTCTAGTCACTAAAGATATTCACTTCACACTCGTCTTTATACCTTTGTCAAGTACTGAGAATGTTCGAGCACTCTGACCATCTTGCAGTTTTTGTTATGTCTTTTTCTTTCTCCATGTTACAGTTTGTATTTTATGTGATTTTTATGTCTCTTGTTTACTTTATTTTATAGTAAAAATATATTGTATATAATTTTGATCACACACACGTGCCGATTTTGCGACTACGTAAAAATGGTATTGCAAGGTGGTGCATATATTCAGACGTAAAGTCTTTTGGTTATGTAAACATAATATAAAGACGCGCTCAATGTTAGCGTTAAACTATAGGCGTGTCAATGTAAAATTATTCTTTTGCACTTTAAAGACTTTTCATAAATACTAGTATCAGTTTCTTTGTTAAAGAGATTTCATATTTATTTTTACTAGACATTCCAACACATTGTGGGTTGATCCAGTAGATGAAGATAGTATAGCTAGAGTTGTCACTACATGGATCATCACATTAGAGAAGCAGGGGTGTCAGCGTATGATAGCTGCAGGTATATATAGACTGTGTCCGATGTTTCATTTTACCCTGACAAACCTTTTATTAATGTTTTAACCCATCAACCTGCAGACTGTGTAATGTATTTACCTTCATAAAATTTGGACCAGTCTAATTATGATTTAAGGGTATTTCATTATCAAAATACAAATAAAAAAAAATGAGGTTCCAACAGTTAAAGTAGAGCTTGGTCATACTGAATGGATGTGCAAGCTAGCCTGGCTCTATACTGGTGTCAATGGTCTTATCATTTTTAGTTCCAGGAGATAAAGGATTAGCTACAGTGACTGTTTATAGTTACTGTCTTAAGTGTATTTCTAGGATCTATCTGGATTTATCAATAACAGTAATTACCCCTGGACTGTGTTTTAAATTAGGGAAGAAAATATCTTATCAATCAAGTGTATAGGCCTGACTAAATCATTTAATAATATAGTTAAACCATTGCTTATAAACCACTAATGCTTAGAATTAACACTGTACAGTTTTAATGTTGGTATCAATTTTTCAGAATTTAAACAAATTATAAAATTAAACTTAAGTTAGGGGCTTCAGATTTTCATTTTTTTTTTTTCAAGTTTGATGATTTTTAGGTTTCAATAGTCAATATTTAATTTACATACATTGTAGGTAATATCATTTTGGAATAATGTTTTCCTTTAGGTAATATTATTTTGGACAAAGGTTTCACATAGATAGGTAATATTATTTTGGAGAAAGGTTACACATAGATAGGTAATATTATTTTGGACCAAGATGATTTTCATTGAAACAATAAAGATAGCAATATTGTATGTGAAATTGGATTTCCATTTATCATCATTTACAGGCGTTGATGGAGTGTTACAAGCAATGCTGCTCAGTATTGGCTCGTTAAGATTCGGTCACGAGCATCTAGAAATGGGTCTTCATCCACAAGACACGCATCGTGACTTTAACTTTCACAGAATTAACTATGGGAATAACACTCACCTGAACATATCAGTGCTGGTGGGTGAGGATAATAAAGCGAATATTTATGTCTCGTTAGATCGTAACGATAAACCGTATTATGCATGTGACGCAGGTTGTTTGGATCCACCGACCCAATTAAGGTAATTGAATGTTTTAATTAAGATTAATAATAGTTTAAATTACTTACTGGTGACTGGTGAATATACCCTTTTAGCCAATGCAAACCAAAGCTCAGCCCGATGATCATGGTGTGCACTGTTCACTATTCAGTCAATACATGTTTTGAAAATTTCCCTAAAATTGATGAATGGTTTTGTTCAGATTGAAAGCAGGACAAGTCCATTTAAGATATTTAGGGTGGTAAGGGTTAGATGCAATATTGTAGACCTTGAAGCAAATGTCTGTAGCCAAATCTAGAATTAGGATTTAAATTATCTCATGTAAGAGAGATATCCTGCTCTCCTATGGAAACACAGTTATCCATCATTCTACCCAGATCTTTTTTCTTTTTTTTTTGCCTAAATTAATGATCTGAACCATGAGTCATTCTAAATCATCAGGTCTGCCTGTTTAGCTCAGTAGGGAGAGCATCAGATTTATGATCCTGGGGTCACTGGTTTGATATTCATGATTAATCTCAGACATTGAGTCTAATGGTTATTTGTCTCTCATTGCTGATTCTGAAATCATATACTGTAGGGTTAGTAGATGGTCACTTTTAAAGAAATTTGTAAGTACTGGTCAGTTATCAAGGAAAGATGGGTCATGTTGACCGGCCCCTGAGGTATGACCAAAAATGCGTTAGAGTTGGCATAAAAAAATATCATTACATTAACAGTATCTTGTTAAACAAGTTTATATACTAGTTGATAGAATATTTTGAATTAGTACATATTCAATACCAAATTTATTGAACTAGTAGAATAAAATTATATTATGTGAACCTCTGGTGAGCATAATATTATATTTATTCAATAAGTGAAGCTACACAAATATAATATTATAGTTATCACATATCAAAAATAAGAACTGTTTACAATAAAAAAGAATCACTTTTTCACTGACACGCTTATAGTGTATGCTATTTTTCTAAACCGCAAATATCATCACATGAAAACATATGCATGGCTGTGCAATACCATTTATTTGGAGCCACAAAAGCTGAATACATGAATAATGAATATTTAGAGTTCAATGGACAAAGTTAAATTAATCAACTATCTTGATATGATGTTAATTGTTAACATACTTTTGGTTATGTATTTTACAGTAAAGAACGTTCAAAGTTCCCCGTCAAGTTGACAGACCCACTGACTGCTATTTTATATATCACTGCTGATAAAGTACACATGGAGGAATATAAACATGCTATACATGTTAAAGAAATAGTCGAAGGTAAGATATTGTTAATACTTTTGTTTCCATGGTTGATCATACTTCTATGAGTCGAAGATGATTTCCGATCAACTTGTGTGACAGGTGTTAATTACACAGCCGTATGTTCGAAAACCTTTGTATGCATTAAAATGTGTGATAAAATGCTTAACTGATACCATTCAAATTGCCGTAGTGGTTTTTGAAAGAAAACAGTAAGAACTCCTTTCATTTGAGAACTTCCATGACCCGGTGTCGTGTGATAATCACATGCAAAATATTTACTATAAGCTGTTTTAGTTATCGCCCTTTCCTTTTATCATGCCCTTTGTAACTTTCTTGTTAACGTCATAGGCTTGAAGTTTTGTCATTTAATTGAACCGATTCATAAGTTGAAGTCCAATTGTGTCAAAGTGTTAACACAATTCCCTTCAACTTTGACTTACCAAAGTTCTACTGTATTGAAAAATGAAAACATGTTTGGTAATGAAAAATAAAAACATGTTTGGTAAGAATACTAAGGCCATTGGATTTTGAAGTCAGTATTTGGCTATATACCTAAAAGCATTAAAAGTTCATTGTATGTAGGAATACTCATTAGGTAAATACATAGTAGTGTATGAGTTATTATTAATCATGATTATAATCTGGAAGTGAACGACCGTATCATGAAAAATATGGCTAATAACTTATATAAAAAAGTTATTAATCCTTATTCAGGTTGATGAATGAGAAATTTAAATAATAACTTTGTATATGTGAGTAAAAAATAAATGTTTGCTTATTATATAAGAGAATAAAATTCAATGTAATTAAATTACTAGGTGATTTAAATAAAGTATTTTGATGATAAGTGTAAGATAAAAATCATATTGTTAATGATAATTTATGTATAATGTACTAAAATCTAATCTCGTTTTTTCGTTAAAATGCTTTGTAATTAATCACTCGGGCCTATCGGCCTTCTTGATTATATTACTATGCATTTAAACTCAAACCATGCATTATTCACAATGCACTCAGAACTGATATCTATTTCCTAAACAAATGGAAATCTAATTTTATAATGTTTATTCTATTTTTAGCACCAGCACACGAGCATCATGTGATAGCATTACATAAACACGGACATCATTTTGGCGGACTGCCAATTATATTCTGGGTATCAATTGCATTCCTGGTCATAGTGTTCCATCTATTCTTATTTAAACTTATTTACAACGAGTATTGCCAGGCCACAGAACGATTTACAAAAAGTCGCTATAATTTATAGCAGTGCTGATAATTTAGTTCAAGGAATGTCTGAAGGGACAGGAAGAGACCTTGTAAAACTTGCAATCTCTTAATCTCTTAAGTAGCAAGGGATTCAGTCAATATACTTTCTCTGTATTCTACAAAATATCAATCTCGGGTGAGATAAAATTTCAATCCTGGACGTGATTGTTTATGGTGAAATAGATCATTCCATCTTAACAACACATTAGCTGTTTTTTCATTGGAGAAGGAAAACTGTAGAGCTTTTGTTATTAATGTGTCTCTTTAAACGCAGTGTTCTTAACATGCAGTAGATAAATGATGTGTACTATAACTCAGATGAAAAAATGAACACTATTTAGGGACGTTCCTGGCCGAGTGGTTAAGGTCGTTGACTTCAAACCACTTGCCCCTCACCACTGTGGGTTCGCATCTAGAAAGGGACTTTGGATTCTTTCATGTGAGGAAGCTATCAAGCTAGCTTACGGTTCTACTCAGGTGCCCGTTCATGCCTGAAATAATGCACGGAAGGGCATCTGAGGTCTTCCTCCACCAGTAAAGCTGGAATGTTGCCATATGACCTATAATGTGTCGGTGTGACGAAAAATATTTCAGTGATTTTTTTCTACTTTGTAATCATGATTTCTGCAAGCGTCTAGAGGTACTGCTCCAAACCTGTATTGGGTTAAAATCCATTTACTAGGACAATTTGATGTATAATATCTAGTTAATTTATGTTGAATTTTAAATGATATGAGTTCAATGAGTTTAGCAATCCATTGTTTATTGAGCTGTCAATTTCCATACAAACAAGTGTGTACACTTGAATTTATTTTTCTAGTCTTTTCATTTAATATCTTTTCATCTCATATGATTTAATTTGATTAGGACATTTTTTTCTCCTCACACTTTAGAAAGTAGTAGATAAGAGTAGATATAGATAAAACTACTTAAATAAATGGGTTAACTTCATACACTTGTTCTGGGTAATTGTATAAGATTTTGGGTATAGGTCCCGTAACTCTTGAGTTACCTTCTTACAGAGTTATGCCCGATTTTTACTGTCAATCACTGAGAATAGTCGAGCGTGCTGTCTTATGGACAGCTCTTGTTATCTGAACAATTAAATACTGTTGGCTGCAGTACATGTACAAATTTGGACTGTTTTCTTTCTTCTTTTTTATTTTCAAAACATTTTTAGGGTAATGCATATAATGCATGTAAAGGTAGTCTTACTGCAATGCTTTCCCGCCAATAAATTTCTAACATCGGCCAATATATTAATATCAGAGTAATTCTTAAAAAGCTTTCTACTCGATCTGTAAATTTTATTTTATGTACCTTATTATGTAAATGTATGGATTATTAATAAATATTGTTTAAACTAATATCGTAATAAATTGGTCATTTCCAGAAAGTTATAGTTAACAATCTTTGGTATTCAATACTTTTTTACCGTTTAAAGCCTGAATTTAGTATATAGCGATAAAGGATGAGTGATTGTAAATAATCTAATGCCCAAGATTTTGAAAAAATAATGTTCCGGAATAACCAATTTGCTACGATATTGGCCAATGTTAGAAATTTTTGGCGGGAAAGCATTACAGTAAGACTACATTGTACCTTAATAAGCACAATATGTCACGTTAGTTGGGTTGTGGACTATCTGCAAGAGAACATGTGCTGGGGTGATGTAAAATGTTATTATTAACCTATTGGTTAAACACAATTAAACATAATCTGCAATTTTATCTGGCTCGTCTGCAGTGCTGGATATAATTGTTTACGAGGGATTTCTGTATATGAAAAAAACTTACTGTACCTATGTTGTATATAGTTATAAATGAAAATCCATTGAATTTTGCAAGAAAAGAAATTCATTTTGACAGAATTATTTTTTGCAATTATTTTATACTGTGATATTGTGCATATATTTTATATATATTTGAGATGAATAAAAGGTATTTTTTTCTTTAAAACATATGTTAATATTTGTATATTTATTTGTGGTGCAACCTTTTACTGGTATACGGATATGCTTGGTGCAGCTTTGGATGATGTGTATCATGGAAACCCTCGTACCACAATAATTACATTAAGATTTTATCAAAATAAACAATAGGGTGTTACTATTTCAAACTCCGCAACCTTGTTCTTGTACAAATGCCTCTTTTGTTATTGTTTGATAAAGACATTATAGTTTAATAAACATTAATTTTTTTAAACATATTTAAATAAAATTGTTATTAAGAGTATATAGGGCTTATAACATGTGGCAAAATAAACAGAATTAATTTTATGTTTCTTTTTATATCAGTTAATATATTGAAATATATATACTGGTAAAACATTATGGAATGGCTGTATCACAATGTACCACAATACAGATTTTACCATATTGCTGCACCCTTAGAATTTATTGCATTTAAAAATTGTGTGAATGCCTGTTTGTTTTTTGTTTTTTTGAGGAAATGGACATATGTAACTGCATTTTAATATTGCCAGCGTTCTATTGGTTATAACTGGTAATGCCTGGCACCTGTTACTTTGAACTTTTTTTATAGTGCAGTGTTTATTATGTATTTTATTATGAGGTTATTTTACATTGTTGAGTACAATACTGAGTTTTTTTTTTGTTAAGTACACATCTGTCAAATCTATATTGGACAAGGATGTAGCTGAGTCTTATTTAGACTTGTTGCTGTATACAAGTCAAATATAATTTGATGTATAATACCTCTTTATTTCTGATCACCTATTTTGGACAGAAATTTGTTATTTCTGGTACAATAAAGAAGAAAGGATTTGATCTGGATTGTTTCAACTTTGAAAATGAAAACAAAAGACTAGACAGGTTCTAATAGTGATTTGATATGCATGTTTGGCATAGAAAATAAAAATGAGGCAAAATTAAGTACAATAGTTATGTGATATGGATTTTTTGGACTCACAAAATGAAAAAGAGGCTAAATTGATAATATTGTATAAAGTAATAATTTATATTGGGAGATTACATTGTGCTGGAAGCTTATAAGATGTGAAATAATGATATTTATTGGACAATCAATCTGGTTATATTGTCTATATACTAGTTTATATTTTTTATTCAAATCAAAGGGAGCAGTTGTGCAGTGCTGTTAATTTGTAATAAGGATGTTCGGCAAATTATATATCTGTGTACAGATGGTATTTTGTTGGCAAGTTATATGACTGTATACAGATGGTGTTTTGTTGCCAAGTTATATGGCTGTATACAGATGGTATTTTGTTGCCAAGTTATATGACTGTATACAGAGAATTTTGTTGCCAAGTTATATGGCTGTATACAGGTGGTATTTTGTTGGCAAGTTATATGGCTGTGTACAGATGGTATTTTGTTGCCAAGTTATATGACTGTATACAGATGATATTTTGTTGGCAAGTTATATGGCAGTATACAGATGGTATTTTCCTATATAATCATAACCTAGTAGCCTGGTAATAAATGTTTACATATATAACCTGTCCAGAATCTAGATAACCTATTATATTAATAGTCAGTAATCCAAGTTAAATGTGTCTTGAATAGAAATGACATAACATTTATATCAGTTAAATATTTGGTTGACAAGAAATGTCAGAAAACTCACAGAAAGCTCATAATTAATTAATTAAATTGTGATCAAATATACCCGAGATACAGGTGTCCATTACCTTACTTAATTCCATATCTATCTATGCAATCTGTATATCATACATTTAGACTTTTGTTATTATCTTTAGGGGGAAAACCAAATGTACATATTTTGTAATTCTTTATACACATTTAACCATTATGTGCTATTTATAAATTACTATTAGGAAAAAATAGGGATTTCCTGGCTTATCATGGGGTACAAACATTCATTTATAGAACATCAATTTGCACTGTCTATTCTAAATAGAGATATCAACATATTGTGCTTATTTTCGATGTATTTATGAACTTTTATGTGAAAGGAGATCACTTTGTAACCCTGGATTAGCTTTGAAAATTCTACATTTTCTTTCTGTAGTAACACTGTTCTATTGAGGGGGAATGGTTATGCCCTGGGGAGAAAGTAAGGGGTGGGGAAGGGCGTGTGGGGGTTTGAGGCTCTTAAATTGTTTACAGGGAATGATAATCTGTAAATACTTGAAGAGGTTACTAACCTAGTATTGTATTAACACAAAGTTGTCTATCACCCTCATTGCCATAGACTTATCTATCACCAGAATTCTATTCAGATTTTTGCAAACATATTGCTTTCAGTGTAACCATTGTGACCAGTGCAGACCATGCTTAGATGGCTCATACCCTCACCGCTGTGGGTTCGAATCCCGACAGGGACTTTGGATTCTTTCATGTGAGGAAGCTATCCAGCTAGCTTACGGAACGTCGGTGGTTCTACTTGGGTGCCCATTCGTGCCTGAAATAATGCACGGAAGGGCACCTGAGGTCTTCCTCCACCACTAAAAGCTGGAACGTCACGATATGACCAATACTGTGTCGATGTGACGTAAAACCCAATTAAAACAAAAAAAAGATGGCTTATATGTTCTGTCTGATTATGGTCTGCACTGTTTGCTATTCAATTATGTCATACTTATTTTGAATTTTTCCCTTAATATGAGGGAATGTATGACATATATTAATTTTTTCTGTAATAAAAGCTTATTTGACAAAAAATAATTAAATATTTGTTCATAGATGTTACATTCCATGTTGTTTTTGTTTTGAGTGTTTAGAATCTCAATATGTTATGCACATTATTGTTTGGATTTAGAGATAGTTTTGTTTGAAATTTCCTTGCTGGAAAAAATCAGCATTTAAAATCATAATGTATCTTTTTATCATTTAAATCATATAAATTTTATTGCATTTAAAAAGGTAATAGTTTTGTTCATTTGAGAAAGATTTTCAATTACAAGAGCAGTAACCATTTCATTGAACAGAATATTTAAGGTGCATTCAGAGAATGTGTATGTGGTGTTCCATACGTTTTACAGCAAACTAGTGTATATGGAAGGCCACTGGTGTCACTTTTCATTTGTTTAAATCTAATTTGTGTTAATGATAGAATTGTTTTTGTCTGTTTGATGAAATATTTATGAGGGCATTTATATCCTATAGAAACAGCTAGTTAATTACTATTATGACAGAATGTTGGTGGGTCTACTCAGCTGTCTGTATGTGTCCGAAATAATGTACAGAAGGGCACCTGAGATCTTCCTACACCAGTAAAGCAGGAAAGTCGCCATATGAACTATACTGTGTTGGTGTGATGTAAAAACCTAACCAAGAAAAAAATACTGTTATGAACTAGCTTATCTCCCCTGTTGATGAGATGGTATTTTGTGATTATGCAGTTTAAAGGATAGTGTCCATTATATAGACTGTTTTGTACAAAAAATGTTCATTTACTAACTACATTTGTTTGAAAGGTTGATTAGGAAATTTCGATTAGATTAGTGAAGTTGTTTTGTTTGTTTTGTTGGCACATAAGGCCTCGGAAATCCATGTAGTTTTTTTAAATCTTTAAAAATATCAAACATGTGTTTAATAATGTTTTAATAATGAATTTAAAGTATGTTCCATGTTTAAATACTGAAGAAAGTAGTGCTGAAAGTGCAGTAATGTGTCGTAAAGTTAGCATAATGTAAACAAAATAGTTTTTTCACTTCCATACAAAATACTAATTCACGATAATTATACCGATTGCTCAAAAGCAGCAAAAGATAGTTTATGTATATGGAAAATGTATATATTTTTGGAAACTAAAACAAGATATCACCAAAAAAGAAAAAAAGTTTTGAGAAATAAAATTGATAGCATTTCTAAGGCATAATGGGCCTTTAGTCTGTATTGTTTTCTATGATGTACAACTTTATTTAGATTTTGTAATTTCAGCATTTTTTCTTCTATTTTAAAATAGCTATGTAAAGAAAACCTTCAGTTGTTAAAAGTTACAAATTAGTTCAAAGAGATATACATAAATACATGTATGTTGAAATTTTAAAAAGGCAAAAACATAACATTGGTTGAATAGAAATAAATGTAAGAATTTTAGATTTATTTTAAGATATTTTATAGAACACTATTTAGTGAATGGGGGAGTGTTAAATTTGTTTTATTTGTATGTAATGTAAAACTGTGAAATAATTGTGAGATACAAAATTGAGCCACGTCATGACAAAACCAACATAGTGCCTTTGTGACCAGCATGGATCCAGACAAGCCTGCGCATCTGCATAGTCTGATCAGGATCCATGCTGTTCGCTTATAAACCCTATTACAAGTAGAGAAACTGATCATGGATCCTGACCAGACTGCGTGGATGCCAAGGATGACCTGGATCCATGCTGGTCGTTAACCCATTATGTTGGTTTTGTCATGATGCCACTCAAATATTAAGTTATATGTTTATGCAATGGTTCAGTGTAAATATGAGGGTTTTAAATTATTGTTTATTGAAAAGAAAATATAAATTAAAATGATGTGAACCAATTTATGTTTGTTTTCTTCCTGTTACACAAATCTTTGATTTAAATGGGAATATAAACTCCAAAAGAACACTTTCTTTCCTTCTGTCAGACCCTCTCTCTTGATGCCATCACTGTATTTTATGGTCATTTTTTATTTCTTTCTTTAAAAAAATATCTCTTGTTTTTCAAGCATGGTTGCTATAGTAACGGTGATAAAATACTTCTGATTAATATTTTTGTTAAGAATTTTTCTTACCAGAACGCAACTTGCAGCACACTTGTTCAACAGACCGCCATTTTTTTTCAGAGACTGTATCCAGGGACGAAAATATCAAATGTCCGTATTGCCCAGGTTGTCCCACAGCTTATACGAACTTTTTCCAGAATTTACAGTATAAATATCATACGGACAAGTCAAAATATGTTTCAGATAAAACGGACAAAAAGGTCAAAACCAGCCCTGCTTTATCTCACAGTACAACACTTGCTTGTTTCTGTTGACCAGATTCAAATCTACAAATCTAGTTGTAAAACAAGTTCACTGTTTCTGCTGATAGGTCACCGTTTTAAATATAAGGCTATTTGAAGATGTATATAATAATTCGTCTACTGCGGCCATTTTCCACATTATATCTATACCAGGTTGGTGCGAGCGCTACAAAGGGAAAGATCTGTTTTGGGGTCTGTGAAGCTCCGGTGAGCGATATAAATTGGATCTGTAAAGTTAAAGCGAGCGATTTAATGAGATCTGTGAAAAAAGATCTGGAAAAGATGGGATGCATTAATTACAACAAAATAACATAAAAAATTGCATTTTGACCCGGTTTGATTGAGTCTGTACATGAGGGATAATGAAGAAGTACAACTTCACTCACGCCCCTAGCACCGACTTGATCGAGTACTCAATTTTCAACACTTAAAGTGCTGGGATCAATGATCCCAAAGGACTTGAAAAATATAACAACACTGAAGTGAAGTATGGAGCAATTTCAACGTGCTGTTGTGAAGTATAACAATCTGGAACAAAGATGATCCCTCGGAAGCATTAATCTTAACAAAATATCATGAAAAAAAATCTTTAAGTTCCGGCGAGCAATAAATAATTTTGGGAGCGCACTTAACTGATCTGTTATGGTCCGGCAAGCGATATAAATGATGTGATGTTAGGCGGGCGATATAGACGCAAATATGGCTCTCTTGTTGTTTTGCTATATGATTATAACAATAGCTAAACAAGCCCTTGTTTTACTCATTATATCTGGAGATACTTGGATAAATTTGAATAAATGCTCAAAATTACCCAGATTACTGATATTATGTGACAATGCTTTATTGAAATATTTTAGAAACAATTCACAGATATTTATAGTAATTATGTCGTGAATTATGCCGTACTCTGGTATGCTAATTTGTTTAGAAGTTATTTTACATGAATGTTGTTACCAAATATTTTGTGGCGGCAACTGTAGGGTCAAGTTTTTAAACCGTCGTGGCTGTATGTGATTTATCTACCCGGTCACACAGTCTCCATTCCATTTCTTTAGACTAACCGGTACTGGTGTCATAGTAGGCGATATGACCATGGCTCCTGGAGGTCTCAAACCAATGACACTTTGGTTGAGAGGCAGACGTCTACTGATCTTTGTAAAACGTTTTGATATTGAAATAAGTAACTAAGACTATGAAGTCATGGTATGATGAACTTGTCATTTTCGATTTACCATCTTAGAAACACTTTAACTTTGTGGTTGAATCTCCTAGAATATTTTCAATGACAAAAAGGAGGACAAAGCAAACGAAGATTCTGACTTATGAATGGAATTGATAATCTTTACGACCATATTATACTCTTCAACGATTTTCACTGACATAGTTTCAGAATAATACTAAAATGTTAAATAATCGTTTGCATGTACGAGTATTCCGGTTTCAAATACCTTAGTTGATCTATATATAAAAAAAATCAGATTTTTTTTTTTTTAGGATTTTGTAGCTCAGTGTAAAGCGTATGTTTCCTAATAGGTAAATGACTTGCTGTATAGCGGCAAGATGAAAGAATCATGGGCTTTTATAGGTAGTCCATGTATAATGAATGTATATACACATATTAGTTTTCTTCGCTTTTTTAAGTTCGAAATACAAATAATAATTACCTATTCGAACTACAATCATATGTGTATACTGGGTTACAATTTCTACTTGATAAATAGGCTATTATAATTGTTTGTTGTGTTCTTTATGTTAATTTTTTGTGACCATTTCTTCTTCATCATCTTTTTTCATGAACTCGGCTACACTACCTATATACAGGGTTGCAATACAAATGATTACGTTTATCTTAATTTCGCTCATATATTTGTGTGACACAAAAATGTACATAAATATCTGTTTAATTATCTCGGCTTTATGTATGAAAGATTAATTGTCATGTCTGTCGTAATTGGGCAGTGTTTTTATACACCTCTCCTCATTCTCACCTATTAAAGGCCCATTATACCACAGAAAATCTTAAAAACTTTTTATTTTTGATATATTGTTTCAGTTTCATAAAAAAAATACTCATTTGCAATATAAATTAACTATCCTTGCTCCTTTTGATTTGTTGGTATAATTATAGTTAATTAGTATTTTGTATGGAAGTCAAAATACTACATTACTTTGTTTACATTGTGCTACCGTTACGTCACATTACTGCACATTCAGCGCTTCTTTCCTCTAAGATTCTCTTAACCCATTATTAAAACAGTATTAAACACATGTTTGACATTTCTAAAGAATTTAATAAATGCGGATTTCTGAGGCATAGTGTGCCTTTAAGTACTGTAGTATGATTTATTTTGATTTATTTGATATTTCTCATAATATTATTGTTTACCGTTTCAAAACAAAAACAAATACATGTAGAAAAAAATCAAGATACAGGAGGTTTCTACTCCATGTCCGATCTTTAGTCAAACGCAGTGTCCGAAATATTTTCAAGCAGTAACAGGGATTTTAAATTCCCCCAATGATTTACATCGTGTTTTATGCCCAACTACTTAAGAAGGGCTGATGTTAAACATTTAAAGGGGGACGGCCCACGATAATGTTGCTCAGCCCTTATTGTGAAGATATGTTGATTAAGGCTAAGAAGGGCGGGGTTATAAAGATGTGCCTTTGTCCGTCCGTCCGTCATGCTGTCTGTTCGTAGACTGGCAATGCAGTGGAATATGGGGACATCAGTGTACACGGTTCACATTATTAGGGTGTTTCAAGAGGTGCCTCAAACCCATGCAGACTACAGAAACGTCATTACATCTGCACACAAGCTATACTGTAAAAAACCCGAAGGTTTCCGATTTCGTAAAACCATTGTTTTCAGCTATTTTATTATACATTTTTGAATGTCACAGCTTATTAAATACATTTTAGATATGTCATAAAAGTATTTTATTAGTGTGGTACTAGTAATTAAAATATACATGCACAGTATATTCAGCTTATGCAAGCTTGCAATATTTTCATATGGAAATTATATTATATATTATTGTTTATGATTCTGGACTAGCAACATTTGATATACAGTATAGTAAATAAAATAGTATGTTTTAAGTGTGCAATTTAGGACGCTAATTAGATAAGTAATTGGATATTTTGCTGTTATGTTATATGAATGACGCTTACATATACTAGCCGTACTGTACAATTCAGCGTTCTCGGGGGTTATTTTACGAAAGACCGGTGGGGACATTTTAACTTCATGAATTCCTGAATTCAAATTATAACTCTGTGAATTCACGTTTTCAACAAACGGAATTTACGATTTCAGCTTCATGAATTCATTATTTAAACCTCATGAATTCACAAATTCACGATTTATTTCAACTCGTGAATTCACGACTTCAACTTCATGAATTCACGATTTCAACTTCACGAATTCAACTTATGAATTTACGATTTCAAATTTACGAATTCACAATTTCCAATGCATGAAGTTGAAATCGTGAATTCGCGAAGTTGTAATCATGAATTCACGAAGTTGAAATAAGAAATTCATGAAGCTGAAATGTCCCAACTGGTATTTCGTATTGTTTATATTGACTGCGTTTTCAAGTGCCTAACCTAGTATTGTAACGAGATTTCTTGAAACCACACATCAGTTGTAAAATAGTTTTCTCATGGTATAACTTGGATTAAAGAATAATTTAGAAAATGTCCGGAAAATGTGCGAAATGTGTTGGCTTGGTGGGGCAAAACATGTTGGTTACTTTGACCCTTGTCGGTGTCGGGGTGGGATTTATGATAGGATTTGTTGTACAAGAAGCGTCGGCGAGCGCGACCATGTGGATCGGTAAGTTTCTTTAGAACATATGCCATTTTTATTGTAATTTTGAAAATTAAGAGAAAAAAAAGATTACTTTGAAATTTATTTCACTGTGAAATAACGCAATTTTCTTTACTGTGATTAATCTTCATTTGAGTGCAGTAGAATAGCAAATGGAAATTTCGTAAACAAACCTAGAATTAAACATGATAAATGGAAGCCCATTAAAGACCCATTAAGCTTAAGAAGTACTTTTTATAATTTCTTTCTTTTTCAAAAGCTAAATTTTATCTTTGATGTACTCTTATTATAATTATTCATTGGCAAATTATTGCTCTGTTGCTTTATTATTACTTTTTTTTGCAAGATAGTACATTTATTGTAACTAAGTATTTTGTATGGAAGTCTAAATACTTCTTTGTTTACATTTTGCTATTTTTATGACAAATAATTTCACATTTATCACTGCATTCGTTCAACTGATAAACATCTAAAATGCCCCACGTTATGAAACTCAAATGCCCTTTCAGACTAAAAAAGTGTTGGAACACCACACTAAATACCGTATTCAGTATATACCGGACATGGCGCGTGAATGATTAATTAAATGCTAAAGTGATTATATTCAATTATTACTCTGACGACATGATTATTTTGATGACGCCATGGTGTAGTTCTTATGACGTAATGCTGCAGCAAATTAGTCAAAAACTAGAAATGGTATAGAAAATCCACCTTATGAGAAAATCAACGTAGTGCAAAGTGACGTCACCGAGATAACGTGACTCAAATCTGACGTCAAAATATGCACGTTTTTTTAACAATTTAACGCGTACACAATCCATACTCGCCACATTCAGTGCGTGTTGTCTCACTATTAGTCCAACTAATTAGACTTGTCAAAGAGACACCGAGATAATTTTGGACGGGCGCTGTCTTTTTTCAAAGTCCAACCACGAACTGCATTTTTATGCACGGGCGCTTCCCAATTAGAAGTTGTTGGGAGCGAAAACTAGAAAGGTTTTAAAGAAACGACCTACATTACCTGAAAGAGAACCGTTTTTTATGTAAGGTTTCAAATTATCATACTTCAAAGTCAAACAGAAGTCTAAATATTCCACTTTATTTTTTTAAATCGTTGAAAATTATTGAAAGCGGCCATATTGGAAATATAGAAGGAATGACGCAACGGTGTCATGGTAAAATTGTAACATTTTCATGGTGAAACACAGGTATCAGTGGCAATCGATTGTATACGCAAGCCTTATAATACAATTTGTTTATGTTATTGATGTAGATTATTGCAGGAATAACTCTTATATTCACACACGAATATTTCAGCATTAAAAATAAAATGTAAAAAGGAAATTCTGATAACCTTACTAAGAAATTAAATAGTTTATGATGTCCGACGTCAGTTCATACTGCATTTAAGTCTGTTTAAATGAAATTGTCAAATTAGAAATTATAAATTTGGATTTTTTAACATCTGTGATCATTAGGTGAAATTTCTGAACTGCCTTTGATTTCCCACATACAAAAATACAATGTAATTGTAGGTACATCTTAATGAATTATAATTATACTATACATGATGAAGCAAAGAAGAATTTCAATTTGTATTACACTCCATATCAATTTCTAGTTTATTATCTTAAAAACAATATTGAGGACAGTTGCGTAGGGGAAGAAGTTCAAAGCAACCAAAAATTACTTAAAAAATCTGAAAAAAACCCTTAAAATTTCACACTATGGAATTCCAGACTGGCCTTTTCTCAAGTTAAGAAATTACAGCCCTCAGTAAAATGCAATTGTCGCACAGATATGACGGGGTTTATGATAAAAATGCAGCAAGTGGGAATTTAGTGGCCGTAATTTAGACGTAGAATAACATAACAATGTAAGACAGATAGTCTGTTTAAATTACTGTAATCGTCTGTTAGAACGACTGTCGCAAAATTCCATGTTATCTAGTTCCCGCTTTTCATTGAACGGCACCTCGAATGTGTCACATTGAAAGCTTCCATGATTTACCCGCCGTATTTTGTACACGTCTGTGGGTGTTGATTCAAAATTTCAACATTATTATGTTTAAGTGATGTTTAAACCCGGCGCAATGGAACACCTACCAGAGCCGTCTTTTGGCACCATGTGTATTTTTGTTTCGGTTTTGCAGTTTTAGGGCGTTTTTTGTGGTTTTTTTTTTTTTTTTTTTGGACGGGGCGATGGGTGGATAAGTTTTTTTTCTGTTTTTTTACTTTTTTGGGTTTGTTTGCAAACCCTTGTATTAATAATCATTATCTGTTTTTAGGGTTTCGGTATACATGTATAAAATATTTTAAACCCCAAATGAAAAAGGGAAAGGGTGGCGTTCAATGAACGAAACCCCAAAACCGACCCAGGAACAAAACCTTTGGCAAAGCACAGGACCAAACAAAGAAGACAGGGGGAAGGGAAGACGGTCGGTTTTACTAAAAGATACATATGAAGAAATAAAAGTAAAGCAAGGAAAATTTAAAAAAAAGAAAAAAAATAAATGAATATTTAAAAGGGCCCCAAAATAAAAAGGCACGGGGGAAGGGATGGAAATTCGGGGGAAAGGGGGGGGGCGAAATATATAAAAAGGGGGGAAAAAAAGAAATTTCCATAAAAAAACAACAAAGGGGCCAAACAAAAGGGCACAAAAGTATGAAAAACAAAACAAAACCTAAAAATTTAAGACAATTCCCTTTAAACTTTATTTGAAAAATTTTTTTCTCAAAAATTTTTTTAAAAAATGTATCCCAAAAAATTATTTAATTTTAAAAATTTTGACCCCTTCCTTTAGTTTCACAGATAGTGCGGGCAAAATAAATTTTTTTAGTAAAATTAAAAAAGATTAAAAACATTAAAATCAAAAGAAAAAGTATTAATATTCAATGGGGAAAAAATTTGAAAATTAATTACAATACTGAATAATTTAAGTCTAAAAACCCTCAATATTTTTCACGTTTTTAATTTTCAAAAATAGCATGATAAATGAATATATTTTTCCCAAGTGCTTGGGATCTTACATAAAAAAGAACAACCACCTATTTTAAAATTTTAGAATGTATTAAAAAAAAAAATTTAAAAAACATATTTACTTTTATTTGTACCCTTTATTTTTGGGTTTAAAAAATTGGATTTAATATATTTTTAAAAACCCAAATTTTTTTAAAATAAAAATAGATTTTTTTTCCCCCTATTTTTTTCAATTAATTTGCGTTCCCCCACTTCCTGCTAGAAACGGTAGTATACCCCTTCAGAATGATTTTTTTCGATGATATAAATTCCGCCCAAATAGTTTTAAAATACAAATTGAAATAAAAAGCATGTAACGTTAGAAGGGGAAATTAAATTTTTTTTAGGGAAAATTTATAAATTTATATTTATTTATTTTTTAAGCAATTGAGTTACTTCAGGTTTAAACAGTAAAAATAGCCAACTATGAAGTGTTTCCGAATTTTTCCCGTAAAAAAAACATTAAAATCAAGGGGGGCCCCCACGTGGATGGTAATAGCTTGAATGATAAAAAAGATTTTATAAAAAACCTTTAAAATTTTTAAAATAGACGGGGGATTTTCGTAAATAAAATTTTTGATCACCCTCAAATTCATGCGGTTTTTCCCCTAAAAATGAAAAAATTCCAAAAAAATATACTGGTTTATAGCTTATAAATCCCAAATTGATAAAATAAAATTTTTTGTTCCCAAAATTTTAAAAAATTTTTTCAAAAAGTTCCCCTTTTAAAAAATTTTTATGTACGAGATGTGCAAAAACCCAAAATTCCCCGGGGAAAATTAATTTTTAAAGGGAGGTAAAAAAAAACCATGAAAAAAAACAAACATGTTTTATTACTCGCAAATAGTGGAAGCGCTCTATATTCTGGGTTTTTAAGAAATCTTAAATCAGAGAGAAATTTTTGACGAGAATTTGGGGGCCCCCGGACGTGACCGGGTTTGAATTTTATTGGTTGGTAAATTTTTTTATAAACCAAAACCCAAAAAAGGTTCCCTACCCATGACAGAATTTTAACATTATTCGGAAGCAAAATTTGCACATTTGAAGATTTTTTCGAAAAAAAATATAGAGCGCTTACGACTATTGCGCAGGGAGGAAAAAAAAACTAGTTTTGGATTGTTTTGGAAATTTTTCCTTTTTTAAAATTTTATTTTACCCCTGGAATTTTGGGGTTTTCGAAATTCGTAGAAAGAAAATTTTTTAAGAAGTGAATTTTTAAAAAAATTTTTTAAAAAGGGCTTTTGGGAATCAGAATGATTTTGTTTTATAATTTTTGGGTTATATAAGCATGCAAAGCAGTAATTTTTGGGAATTTTTTTTTTAAATTGTGGGAAAAACCGATGAATTGAGGGTGAGAAAATTTTATTTAGCGATAATGCCCCCTTTTCTATATTTAAAAAAAAATTTTAAGATCTAAAAACTCATTTTTAGGACACAAACGTATATACCATCCAAACACTGTGTGGGCCCCCTGTGGTTAAAATTAGGCGTAACGGTTTGACAGTAAGAAAAAAAAGTCTGTAAAATGGGTCAAACCGTTCACGCCGAATTAATTAGGCTATCTCACTATATCAATGGCGCTATATCAAAGGTCTTCATCAAACCTTTACATCACATAAATACTATGGATAGCTCTAGATCTAGTAGAACTGAACGTTATGATCTCTCGCACTCTTTCTATTTCGTGAATAATTTATTTAGAATCTAACATGTGATATAACTTTACTTTTTATATTTTACAAATAAATAATAATTTTGAAAGAATATTTGTATCTAACTTTTTAATTTAGAAATATCGACTTTCTCAATTCATTTATTTAAGTGCTAAGTAATTTAGTGGATCTACATGTATATGTTAAACAGTAACCCAGTTTAGAAATAAAACACACAATATCTGCATTTCATTTATTAACATTATATGAGATACAGCAAAAATGCATACGTTGTGTATACGTTTTTTAATCACTGCAGGGATGTTCAACCCTGTCGTGTAAAGCACGTATAATATACACGAAATAGTCAAGTTTACAAACGTACTATGTGTTGACAACATCTGGCACTGTCTCTAGAAGAACTATTTTTCTAGAGGAACTATTTTCTAGAGGAACTGTTTTCTAGAGGAACTATTTTATAAAGGAACTATTTTTCTATGTATTCAATTGATAAACAGGGAATTTTAGGCAATCTCCTGGAATAGACTCTAATGTCTATATAGAAATATACATCAAATACGGATTGAGCCTATTACATTATAGACTCCTGGTTTAGACCCCCATCTCTATATTTTATACAGTTATCATAAATTATGTGTATTTCATATAGAATACAATTATTATAACAAATTATAAACACATTTCTAGATGACGAATAAGAGAGGACATGATTTTAAAACATTACTCTGGGAAAATTGTAGAGAGTAAATTTTCAAGTCAAGTTTAATATCATGCTGAGATTTTGCTGATGTTATAAACAAACACTGCATGGTTTGTTCATCTAGAATTTTGAAATGTAAGAGCATTTGCAAAAAAGAATGACCCAAATTTTCTGCAAAATGCCATAGAGAGAAATATATTCAATAATTGTATAATTTGCCCTGTTTAACATTTTATCTTGGGAGTTTTATATATATGTCAAGGAAAATTATATCAAAGAATGCATTTCTAAAATGATTTGGCATAGTAAAAAAATGTTGTTTGAAAATCCAAAGTATAAGAAGAATCATTTGTCTCACCACATCCGGTTGTTGTTTTCTTTTTTTGGTTTTAGAATTTGACCTCTTTAATATCTAAAATTGATTCATTGATGGAAAAAAAATCATATTGAATATTACTGTTTGAAATTATTATTTTTTTTATGTACAATAGAAAGACAGTATTTAATAACACTTTACTTTGGAAAATCGCTTTTATATATAAAATATATAATAATTAATAGTTACTATATGAATTGAAAATAATCGAGTACACTTTCCTACGACAACTTTCATTTGCTGATGATTTATACTGCATGCCAAATTTATGTCATTTTCAATACTTATTCTGAATCAAATGACCTAGAAAGCCAAAAAATAAAAAAAAAAAAAAAAAAAAAAAAAAATCTGCAACCACTAAGAGTACCTCAGACATGTTGTTTTTTTTATGGAAATTCTTTACATAAGTTGGTCATAGTAAACTTACGTAATTGTAACAGTTAAAATACAGGGATGTAATACATACTTCCGTTGTGGTAGAAAAACACTTACTCGTAACAAGTTTGTTTGTGTGCGACCTAATTATGATGTTTCAATATTACATCATTTGAATGAGCACATCGTTTAGTCTAAATATTTTACCAAACCAAACAATCTGACATATGACCAAGAACGTCTGTGATTCGATAATCAATTAAGAGCTGGACTAACCTAGCCTAATCATCCACTTTCCCTGACCCAAGTCCTCCTGCCCCCCCCCCCCCCCTCCTCCCAGGCAACAAACACGCACGCAGACATACTGGAGCCGGTAGCAGCAATTAGTAGACACATACATAATATTTATGTCCCAGCAACAAATAATTATTTCATTTTAAAAAGGGAAAAGTTTTATAATACATTGTATATAATGAGTGTTTTAGAGCTTGTTAGATGCTTTTCACCTGGTCTGAGTTATAAAAGGAGTAAAATGTAAACAATTTAAGGTAGTATGTTTGACTTCCATACTAATTAATTATAATTGTTCTAAGTGCAAAGCAAAAGATGGTTCAGACAATTTGCTAATGCGTATTATAACTTATATATCCGGACACCAAAAATATAAAGCATTTATAAAAAAAAAGAAAAGATAAAAGCATTTAAAGGCGTAATGTGCCTTTAAATAGTGAAAGGGCATAATGGGTCTTAAAAGATTGGGATATGTCAGATAATAAAATAATTATGTCACAAAACTTTACAAGATTATCGTTTTTTTATTTCAGGAATGCCCGGAGAGCTGTATATCCGAATGTTAAAAATGATGATTGTTCCACTCGTTATTTGTAGCGTAATTTCTGGTTTGTACCAAAAGTGTTGAATATTTTATACATTTTTAAATATTTACTACAGCAGAAAAAGTTCTTAAACTTTACACAATTGAAGAGAAACATAACTGAAACAAATTGATGGAAAATGTATTGGAGTCACTGTCCTTTTTGAATGATCTGATTCCTAAAAATAACTTTCTTACTCTTAAAGTTCACTTCCGTCTTTGGTTGCAGATATACTAAAATTTAATTATCCGATTAATAATTCATAGTAAAATAATTGAAGTATACACATTTTTTAACAGCAATAAGTATAGGTGAAGATTTTTCCCACTCTTTAATTTTATTTCAATTTTGCTTTTAGGTACAGCCAAAATGGACCCGAGATCAAATGGCAAAGTGAGCGGAATATCTTTGGCCTACATTATGGTCACAAATCTAGTCCCGGTCATTTTATCAGCGGCTCTTTGCCTTATCATTAAACCGGGTAAGACTTTTTAAATTCAAATTAAAAATTAATAAATGTATCTTTACTGCTTTGGTTTTTATTCATCTTTGCAACTGAAAATTTGTATATGCTATAATAACACAACTCACGAAGTGTACTTTTGTAATTCATATTCTGGTGACGAAAATGATCTTTTAAGATGTCCATTCCTCAAAAAACGACATAAAAAGAGTGGTATAACTAAAATAGTAGAGTTTTTTTATTTATAATCTGTAATATAATTATGAATTGTATTTCTTTAAATACGACACGAGTAGAGCATTGTGGAATGGATGTAACTCGTTGTCAAATTATTAACTATCCGTAAAATTATTGTTACAGTGTGGTTTTAATACACTAATGAATTTGTATATAAGACTTGTTCTTTTATTCTCTTGTAAACCTGAAAAGACACGGGTTAGCTTACGTGATACAGGGTTAGATTGCGCAGTTGCAAAAGCAGGCAAAAAAAATGCTGCGAAATAGCAAAACCAAGCTAATATTGCTGCGTAGAAGTATAGAAAAAGCCAGCCAAAATTGCTGCGTGGTGGCTAAAGGAAGCCAATATTGCTGCGAAGTAGTAGAAAAGCAAGTCAATATTGCTGCGTAATAGCAAAGCAAGTCAATATTGCTGCGTAGTACTAAAAAGCCAGCCAATATTGCTGCGTAATAGCAAAAGCAAGTCAATATTGCTGCGTAAAAGCAAAAGCAAGCCAATATTGCTACAACAGTGGCAAAGACAAATCAATATTGCCATAACAATAGGAGGCAAATACTTTGATTGAGATGAGATTCTTAATTTATATATATGCGTTTGATACTAGAAAAATAATATAAAAATTATAGTCAGTAATAATTAAGCCTGGGATATTACAACCTTTTGCTTTCTTACATAAAGACCCTTTTTAAAATGTAAATATTTATTCTGTAGGAGACGGTGTGGAGGCAGGTGTTGATATGTCAAAGTTTACAACGGATGTCATGGAAACAGAAGATATCTTCGCCGATCTTCTCAGGTAAGCAACTGTTTGACAATCCCATATGTTCGGGTCTTTCCGTTATTCTTCGGCTAACGTCGAGGATAATATTTATTGGACAATGCTCGATACCCAGAAACTGTAATTAAAGAATGAATCGTGTTGTCTGTGAGTAAATATTGTTAGTAAAGTGTTGGTGCTTTAAAGGGAATAAATCTATATCTTATGAAATATTTTATATGAAATATGCTTTTCTTTTTATGTAAAACCGTTGCATTTGTATTTATAATATGCATGCAATTCAAATAATAATTCGTATAAGTTCCTTAATTAGGTACAAGTATTTAAAGTGATTTTTTTTCATTTAAAAAGATGTGTTACTGGCATTTTAGGTACAAGTTATACTCAGCAAAAGATTGTCATGTAATAGATTAACATTTTTGTCTTTCTTTTCAGAAACATAGTTCCTGATAACCTGATAGCATCATGCTTCGAACAGGTATACATATGAATTAATATTTTCAGGAATAGATTAATATGGTATAGAAAAAGTAATATTAATATCAATATATTTTACCCACACAGGTAATATATGCATGTATATACGCTCTTTCATTTGCATGTAAATTGATAATAAATCACAAGTGTTTTACATCTGCGGGATGATTTTTACAATTACTATATGTAAATGTGGAGTTCTGCTTTAGCCGGTGCTGGGGGGGGGGGGCGGTGCGTGGACGGTAGCTTTGTACTAAACACTGCCGTCCCTGTATAGGCTCAGTCAAACCGAGCCTGCAACAATTCAATTTTGCCGTTTTGGGTGCTCTTCATTCCTTCGTTTTCTATTTTTAAAGTATTTTACATTGTACCTAAAATGTGCAAAGCATAAATATTTGGCATAAAAAGAAGAATAAATCATTACCTTTTACGATTTTGTTAAAAAAAAACACATTAATTTAAAATAAAATCTTACCAGCAACCACATCACTCGTCACTGCTTTAATATCATTTATCAATTTTTTATATTCATATCTTTATTATTATCTATACGTACCTATTTTTACCAAGCAATTATTTCGCGCGAACGTGCCATCTCGGCTTTTTGTCACTATTGCAATGTTTTTGCTTTTTGTATGAACATTGATGCTTTGTCAATGGTCCTCCTTTGGGCTTTATTGCAAATATAAATTCTTCTTCTTCATCTTCTTCTTCGTCTACGTCTTCTTCTTCTTCTTACATAAGTTTTTTTTATATTTTAAAGACACAAACCAAGTACAAATATGTGGATAGAGAGGTTATTATCAACAATGGAACACAAAACATGACGTCATCAGTTAGAGAATTATCCAGAAAATATCTAGGAGCAGCTAAATCTACGAATATATTAGGTAAACCAAACATACTGAATTAAAGGCACATTTTGCCTCAGAAATGAATAAATTTTACATTCTGTTAAATGGACTCTACACACTGAGGTTTAAAAAACTAAAAACATAACATTTAAAATTTCTTAAATAAATAAGCTTGGGCACTTTAAACAGAAATATATGCAAAGATAGTTAAGAAATATACTTTGAAATAAATTGAAAATCGTATTTTTATGCTTTTCTGAGCCCGATTTGGGTGAAAAGTGTTTAAACGCTTTTCATTTTGGGTCATTTTTTAACAATTTGAATAATTATTCTGGAACAACGGAGTGCGCGAATGATCAGAAATTTTGCACAAAGATTAGTGGTCTAAACCTACATCAAATGGTACATTTATCTGGAAAAAATATTTAAAGTCCCATCATGTCAAAAATCCTCAGTGGAGTCCTTTTAAAAGGGCAAATATTTGTTTAACAATGTTGTGGTAATATATTTAGAATATGTGAGATGTTATCGCCTGAATACAATGCCGTTGAATGGAAAATTAATTGTGATAAAACAAAATGTAAAAAGGGGTACCTTGACTTCCATACAAAATACTCATTCACTAAACAAACCGCAAAGAAACAAAAAGATGGCTCAGAAAAATGGTGGCCAATGAGTAACTTTTATTACATGCTTTTCGATGGCTTATAGAAATATATCAATGAAATATAAAACTGATATTTCACTGTTTGCAATGAGTGTTGATTAAATATATTTTGACATGAATTTATTAAAACACCAGACACGAATTAACCATGAACTACAATTTGAAACGTTCAGAACACTGGTCAACAAAAAAATCTTTTAAATAATGTACAATTTAATTCGAAATATTTTGAAAAATATATTAATTTTACTCATTAAACGAGTATATTATGTTATGTAAACCAAATTCAGGTTTGATCATAGTAAGCGCAATATTTGGAGTAGCAGCCGCTGCAATGAAGGGACAAGGGGAACCATTCCTCTCCTTCTTCCGGTCTGCCACCGACATCATCATCAAAGTACTCAGGGTGCTCATATGGTATGCATTTTAACCTTCATTAAATAAATTGCTGACTTGATTGATGATCAATGAAAGAATTATTTTCATTGGTCAATCAATATTTTCATTGGTCAATCAATTCCAGATTCAGTATACTCATAACAATTTAATGATTTAACAGGTGTTTATCAAATTTTGATAAATCAAATTTTGATAAAAGATATTGTATATTTTCACTTTCTTCGTAAAAACATGTAACAGTCAAGCTTTCTTTTAGCTACTTCGTTCACTTTGATAAAATTATTTTGTACGGATGTGGACTTGATGTTCTTATATGAATGTAGGCATGTATTTGAGACAACATACATGTAGTTGCAATATAATGATTCTTTTCTGTAGTTGAGGTCATATGACGTCTTTAAAATGAAGGTCTTCTAGGCCTCTTACATTAGGACCACCTCGACGATTTTTCATAATCATCCTTTTCCGAAGATAGGCGGAAAAGGCCGGAAAGTCGCTATTTGGACTATTCTACCAAAATGAGATTACTTACAGAGATTCGATGTTTTAGTTCGTACCTATAATATATTGACTTATTTTGAAAATACTGTATCATTTCTACAGGGCCACTCCAGTGGGCGTTGCTAGTCTTATTGCTAAAGCGATAATCAGTACAACGGATGTAGATGAAACATTCCGGAAGTTAGGGCTCTACTTTTTGACAGTTATGATCGGACTTGTTATCTGGGGTTTCATGCTCGTTCCCGCAATATTCTTCGCCGTTCGCCGAACCAACCCTTTTTTCCGGTTCCTAGCTTCTATAATGCCTTCTATAATGATCGTATTTTGCAACCGGAAGCACGTAAGTAAAATATGGCGTCGTTTTGTCAAGATAAACTGAACGCGCTTCAAAATGTTCATCTTTTTTCAGTTCTCATGAAATATTAGATTATTTTATTGATTTAAATCATACCAAGATCGGGTTCTATTGAAGATCTAGAAATTATAAATGATTTCATGGCAATGAATCGTGAAATAAAGTGTTCACAATTTGAACTGTTTCTTCACAATCTGAATGTGCATGGAAAGAAAAAAAGTGATGTTACAACGACTTAAAATCTGAAATCTGAAACAAACATTAGCAGTGTTTTACCCCCACCCCCTCCCTTTTTTTGGAGGGGGGATGTTAGGGTCCACCAATTTAAACTTTTTATTGACTTATTTCTATAGATAAAAAGACAGATCTTTTAAAAGTAATTTGTCATCTTTAACAAATTCAAAAAATTGAATATTTACAGAGTTATTGCACTTCCGGAGAGTTTTCACAGCTTAGAGAGCAAAAATGGCGTCGATACTCGAATTTCTCGTTTTGTAGCGCCCCTAGCGGCAACTATCGGACGCGCAGGAAGCGCCCTCTACATCTCGTCATCATGCTTCTTCATCATCCAGATGCTTGGTCGTGACGTCAATGCAGCTGACATAATTTCTGTCATGTAATATTCGTCATTTTATAAATACTTGTTACTGATCCATAGATTTAGTTAAATGTACGCTTTACGATCATGGTTCATTTTCAGAACAAAAAAAAAAACAAAAACAAAAAAAAGCAGGAAAAACAACATACATTTGTTTTAAAAGCTGGGCCTTAAATGTCCGTGTTGTTGGGGTACTATATATCCAGAAAAAAATATCAGTGCTGGTTTAACAGCGCAGCTATTTTAAAAATTCAGTTTTCTTTATATATTTCAAGAAAATGAGCTATTACCCAGAACTAACCAATATTTCCGTTTCCCATTTCTAAATATGAAACTTGTGATGATAATTTGCCTTTTTGTTAAAAATCTTTTCTGTACAATTTCTGAACAAGTGTTGATAATTTTAAAAAAAAATCCCACCTAACATCCAACTATTTCGGAGGACACAGACTTTTTTCTTTCGGCCTCATTATACAAAACACTTTTAAACTGAGATTAAATCTGGTTTTATTATTAGATAATTTCAAGATCATTCAATAAAACATGAGCCGCGTCACGACAAAACTAACATTATGCGTTTGCGACCAGCATGGATCCAGACCAGCCTGCGCATCCGCGCAGTCTGATCAGGATCCATGCTGTTCGCTATCAGTTTATCTACTTGTAATAGGATTGGTAAGCGAAAAGCATGGATCCTGATCAGACTGCGCGGATGCACAGGCTGTTCTGGATCCAAGCTGGTCGCAAACCCATTATCTTGGTTTTGTCGTGACACAGCTAAAATAATTTTTAAAAGCGCAGACTTGTGTCAATAATTTCAGATTGCTCACCTGGATATCGGCTCTGGCAATTCCGTCAGTGACAGGTGCCAGTCTCGTTACCGTATTAATCCTTTTAACCGCTCTCAATATTCCGGGTGAGGCCGCCGCCATGTTGTTTGCACTGGAGTTCTTCCTGTAAGTTTAATTCTTCACTCAATATATAGTTCAAAATTTATGAATTGGCAAGTAATTTGAAAAGAGAACTAATGTATAAAGTCGCTGGAGGTTTAAACAGTTTTCCTGTTCTATTTTGCTCTCATTTTGCATTAAGAGGACCTCATTCTTAAGAAGTTTTTATGTTGTTCTTAGTTGTACTGAATGATCTTATTTGTATTTGCAAGTACTTATTGAACAGGAGTACTGATTTGGATATTATGTCTAGCATGTGTCGAACATTAGATTGAATATATTTAAATCTTATTTATCAAATATTTAGGATAAATTATTTCTTGTGAAGTTTACCGTACTCTTTACATGTAATGTGCCATCAGAGTCCGTGTGCTTTGTGTAAATCGCATTGTGTATATCTGTTTAGTGTTGATCGCACTGTGTATGTCTGCAATGTGTTGATTGTATCGTGTATGTATGTCTTAATTGTGTTGATCACATTATGTATGTCTGTTTTGTGCTGATATTTTGTGTTGATCGATTTGTGTATATGTGTTTTGTGTTGATCGCATTGTGTATGTGTCTTTTGTGTTGATCACATTGTGTATGTTTCTTTTGTGTTGATCGCTTTATGCATGTCTGCTTTTGTGTTGACCTCATTGTGTATGCATGTCTTGTGTTGATCGCATTGTGTGTTGTTTTTTAGCTCGACTTTTTTTTGGAAAAAAAAGTAGAGGTATTGCTATAGTCGCGGCGGCGTTGCTGTTGCCGTTGCCGTCCGCAAACTTGTACCTGGATCATAACTTTTTTATTTCTTGGTGAATTGTCTTCATACTTGGCCACAACAACCCTTGGGACAAGACCTTTCAGTAGACCACACTAACATTGACCTTCATCCATAAATGACCTTGACCTTCAAGGTTAAAAGTCCAATTTTTGCTTGTTCATGCTGTTATGGGCTGTAACTTTGTTATTTTTGAAAGGATTGTCTTCAAACTTGAACATAATAATAATCTTCAAGGATTTATCCCTTAAAATAGCCCGACAGACCTTGACCTTCAACTCATAAATGACCTTGAAAATTTGAAGGTCAAATTATTGAAATTTTATTTTTTTGGCTATTATTGGCTGTAATTTTGGTTTTTTTAAATTTGGATTGCCCCTTTAAAAACTTGAACAAAATTTAATTTAAAGGGATAAATTTTTAAAAAAAAACCAGAAGACTTTGACCTTCACTCCAAAAATGCCCTTTTGACCTTTTCATTTTTTTTGGCGTAATTTGGCCCTGTAATTTTTGCTATTAATTGAAGGGACCCAACTTCATATTATAATAAAACATCCCTTAAGGAAAAACCTTGTCCCCAAACCACATTCACCACCACTGATCCCACCAGACGTGAAAAAACCACCAGAAACATGACTTCCCCAAAAGTACTTCCCCATTAAATCCCCCACGTGACTTCACCAAGGGTGACTCCCCCAAAGGTGACACCCCACTTTAAATTTCCCCAAATTTTGACTCCCCCAGGGTAAACTCCAACCACGTGCCTCCACCAAGAAAACTCCCCCACGTACCCCCCCACGTGACTTCTTTACTTTGATTTTCCCCAAGGATTTAAATCACGTGACCTCATCCGTGACCCCCCAAAGTCTCCCTCCACGTAAAACTCCAAATCAAAAGACACACTTTTTTATTTTTTTTAAAATTTTTTTATTTATGGAATTGGTTTTTTCCAAAATTTATAAAATTTGGGCGGTTTTTATTTATAATATAATAGTATATTTTATAATACAAAAAAATTAAAGACAAAACTAAGGGTGAAAACATAAAACCCGTTAAATTTTTTATAAAAAGAAACTTTTAAGGGTTTTTCCCTCAACTTTTCCCTTTTTTTTCCTTTTTTAGAGAAAAAAAAAAGCCCGAGCTTTGGGCCTACCCCCGGCGGGGCTTTGTTTGTGTTGATCACTTTGTACGTCGGGTTTTTGTGTTGTTTCACATTTGGTGTCGTCATTTTGGGTGTTAAATCACATTGTGTACGTTAGTTTTGTGTTGATCACAGTGTGTATGCATGTTTTGTGTTGATAACATTGTGCACGTCAGTTTTGTGTTGATCACATTGTGTACGTCAGTTTTGTGTTGATCACATTGTGTACGTCAGTTTTGTGTTGATCACATTGTGTACGTCAGTTTTGTGTTGATCACATTGTGTACGTCAGTTTTGTGTTGATCACATTGTGTACGTCAGTTTTGTGTTGATCACATTGTGTATGTCTGTTTTGTGTTGATCACATTGTGTATGTCTGTTTTGTGTTGATCACATTGTGTATGTCTGTTTTGTGTTGATCACATTGTGTATGTGTGTTTTGTGTTGATCACATTGTGTACGTTAGTTTTGTGTTGATCACATTGTGTATGTTTGTTTTGCGTTGTTCACATTGTGTACGTTAGTTTTGTGTTGATCACATTGTGTATGTCTGTTACGTCGGTTTTGTGTTGATCACGTTGTGTACGTCAGTTTTGTGCTGATCACTTATGTACGTTAGTTTTGTGTTGATCACATTTATGTGTAAATCTGTTGTTGTTTTTTTTTTGTTGGTCTACATATTGCTGCCTATACAAATATAAATATCATTCTTGTTGGATTTTTTCAGAGATCGATCACGTAGTGTGGTTAATATGAACACGCAGCTTACTGGAGCTATAGTTACAGATAAATTTTTCGGGGAGTTTTCACAATCTCCACCGGAAGTTTCGGGCCCAAATGAAAACAAAACACTGCTGAATGAAACAATCGTGAAAGACGTCAATCTTCAAGTTCAAACAACGCCAAACATTTGATGACTTCTGTCGCTTTAATGATTTTTTTGTATTAATTAATTATTTCATTGTATTATAGCGAAACATTTTTATTATTTATTATATTGGCAGCGTCAGTCAATCTGACTAAAATTTAGATCTACTTAATCTTTTTTATGTATGACCTGATGACGACCGTAATAATGTTTTTCCCTTTCTTCAAATTCGGAATTTTCATCGAGAAAGGAATTTTAGCCATGTAATCGACCCGTTTTAACAGAGGCATTAGAAAAAAGTAATCAAAAATACCTGTTACCCGTGGAAAATAAACAAAATTGTTGATTTTGTTAGAAAAAAAAAGTTTGAAGTAATTTTTAAACAAATTAAATTTGAAATTATAGAGTCAATTTTTAATGGGACAAAGATTGTTTTGCCATTTACCACCTGGCGGCTTTATTTGGACAACGCCACCAGTACCGTTTCCCCCGAGTTAAAAATCGCTTTCGCAAAAATTTATGAAAGCTCGCCGATGATTGGCTGTGTGAAAGGTACCAAAATGTTTTCGTTTTTTTTGGTCAAGTCCACGGTCAGATCTAAAAAGCGGAGCGTTATTTAGAGCGGAATTTTGTAAATAGATTGCAAGGTCAGTCTAATTACCCGCTCGCGAGGAGGGTCACAGGATCAGTTATCGATCTTGATGCATTTACTGCGAAGTCATATCGATAAGTATGTGTAAAGGGAAGGTACTCAAGAATAGCGTATTTGTATAGTTGGTCGAAATTGTCGAACTTTCATCGGTATGTGACTTAATACCGGATATGACATATTTTTCAAAGTTAGTGTTTTTGGGTGATTTGTTTCTTGCTATGATAATTTACGATAATAAAGTAATAATACGTGCAAAAAATCGTTAAATTTGGCACAAAATAAAAATGTTAAATGTTATATTCGTTGCATGTTCTATAAAAATTAATATCCGTGCCGGACAAAACATACCGAATATGACTCGTTATTTTCAAACTTATATTTTTTTCGCATTTTTGTCTTGATCATTTAGATAATAAGTAATTAAAAAATATTTATTGATATTACCAAAAATATCGGTTTACTAAAAAAAATTTAGATATAATAATGCAAAAAGTTTTATATCTCCAACACCCTGGTTAAAACATCAGAACATCCCGATCGTCTGAACTGCTCGTCAGAAATAAAAACGGATCTAGATTTACTAGTAGTTTATTGAGAAAATGTGCTTCCATATCGTACAATTGCCAGGTGGGTGCCAATGTTTAAGAAAGGTAGATGATGATTCCCGCCTTGGCTACCTCTGAAAAAGCCACCAGCACTGTCAAAGCCATACTTGATGAAAATGCAAGCTATACCGTGGAGAAGATAAGTGACATATCGGGCCTTAGTGCGATATATGTGTTTTCCATCTTGAAAGAAAAGTTAAAGTTAAGGAAAGTGTGTGCCCGTTGGATTCCGCATTTGCTAACTTCTGACTAGAAAAGGGAGCGGTTGAAAAAGCCTCGGCCTGATTGACTAGGTTCAAAGATCGATACCCTAGACGCCTGAAAGAAATTGTCAAAGGGGATGAAACATGGCTTTATTATTTTTTTTAAGCCCGACAATAAACTCTGTAACAAAATTTGGGTAGGTGAAAACAGCGATCGCCAAGTTGTTGCTCGACGTAGCGGGAGCGTTAAAAGAGTTATGCGCGCTCTATTTTTTGACAGTGATGGAATCGTGACCCGTGTCGCTGTGTCTGAAAGGGGCAGTGTCACAGGACCATTTTTTCGTGACTATGTTCTCACTACTGTAGTTAATTACTAAATTGCAAAGAACCCAAAGTTCGGGTGCGCAGGATCAAATTACTCCATAATACTGCTCATCCCGCTTACAGTCCTGACCCCTCTCCATGTGACAAATTTTGGGTTTAAATTCCCTAAAATTTCAAAACTTTTTTCTTTTGCAGTTGCCGGTTCGAAACCGGGTCGTAGTGGGCCAAAACCCCCGGGAAAAACCCCCCCCTTTAACCCGAAAAGCCCAAAAAAACAGTTTCAAAAATGTTTTTTCGGGGTGGGGGTCTGGTGCAGGAAAAGTGTGTTTTGAAGGCCTCAATAATCATTTTCACAGGTATTACTTATTTATAAAAACGCGCTGCCGTTGCCACAAATTAAAATATGCCCCTCGTACATCTTTTAATACGCAGGCTATATATATCACTTTACATAGAGAAGTTCATCTAGTTAACTTGACACGCATAATTTATATGTATAAATACATATTTTAAGTTTTTAAATTTAAGCTTAATATATTTGAAATAATATTTTACATTCGTATTAAAAGTTGCAAATGCATCAGTATTGAAGCATTTTTCATGGCAGTTTGAACTTGTAACAGGAGGCTTTTCAATGAAAACGGCCATTTTTCACAACATGCTTATGCGGTAAAAGGTTAAACAAATGTTTGACATTTCTAAAGAATTAAACATATATGGATTTCTGAGGCACAACGTGCCTTTTAAAACGAATTAATCGTCACCCCCCCCCCCCTCCCCTCCCTTTTTCTCATATTTATAATACTAAGGTTTCTCAGCGTTTTCAGAAGTTATTAAAGGTGTGCAATCTTACCGTGCGGACATATTTTTTTCGTCTTTCTACGCCCCTGATTTTTTACTTATTATACATATTTATGATATACATGTATATGGGTTAACGTTAAATGTGTTTCATGGTAGCTCTGTTTTAATATTTATAAGGCATTAAATTGAACAGCAAATGTTCATGCATTATGCATGTGTCGCTTATACCCGCTTATCACGAGCTTGAAAATGTTAATGCGAAATTGTCCAAACTCTTGTAAATTCAAATCTAAGGGCGTTTTTCCTGTGAAGATTTTAAAGAAACCTAATTATATGTATACAAATGTAGATATATTCAAACATCATTACATTTTATGAATAGAGGAGAAGAGATGCAGGTTTTTGTGATGTGTATATTAACCCGACCATAACCAAATTTTTTGTCAAGTAAACAAAATGAACCACCTACTTTCATGGACAGTGTCGTCTGGATTATCAATTTAAACGTTTATATAACTAGGTAAGTGGTTTTGAAAATCAAGATTTACATGTTACAAAGCATTTTTTTGTCATGCATATCTTATATATATCAGAGCATATCTTTTGTTCGGTATCATATCGGCGCATATCTTGTTCTTTATCGTATCGGCGCTTCTATTCTTGTTCTAGATAATATCGGCATATCATAGCGGTGCATATATTTTTGTTCTATATCATATCGACGCTTCTTTTCTTGTTCTATATCATATCGGTGCATATCTTCTTGTTCTTTATCGTATATCGGTGCATATCTTCTTGTTCTTTATCGTATATCGGTGCATATCTTCTTGTTCTTTATCATATCGGCACTTATCTTTTTGTTATATATCATATCGGCGCATATCTTCTTGTTCTTTATCATATCGACACTTCTGTTCTTGTTCTATATGATATCGGCATACCATTTCGGTGCATATCTTTTTGTTCTATGACATATCGACGCATATTGCCTTGTTCTATATCATATCGGCTCATATTTCCTTGTTCTATATATAATCGGCGCATATCTTGTTGTTCTTTGTCATATCGGCGCATATCACCTAGTTCTATATCATATGGGCGCATATCTTCTTGTTCTATATTATATCGGCGCATATCTTCTTGTTCTTTATTATATCGACGCTTTTCTTATTGTTCTATATCGTATCGACGCTCTTCTTTTTGTTCTATATCACATCGGCGCTTAAATCTTCTTGATATATTTATGTAAATACATGTAGTATCAAAGCATGTACATTGTAGAGATTATCTGTAGTGTGTTGTTATGTCTGATACTTTTACACTAGCAACATAATTATCCATCATAGACTAGTTCACTTTAAGATGTTGTTTGTGATTTTGTTAATCAATGTACCGTCTGATAAACAGTTTAACACTTACTTGATTTTAAATCATATGTTATATTAACAGAGTATTCAAGGGTTTTCTGTAAATAAATGATTTATTTTCATCAAATGGTATGAACAATTTTCATACCACAAGATGTATAGTAGAAGTCAAATGTTCTGTTTATTATACTTTTATTTCTTCTTTTTTTGACGCTACAATTTAAAAGACTTCCCTTTATTTTGTATATCGGCTTAATTTATAAGAAAGTGGTCCGTTAAGACACTAGTGACCGGAAAATAATTGCATTGCACTGAAAAAAAGATTTACTGTGAATACGGAAAATGAAAATACGCATTTTATTTCATCAATAGTTCTCAATATTTCGTTTATTTATAAGTGTATAATAAATAGCTAAATGTACATACTAAAATGAGTTTTTATAAAACGAAATGAAAAATATTGATTTTACTAACATTTCATCTTAATATTTTCGAAAAGGACAGTGCATCTTTATTTTGACAATGTTGATGCTCTTTTACATTTTTTGTCGCTTTTCAACTTAATATCTCCATGAACGAATTGTACTCATGTGCGCATGCGCTGTAAATATGTGTAGCTTCAGATACAGATTTTTGCGATAGACATAACATTAAGGCGGTCGCTAAGATCAACTAAAATTTATAACATACCGGACCGTTGTATTTTAATGGTAATATCGTCCAAATAAAGATGGCGCAAATTTATGTTGCCCCTATTGGCTTTAAATCGCCAAAACAATAGTAAAATAAATAAAAAATAAAAATAGATATAAAGATAAATAAATAAAATAAACGCAAGTTACCTAAATTATATAAAGAACTGCCGCAGCGAGACAACCCTACTTGTTAGATTGTTTTCGACACAATTCGTTGCACGTGCACTAAATTTGTCCTACTTAATTCTTATATTGCAGCACAATATATATAAATGTTTCCACGTCTGCATCTTGAAATCTGATATTTGATATAAAGTACCTAGTCACTACATAAAACTACGAATCAAACAATAATATACCATTAAAATGCTATTCTATCTAAATGTACTTCTAACTGAAGACCTTGACTACTGCAGAAATGAAGAAAAGTCGAAATATATCCTCACGAAAATAACACCAAAAATGTAGATTGTACCGGGTACTACATTACTAAAATAATATTGTTTATAACTTTTGATACAGCGTCTCTGGCTGAAGGTATGTGTGTCAGACTATTTTTTTCTTTGGATTTTTATTGGGGGGGGGGGGGGGGGGGGGGAAGGGGCCGGGGGTTGTTTTGTTCTGTTATTCATATATAATAATATTGTACCATGTGTCACTCATTAACCCGTGCAGCGTAGCTCATTTTGTCACGTTGTTGTTGTATTTTTTTGATCGCAAGATCAGTAAATACATAGCTAACATCCACGGTCTAACACAAAATTTCCTCACAGACCTAACAACGCAAAGTAGTTCTCACTCAAAACTGCTTAAAAACCAGCAATTTAAAAGAAAGAATAATTTTTAATGTAGACATTTTACGAATCACAGTGCATTAAAAGTTTAGAAGAGTCAACAGAAATATGAGGTTACAATCACAAATTTCGCGGATGAAAATCTTTTTTACCCAATGAATAATGTTCGACTATTTCCGTAAAGCTTAATCAATGAAAATGCTATTTTAGCTATGTCGATTACCGAATACTCCAGAGCGTAGTACACAAATAAATCTGACTGTCGAGTAGTGGAATATATACATGTCGGACTGTTTTGGCGAGAAGATTTTCGCTAAATTATTTTCATCAGTGTTTAACAACAGGTTTATCGTGAAAAAAATACCTCGAAATTTATAAAGATTACAAACACGAAATGGAAATTCTCAAATTTAGAATTACAATGTATTTGTTTTTATTCATGCTACATACGTCTTACTTCACCGTGGTGCAGAGGTAGCGCGCTCGTTTAGGGTGTGAGAGGCCTAAGGTTCAAATCCTAGTCAAGGCAACAATTTTTAAAGTGTCTTTTTGAGGAAGTAGCCACGATATGCAAGGATAAAGTGTGGCTGTCATAAAAAATGAAAAATGAGTTTTTGTTGCAAAATTCCATATCTATCAATCTCAAACTGTTATAGAAAAAAATCTAAACGCAGTCGCTGCGTAAGATGAATTATAGTATATAAAAATAAACATATACAGGAAAGATCAGAAAATACCACAGAGCATGCAGCCCTTTGATTTTTAATTAACGCACGACTTTTAAGATCTGGAGAAAGGGTGATCCTTCGGAAGCATAAATCACAATAAAATTATATGAAAATTGCTGGCTCGGTACGGAAAAGGTCTTATCAATGCTGGAATCAAACTATGCTTTAAATTGTATATCTTAGTGCTAATAATGAATGTTTACGAATCACTTATTCGTCTTAGTATGGAAGTAAATTTTCACGCAGTTATCGTATTGCACAGTGATTTAACTATAGGTGTTTCCTAATAATTAATGTTTTGGAACTATATAGTACTGTAGTTAGTGTTTTATGAGGGTCCATCTCTAAATGCAGCTTGTACTGTTGACTACGGACCCTGAACATGTCGCCGGTCTTTTCCTTATAGGGTTACTTTTGGAGCACAAAGCGGCATTCTGCCTTTATGATAACTCTTGTAGATTTTTATCAACGTGTAGGCATAAAATTGTAAATCTCTCAGTTGAACTGTAATTAAATTGTTAACTTTTAATGTACATTGTACTATAGTTGATTAATAGCGTTTTCTTTGTACTGGTAGTGTTTCACAGCAAAGATTTAAATTCAGAATTGTTAATGAATTTTTTTTTATATTTAACTGATACCACGGTAGACGTTCCTCCTTGTTAATTTGTGTCATAATCAGTTAAGTTAACACAAACACAAACCTTTGATTGATAATGTCTGGCAGAGCCAGACGTCTTTATTATCATCAAATGATTAAATACGCTTTCATATAGAAAACAAATTGTAACAAACGTTATAAAAAAGATGACACAAAGTTTTACAACAAACGATTTTATGTTTACAACATTATCACATTTCTTTACACATTGTGGCTTACTTTCAGTTGCATTAGAATATGGATGAACTAGAGAACAAGACGTGCAGGCAGAAATGTTACTGGTGGTTGAAACAGAACTTGTTAGTGATACTGACTCTGGTCGCATGCGGTGTTGGCTTCCTGATTGGTCTCCTGGTTGAGCCAGCGGATCCGTCGCCTAGTGCCATCATGTGGATAGGTTCGTTAAATCAGTACTGATGAAGTTCAAACTAGACACAAAGGATGGAGAGAAGCAACGGGATTCGAACTATGTTACTTTCTAGTCATCGATCTACCGTTCTACCGACTGAGCGTTCCGTTTCAATCATATGGTAATATTTAAAACTGGTATTTGACAACCAATACAGGAGTCGGATTGTTTTAATCCCTTACAATTAAAAGCACTATTCCAAAGTCTTTTAGGATATAGTTGAAACCACATGCCCAATGCATTGTTTCTCTACATTTTGCACGCTAATCAAACAGGTATTACTGATGGGGTGAAAACAAAAGTTGTTTTACATAATATGTACATGTACTTGAAAACCTGAAATAAACAAACAGATATGTCGAGTATTCAACAATTTCAAGCAGTAGGTGATTCAAATTATTTAAGATACAAAAATAATGCTTTCATTTATGCATAAGCATGTATTAGTCAAAGTATAAAAGGACAGGAAGTGATAACTGACTCGTATTATTCATCACTCATTCACTCTCTCTCTCACGCTGAGCATTCTATTTTAATTAAAGTAACTGACGTGAACTGGTCTTCCGTTAATTCGCATTATGACATTTCACTTGGTGGCTTACTGGTATTGGCAACAAATTTGGTCTGTCGTTGAATCATTTAAATTAGGCTACTAGAAGCTCAAAGTTCAAAGACGCCCATCTCTACGAAAATGTTTCTTCACGATGCCACCTTTTAATACTTAAATTCAATTTATTCATATTGTCACATATTTCTTTTGTCTGGCATATTTTGTTTTACATTCAAAGGTATGCCAGGAGAACTTTACATACGGATGCTAAAAATGACGATTGTACCTCTGGTTGTTTGTAGTGTAATCGCAGGTAATCCTTGAAAACTGTAAACTGTTAAATTTACGCGGCCTTTTATTTCCGAGCTTTTGCTGTTGTTGTTGTTGTTGAACGGAAGAAAAATCAAAGAGTTCTATAGTACTTGAACTCTGCTGAAATTATTTAAATTTTAATAATGTCACAAGTGAATGCCGTAATAGTGTGACAGACGGCCGCTTAACACAATGTTAAGATTGTGCGGTCAATGGACTTCCGGTTTATAAGTGAATTTGCGAAAAATTCGTGAAACATTGTCGTAGGTTAGATAACTCATGATGACTTAGCATCATTGGCGTTGGCGTTTCTGCAGTCATCATCCACCTGTTTTTAAATGTCGAGATATTTCCAGCTACGTATTATTATTCAGAAACGTATGTGTATGTTCATATATCATTTTAGCATTGGGTGTGAGTTTTAAGTAACACTGAATTGCTTATTTTTAAGTCTTTCCAATATGGTTTTCCATCTTAACTGGTCAATGAGAACTTTAAACCTAAGTAGAACCACCGGCGTTCTGTAAACTAGCTAGATATCTTCCCCATATGGTGAAAAATCCAAAGTCCATGGCGGGATTCCAACCTACAATACAGCGGTGATAGTAAAATATTTACTATTCAGTCAGAATTAGTTTAATGGTGGCCATTGATCTTTATATAGATTAAATTAATTACTAATACCAAATACAAGTGTTGTTTACAGAATTGTACATGTATTTATGTATATTGTTATATACCTTATAATTTTGTTTTAAAGGTACGGCAAAAATGGACCCAAGAACAAATGGTAAAGTAAGTGGCTCATCTATGGCGTTTATAATGTTGACAAACTTCCTGACACCACTAATTGCTGCCGCCCTTAGCTACATTATTAAACCAGGTATAAAGACAATCATACCCCGGAATTCTAAAATTTTTTAAATATTCTCAAATCAGTTTTGCTCAATTATCAAAAGTTTACCCTTTTAAAAACCTTACCCAGATATGACGATCAGTTACGGTGACTGCATGTTATTTTGATGCGTGTAAAATATATTAAAATATAAGATATTCAAATACCGGGAATAAAGAAACTATGCATGTATACCAGGCTAAATATATAGTATCATTTATGAACATAAATTTACATTTTAAACAGTATTATAGTTGGTGCGTGAAACATTAAGCATAGAATACATACACAGTTTTGTACAGTTTTATTAATTAACTTTTGAATATAAGGTACGTTTTCACTACAAATGTAAGGCTAATATGAAGTTCACCACGACATTATGAACATAAAACAAGGCCATTGCCTATATGAGAAAACTCGGCTTTTATGAGATTGGAGAATTTTGATTGGCTTTCCAGCTTGGCCATTATGAATCTGCTTTTTTTTCATTGAAAAATGTCGCCATTTTAAATTGCTGAAAGGTAGGTTTCCGGAACATTTTGAAAACAAGAATCTCATTTGCAATACCTCACAACAACGGAATTTCACATTAGTTATTTTTGTTCACTAAGTACTTAACTTCATTAGATTATGTGTAGTTAATTGATAAAATTGTCAAAAATTTAGTGTTTTCATAATGACCTTTGGCCTCAGACTATATTATGACAGTCTTCAACCTCATAACAAGGCCATTATGAAAACACTTAATTATTAAAATTATTTTCATCGACTTAAACATTATGGAACGCCTAATCAGTTTGAAAAAAAAAGTTTTAGCAAAAAATCATGTAGAAACAACTATTACAGCTTCTTTTGTGAAATCAGCAATTCGTGCAACACAAAGCTTGTAATACAACGTTGTTTCAAACTCGCGTTGATTCTTCGGCTTAAAAAAAGAATAAAAAATAAGATTATTAGCGTTTCTACTACATCGTCTTCACCTTCTTCATCAGCTATTATGTCTTCATACAAAAAAACTTTCATTTTTCTCTTCATGCTCTAATTTTCCATTAGTTATGTCAACTTTCACCTCTTTTTATTTCTGGAATTCACTTCTTATTGTAAAACATTCTGCAGGCGAAGGTGTGGAAACAGATGTAGACCCAGATAAAGAAATAGAAAATGTCATGCAGACCGAAGATATCTTTGCTGATCTTCTAAGGTAAATATATCGCTTCCATTACACGTTTTTAATAAAATAAGGCAAACCTTTTTACTGGTCGTATTTTCTTATACTTTTTTTATTAGCTTTAAAGATGCTTGTCTCCGGATGAGCTAAAATCAAAATTGATAAAAATGTACTAAGATTCAAATAATACTTTACATGTAATGTGCGATTAGAGGCTGGTTTTGCAGTATTCATCACTTGACTAATACAGTAAGGTTGTTGTTTTTTTTGCATAATTTGGGGGCTTTTGACATGACGCGATTGGAAATATCTTTTTGCCATTTTGTTAGGTCTGTATCAATAAGTTGTTTGCAAACTTTTGTTCTTTCCGTTTTCCCAGAACATATTATTATGTAATATATTTATCAATAATTATTTAATATATTATTTTGATATATCTATTTTTTTCTTCAAATTTTACGTCTTAAAGGCTGTTGAGCCTTCGTGGAGCTCCTTTAAAACCTTTTAAAATTTGAGTGTATATAAAATATATATTATAACTTCCCTATTCATGATATTACTTGATTACTTGTGTATATGTTCGTTTAAAAAAGCCGTGTAGAATAACTGGAGCTTAAAACTTTGCGAGCATGAAAAATGAACTGTAATTAACTAAGTACTTACATTGAAAACATTTTTAGATCAATGAATAATATAGATTTCAAAAAGATTAAGAAAAAATTAAGAAAAAAATGTATTTGATGTAAATTCGAATCGTGTCAACAACTACGTATAACTTCGGATTTCTTCGTCATTTTTCGCCTTGATCTAGTCCTTTTGATGCTGGCTGACTAGTATATGAAATTTGATACACACGGAAAATGTCGAAATTTGTCGATATCTGCCTGAGTTTATAATATCATAATTTGTATACATTAATAAAAAAATAAAATGTTTTTTTATTGTATTATTTTAATCCTATAATACAGCCAAACATGTCTGCAAAGACCGGTCTTTAGAAATATTTTATGAAAAGTGAACTTTGTTGACATGTCCACAGAACTGTATTTAATGTAAGTCTCCGACACATCTATTAAAACAGGATATTTTGAACATTACAGTATAAATTGTACAATAAGAACGAAAAGTATAGACTTCTAGTGGCAGGCTTTATTTTATGTTGTGTTATTCAGAGATGGTCTTTAGACCCGGTTCTACTGTAGATTGAATTCGTTTATCTTCTATATATTTTTGTCATACATTTCATTTCAGGAATATTGTACCAGATAACCTAATAGCGTCGTGCTTTCAGCAGGTATTTTTTTGCGAAATTACCTCACGAATTTTTTTTATTTATAATTTTCTTTTAAAAAGTGTAACATATTTTTAGACTCTTTCATTTGACAGACATTTTCATCTTTGGTTTATAAATAGATTCTGTGCAAAGTTAGTAAACATTCGGCTTTGTCCGCCACTTTCCGTAACCTCTTGCGAAAAGTGACGAAGTTGAACAATTATAGAGTGAATACCGTCTCTTTTATTGCAATTTCTATGAAAGTTTATAACTTTCCACGAAAAAAATATGATTCTTCGATTTCTATGGTGGCATATTTCTGCCACCAGATAACCATATAACTAACTAGTTAGTTAAGAGTTTAACTAGTTACGTAACTAGTTAACCACTTAATATTAAGCGTTAGCTGGTAAAATATTAAAAGGATGGCAGTTGTAGGCACTAACATGCATTTATTTCCCATTATGATCTTTTATTAATTGAAAAATTAAACAAGTTATGTAACTAGTTAACCACATAACTAACTAGTTAATTAAGAGGTTAACTAGTTACGTAACTAGTTAACCTCTTAATTAACTAGTTAGTTATATGGTTATCTGGTGGCAGAAATATGCCACCATAATAAACGCTCATCCATCAACGACAAAAATTATTTCCAATTTATGTTACATCTGAAAGCAACGAATGAAAATCAGGCGCCATGAACTTTATTCAAAAGAGTAATACTTTGATTTATCAACTTTTAAATCGAGTCGCGCCATGACAAAACCAACGTAATGCGTTTGCGACCAGCATGGATCCAGACCAGACTGCGCGGAAGCGCAGTCTGATCAGGATCCATGCTGTTCGCTATCAGTTTCTGTACTTGTAATAGGGTTTCTAAGCGGACAGCATGGACCCTGATCAGACTGCGCGGATGCGCATGCTGGTCTGGATCCATGCTGGTCGCAAAGGCATTACGTTGGTTATGTCGTGACGCGGCTCAAATGAGTTTGCACGTCATTTTCTATTTATAACTATATTTAGGCCCAGACCAAGTATGACTATAAGGAGAAAACTGTTGTTACTAGCAACGGAACTCATAATAGTACAGAAACTGTTAAAGAACTGAAAAGGAAATACGTAGGTTCAGCAGGGTCTACAAACGTACTGGGTAGGTTGTTTTGAAAGATAATAGTCGACATTGTTTCACGCTTCGGGCAAATTTAAAAAAAAGAAAAGTTTCATACTGGAAGGTTTCAGTCATGAAACCTTTTTAGCTTGATAAGAAACGTGCTTTTTTGTTGGTTTTTGTTTGTTATTATTTCTATTTATTTATTTTTCTCTCTTTTTTGTTTGCTTTCATGCTAGTTTGACAGAAATATTCTCGTATCATTTAATAATTTTGAAGTATTATATATACCCTGTTTATCCACATGATTAAATCGACTTCATTGTTCGTCATATTATATGTATTTTATACAGTAATTTTCTGGTTTGCTGTTATGAATCACATAATAAATTAATTGAATATCTTCCATGGAAGTGAAACATTCACATTTAAGCGTCCATTTTCCCGAATAGATATAAATACTGAATTTTACTAGAACACATATCTATGTCAAACCAAAGAGAGCATGCGAACGTGCGCATATTGTAAATTCTTTATTTTTTATGTTTGTTTATACAGATGTCTATCTATTTCCCCCTTCTTTTTTTGCATATACTGTTTATAGACATTAAATATAATTGCGTTGAGTTAGTTATTGACACTTGTATTTCAATGCAGGTCTGATTATAGTCAGCGTTGTATTTGGTGTTGGTGGCGCCGCTATGAAAGAGGACGGGAAACCATTTCTTAATTTCTTCAAATCTGCTACAGACATTATATTAAAAGTCCTTCGTGTCCTTATTTGGTATGGTAATGGTTTTATTATTTCATACTACTATCACAGAAGTTATTATATATTTCAAAAACATGCATTTTCTGTAGTGTTTGTTTCAAATGTTTGGCTATAAAAATTGAAAGTTCAATGGTAATTGAAGAGACTAGAAAATTAAAATTACTTATCAGTCTTTTGGATGAGACTTTTAATCGAGGTCCCGTATATCAAGTGCTTAAACATATGATTGAGCACGTTAAAGAACCAGGAGAAGTTTCTGGTATTGGGGCATCTTTCTATATTCTGTATCTTGCACTATCCTCCAAAATTTAAAATGACTAATATTCATTTGAACGATTCGCCCATATGGGCAACCAGTGGCGAGTATAAATAAACTTAAATACAGTCACATCATCGTCAAGTCTGGCATATACTGCGGTTTCCCAGTCATAGAACTATTAGTGAACTATTCAAAATTGAAAACTTGTATTTTTACATGAATAGAGCAGGCAGGGTAAACTTGTAGTTTTCACCATATAAGAGTGAACGGACATACATTAACAAATAATTTAGAAAGAGGCATGTTAAGAAATCTAGCAGTTTCAAAGTATTATTAAAAGACATGTCGGTATATCTTAAATTAACAAGAATATGCAACTACAAAAACAGGCAGATATTTCATTTTTATTTCAAATAAAATTTACAAATCCATATAACATGCATTGCACATAATCGCATGCAAAATTTTATTATCAATAATATATTCGTGAGTTAGACATAACTTTTCCTTTGCGTCTTTCATGTTGTTCAAATGAGTTCTATCGTTAAATAAAGTCTTTATTATTATTATTATTATAGGTCAACTCCAATCGGCGTGGCAAGCTTAATCGCAAAAACCATTCTTACAACAAAAGATGTAGAGGAAACATTTCGTAAGCTAGGGATGTACGCCCTCACGGTAGAAGTAGGTCTTGTATTCTGGGGGTTTATTGTCATACCGCTAGTGTTCCTGGTCGTAAGACGCGCCAATCCGTTTAGATTCTATGGAACGATCATCCCGTCAATAATGATCGTCATAGTGACGGCAAGCACGTAAGTCACGTGTTTTTCTGTTTCTTGTTGTTGTTGTTTTGTGGGTTGTTTTCCTATGCCCATTAGTAGTAAATCCACTTTCCAAAAAGTGATAGAGATGTACATTTTAGAATATTTATGAGATACATGTTGAAATGGAATTAAGATAGCCTATCCATGTTGGAATATTTAAGATATTGACAAAGAACGTACATTCCGGTAATTCTTTTTTAGTAAGAGTATAATCAATTTCATAGATGATATATTTTCTAACAAATGAAGAACTGTTATAACCTTATTTCTTTTTAAGAAATTCTAAAGAAATTTAAGTGTTACCAAATTTGCAATGTAGCAAAGCAACTGTTATGAATTCTGGAAAACAAGAGAAAAAAAATCATACACAAATTACATAAAATGAATTGTTTTCCGCATAATATTATGAACTGTTTTATTTGCCATTATTTAGGATGATAGCTCTCCCCGAGAGTTTTCACAGTTTGGAAACGAAGAACAACTGCGATCCCCGGATTTCCCGTTTGGTGGCGCCACTATCAGCAACTATTGGACGCGCCGGAAGTGTGCTTTACATCACGTGCTCATGTTTCTTTATTATACAAACTCTGGGGCGAGATGTCAATGCCGCGGATATCATTCTAGTGGTGTAAATATATACAAAACTTTTTATACATAAATATGAAACATGTCCTTTAAAGAAAACTTAATTTTTTTTAAACATGTAGATTCTAGAGCTTTTTAACCAGGTTTTCCGAAGGAAAAAACTGGTTATTAGATTGAGGTATGTCGGCGGGCGGGCGGGCGGATGGGCGGACGGGCGGGCGGGCGGGCGTAAACAATTTCTTCTGTGCGCAACTCCTCCTACATTTCTCAACAGATTTTGACCAAACTTTCACAGAAGCTTTGTCATCAAGTGCCCTGGCGCATATTGTCGGGGTTTTGCGATTAGATAATTTTTTGACCTAATTATGGCCCTTTGTTTTTTTTCCTTATATAAAATATATAGTGAACAATTTCTTCTGTGCGCAACTCCTCCTACATTTCTCAACGGATTTTGACCAAACTTTCTCAGAAGCTTTGTCATCAAGTGCCCTGACACATATTGCCAGGGTTTTGCAATTGGTATATATTTGACCTAATTATGGCCCTTTGTTTTTTTCCTTATATAGAATATATAGTGAACAATTTCTTCTGTGCACAACTCCTCCTACATTTCTCAACGGATTTTGACCAAACTTTCTTAGAAGCTTTGTTATCAAGTGCCCTGGAGCATATTGTCGGGGTTTTGCGATTAGATAATATTTGACCTAATTATGGCCCTTTGTTTTTTTTCCTTATATAAAATATATAGTGAACAATTTCTTCTGTGCGCAACTCCTACATTTCTCAACGGATTTTGACCAAACTTTCTCAGAAGCTTTGTCATCAAGTGCCCTGACACATATTGCCAGGGTTTTGCCATTGGTATATATTTGACCTAATTATGGCCCTTTGTTTTTTTTCCTTATATAGAATATATAGTGAACAATTTCTTCTGTGCGCAACTCCTCCTACATTTCTCAATGGATTTTGACCAAACTTTCTTAGAAGCTTTGTTATCAAGTGCCCTGGCGCATATTGTCGGGGTTTTGCGATTAGATAATATTTGACCTAATTATGGCCCTTTGTTTTTTTTCCTTATATAAAATATATAGTGAACAATTTCTTCTGTGCGCAACTCCTCCTACATTTCTCAACGGATTTTGACCAAACTTTCTCAGAAGCTTTGTCATCAAGTGCCCTGACACATATTGCCAGGGTTTTGCAATTGGTATATATTTGACCTAATTATGGCCCTTTGTTTTTTTTCCTTATATAGAATATATAGCGAACAATTTCTTCTGTGCACAACTCCTCCTACATTTCTCAACGGATTTTGACCAAACTTTCTTAGAAGCTTTGTTATCAAGTGCCTGGCACATATTGTCGGGGTTTTGTGATTGGATAATATTTGACCGAATTATGGCCCTTTGTATATTTTTTCCTTATACAGAATATATAGTGAACAATTTGTACAGTGCGCAACTCCTCCTACATTTCTCAATGGATTTTGACCAAACTTTCACAGAAGCTTTGTCATCAAGTGCCCTGGCGCTCACTAAATTCCCATGTTTCTACCAAGACATCATTCAAGTATTTTTTTAAAATTGTGAACATACTTTTCTTGATATCGCACAAAACACCACACGCCAATATTGTTGACAAAAGAAAATGACAAGAGACGCAAAAATGCAAAAATTAAGCAAAAATAAAGTACTGTTTACCTTTCTAAAACATTTGGGAAAAAAAGGCGAATAGACAACATAAAATTTCTCAATCATTTTTGTTTGAGGAATATTAAAAAAGCCATAATTCCTCCAAAAAGTTCAATTAAAAACAAATGCCCCTTCATGACAAAGCTTCTATGAAATATTTTGCTGAAAACCTGGTTGCATCGCATTGCGATGTTCCTTGTTTAGAGCTATAATTTAAGTGTTTAAAACATTCACCATACAAAATTTCTTCTGACATCGGACTTGATTTTTGTGGGGAATGTGTTGTAACGTTTTAAAGATGATTAAGAGTACATGTTCACCTACAATGGACTGGATAAATGACAGCTTGATAGCATATTCTTGAAATGTTATGCATTTGTCTTCGAATAACACATGTACTCCTCTGGCGGATTCTTTCAATAATAGCTCTCCATTCAAGCAGTCAGGACAGATCATTCTAGATACCTTTTGTACTTTTGAGCTTCGGAACATCATTTTTGGACAAGATAAGAATATCCTTCTGTTGTCGTATCAAACATATACAGAAGAAGTGTGTTCTAAGAAAAAAGATTCCATCATCTATACGGCGTTTCTCTCTTTTACACTATAGATTGCTGGCATGGATATCTGCATTGGCGATACCGTCGGTAGCAGGTGCGAGTCTTGTAACTGTACTTATATTACTGACTGCGCTGAACATACCAGGAGAGGCCGCAGCTATGCTGTTTGCTTTGGAATTCTTTCTGTAAGTTGTGTTTTGATTTAGTTACAATATTACCTACTCACTCATTATCCTTGATGTGATAAAATGCCAATTTCTGTATTTCTTTTGTAGATTATAGTTCGCTTTTGAAGTTTACTTCAAGGATTGTTTGTTTCCCAAGAAGGAAGAATTCAGACAACAGTCCTAGACTTTGTCAGTTTAACCTTGAGAGTTGCATTCAATTTTCCAATCAACAATTTAATCACCATCAAAACCCTTCCATTTGAAGTTATCACAAATATTTAGAACTCAAACAATAACAATTGCAGTATATTTTTACAGGGATAGGTCTAGAAGTGTTGTCAACTTACTGACCCAGCTCACTGGGGTAATGGTCGTGGATAAATTCTGTGCGGCTTCTCTTCCTAAACTCACGCCAGACTCGAGCGAGAAAGAAAAGCTGGCATATCCGAACATTGGAACGATGGAAGCAAATGTTAATCATGGCTTTGAGAAAGACACCAAAGATTTTCAGTTTTATGATATCGGCACAAGAATGTAAATGCTAGTGCGGTCATTAAATGACGAATTAAGCATACATGTAGTGGTAAACATATATCTTTTTATAATACTGCACGTTTGTAACGTCGCTTTTCATTGGATAATCGTGACGTTTATATAGTTTTATATACACGGCTGCTGTCGATTCATGAAGAAATCTTACTTTTTTCTCTAATAACAATATGCTTGCTGTTATAAAGATTGTTGACAGGTTATATGGCCGTATATAAACGGCTATTTGCAATATAACCCGAGCCGCTAGGCGAGGGTTATATTTACAAACAGCCGTTTATATAGGGCCATATAACCTGTCAACAATCTTTATAACTAATAATATATCATTTGAAGCAGTGAACAAATATCTATAAAACGTATATACCAGTAGTTTTATGTTTAGAGTGGTGAATATAATTATAATGACCAAACATAGAGTACATGTATTTAATACATACATACTTCGAGCCCTAATCGGGTCACGACCAGGTTTCTCGATATGGCACCAATTCTGGCTGGTTTTTAAAGTGATGGAGAACTTGTTTCTCAACCGAGCTTAAATAAATATGTTTAGACCAACCGTATTGAAAAAGAAATATGTGTTGTATAAAAGAACTTAATGGATCATATCTGGTGGTGAACTTAGAGGATATCATTTGGTGGTGAACAAAAATGGATATACATCTATATACATAAAGTGAAAATAAGATGGACATATTTGAATGAAACATGAAAAGTGTTATGTGACACAAGAAAACATGTACCTCTATGTGTCATAGATTAGTTTATTAATATATTTTTAACGATGGGTTGTGTTGACATCAAATTATGTTCTTGCAAGCCGACTTGTTTTATATTCTCTCTAATGCATGTACTTATGATATATACTTGTATTCGTTTATGTATTTTTATATTGCTTAATTTCGGGAAGGACAGTTGCTTATATTGTCAGCACTGTTGTTTACCCCAAATGTACTCTCTTCTGTAATACTTACAGGTTTATACAAAGAGAATATTATCAAATAAAGTTTATTTTTTTATTATAATATGCCTTTTTTCATTTTTGATGATACATTTTGTTATAAATGAGCCACTAGTTTTAACAAACATTAGTTAATAATGGGGAGTAACCACAAATAGTACAGTGTAAACCTTTGCATATATGCAAAATAAAAGGTCGAGTCCATGCTTTGACCTTGGCAAAACAAGGTCTTCATGCTAACTGAATTCAGAAGGCTAGCAGGTTTGGCATATTTGGTGTCCATGGAAACAGATTTTGGTAATTGAACAACGCCTACTGTATCTATATTGGAAGAGTTCATCTAGTTTAAATTTAGATATTTATAACGTCATTTTGATTATATTTTTAAAATCCATGAATAGGGGCCATATAGTGTAACCTTGCTTTGTGCTCAATTCTTTTTTATTTCCTGCCGGTTGAAATGTACATATATTTTAGATCATTGAAGGCACAAATATGAACACACATTTAAAACTAAAAAAGGAGCAATACATGCAGTGGTTGGATTTTAAGTTACACAGACATCATGCGTTTCAAGCACCTAAGTAGTAATCTGTTTTGTAAGCTAGCTGGATAGCTTTCACACATGAAAGATTCGAACGCAAGTCAGCAACCCTAAGGCATTGAAAACCCAAATGCTGCCTACAATAGTTAACCTTAAGGTAAACATATGAAAGCCACATTATGCCTCAGAAAGGTGAAATATGAATTTAATAATTTTTACATAATGGTTTTATAGAATTTTAGATGCCTGTAGGCTGTTGCCTGAAAAAAGTAGCGATAAATGTGAAATTATTTGTCATAAATGTTGCAAAATGTAAACAAAGTAGTATTTTGACTTCTTTACAAAATACTAATTCCCCAATTGCACACAGATGAAATAGATGGTTCAGGTAATTGGCAATGAAAAGCTTTTTGGATACTTTAAAAGTGCACAAAAATTAAAAAGCTTTTGAGAAATAACAATATAAACATTTCCGAGGCATAATGGGCCTTTAAAAAATGTTAATATGCCGTACAGGCGATAATTTCATACTACGAAAAGCAATTACAATAGAAAACAACAAACACAAAAATATCAATGATTTATTTATTCACCAATAACAAATTATAGAAAACAAATCTTAATATAAAATATTGACTAGTGACATAGATAATACTCATTTACATATGAACCATACAGATGTTCAATGTGAAATAAATTTAAAATTAGAAAATCCAAAAAAGTAATGAACAAAGTAAAAAGTAATGAACATTGTTCATGTAAAATTAAAAGAAAAGGATATTTGTAACATATATTCATATGACAAGTTTGCAACAGAAAACACAGCAAATTTTAGAAACGTTTAATTTAATGAATCAATTGTATATACATCTCAGATTGAGGCCTTATTGTGCAGTCACTGCATGAATTAAAAGGTAAATCTTGAAAGATCTCACCTCAGGCAATAACTAAAATATTGATTACATTGAACATGTAACTCTTAAAAATGAAATTTACAAATCTGCAAAACACTGTTTAGATCTTATGGCGACTTTCCAGTTTATTGGTGGAGAAAGACCCCACGTCACTCTCCAGGCACCTCAGTAAAAACAAGATGTTCCTTAAGCTAGATGGATAGCTTCCTCACAAGAAAGAATGGGCAAGTCCTTGGTGAGATTTGAACCCAAAGCAATGAAGGACTCTTGTGTGTCAAATTAAGGGAGAGGAACAACTACATTTAATAAGAACATGTACACTATCTTAAGCCTGGATCACTACAAGCTAAGTACACTACATTATATAATGCTGTAACTGAACAATAATGTAACTAAACATTTTCTACTTTACTGAATGTTAAGACAGAATAAATTAAACAAATATTTAACATGAAAGTAAGTAAATTACAATGTCAGACACAAAACCAAAATCAAATACAATTTTTATATTACACCAAAGTTGCAAACAAATTATTTAAACATTCACCTTGGTGAATGCCTTATTAAACAATGAATTCATCCAACTTTGATTTGAAACGTATATATAATATAAGTAACATTTAGGGATTCCAATGTTTCCAATTGAAGAGGCTTATAAATGGCACCTTTGTAGTATGGGGGAAAAAAACCCTGAACAGTATAACTTTTGGTGAAACTACAGTAATGTGCTTGCAGAAAGAGAACATTTTCACAATATTGTGCACAAAAACATTTTTTAACATACATGTAATTATACATTAAAACAAATTTACAGCAACTTTTAGTCAAATCATTGACAGTTATAAAAAAAATGGATATAACAATTATATGCTTTTGAATATGCGTAATACTGTAGCTCTTTCAATCAAAATGAAAGCAATGGAATTTTACATACAATTACTTCTTGTATTCAATGTATTGTTTGATTTTATTAACCTGTCAATTCCATACTGATTATACGGTCAATTCACAGAATATATTAATATTCGATAAATGTTCGGTAAATTCCGTGAGAGGTACGGAGTAAGATGTGATTAAACTTATCTAGTTTCGATGAATAAGTTACACTGACTGTTATAGCGCAATAGGGTGAACTACGGGTATATTTTATCTGAATGTCCAACGTGTTGTAAGATCGAGACAGGGTATGTCCAGGTTAATTATTTTCAACATTTTTGAAGTTTTGGTTGTTCCGTTTTTAATATGTTTTGCTCTTTTTTTGGTAAATACTATACTTTTGTATATAACATTGTTATATATAACTGTTTGTTATAATAGAATTAATTCTGAAAATTCAGTCAGATTTAAATCAATAAATGTAATTTGTAATGTAAAATACCGTAAAATACAATACAAAATGTGACAATTCAGTGTTTCTTAGGTATTTCATATCCGTGTAGAAAAATTTTGCAGGCGCTTGACCATTTAATACAAAATTTCTTAAAAATAAAGAAAGAATAAGTCTAAAAAGAATGTCGAAAGAAGGGATCAAACCTCGGACCTCTCATGCATTAGGTAATCACTTAACCGACTGCGTTATTGCGGATGTTACGAGAACCTTTATTAAGCTAGTGGGAGTTATCCAAACGTTATTTATATGCTCCATATTAATTCTCGTAAAATAAACGGACACAACCGAAGTGGGATCGAATATTTAAATGAGTGCTATAATGTATTCATAATTGACAGGTCAATAAAATCAGACTATACAACTATATCAGCAATACATGTATTAGATATACCTGTTTTACAAAAAAAAATAATAATAAAGAATGAGATTCAAAATGTACAACAAAATTTGTGAAAAAAAATATAATAAAACATAAAAGATTACTATTAACAAAAACAAACAAAAATCAACAATTGAAAAAATTGTAGTGATTTATCTATAATCTATGATAAACATATTTAATTTGACTTAAAAAAAACAAATTTAATGTCTAAATATACATCTTGAATTTACCTTTTAAGCAATTAAAAGTACTATTTTAAGTCATCTTAAAGGGGGCATTCAGCCTTAATATGAATATTTGTTTGTTTGTGTAGAAAGAGGAATCTTGTGTTTGATAATGTTGTAATAATGGATTTACATAATATATTCTGCTTATAACAGGTAGAAACTAGTGCTATATGTGAAATAACTTGTGATAAAAGTAGCAAAATTTGAACAGATTGGTATTTGGGCTTCCAACGAAGAAGCCAAGACTCAGCTATTAGACCAATGAGTAACCATTTTTGTAATCATAACTGGACTTTAAAAGTCATAAAAAGGCTTTTACAATTATGTTATCATTTTTAAGGCTCAATGGGCCTTTAAAGACGTAGTACAAATATAATGTCAAATTCAACAAATTGAAGATAGTACTATTGCACTGGAAGCAAGTGTTTCAAAATAAAACTACTTCAAAAGGCTGCATTAACCGTGCCAATACATAAAAGACAGTAACGTCAAATGAAATTTAAAAAAAATATGTGTAGAATATTGAAAAGCACAATACAATAACATTCACAGAAATATGTGTAGACTGTATTTTTCCTGGTGTTTTATAATGTACACCTCCGTCAATCAGTAAGGGGAATATTTCATCAGAAAATCCTGCAATATGAATAATTATTAAATAATTTACATAGGAAAGATTTTAAGACACAAATGTTTTTGTAATTTTTCTAAAACTTGCATGTTTTCATAGTGTTCACCCTAGATAATTACAAGACTTGCTATTTTTGACATGCATGTTTACTAAGTGCAAATAATATTAGGGTAATACATTTGTACATTTATACTTTTTGTTGTGATGTACTTTATTTTACTTTATTACATAAATTAGGTTGTGGGGAAAATTGTTTTGGCATTTAATAATAATACACATCACAAGCTCATGCGTGTATGTATGAATAAGTCAAGAGAAATCATTTTGCTCAACAGACTCAATAAACCATATTTGCAGGGAACTTGTCATCAATAAAAAAATTTGAACAAAACTTGAACAAAATACTTTAAGTGTAAATCAACAGCATTTATTAAGTTAAAAGTTGCAAAACACACAAATTGAAGTTCAACTCAATTTTGTATCTACATGCATGATAATCTTATGGGACAATTTTGGCAATGTTGCAAACAATCTTAGAAAATACATGTTTAAACAATCACTAAATTATTAAGAATCAACTGTGTAATGAAGATTTTCTCTTCTTTCCAAGTTTTAAGTTTCACATGTACACATCATGTAACAGTTTTTATCTAGACTTAGTTGCCTGGAGTCTAAAATTCTATTTAATTCAGTTGAATAAATAATTATTTCTTTTGATACTGGACCAATACTCTACTACAATGTCCAACAAACAAATACATTACCTTATCAAACTGGGCACCAGTATGAGACTTGAGAAAGTGCACATATCTAGCTGCAAACTCAAACACAGTAGCTTTATCTGTTTTATCTGACATGCCGGGTACCAGTTGACGTAACAAGTTACAAGCTTCCTTTATTCTTGCTCTGTAACAATGATACAATTTAACTTAAAGTAAATTTAACTATGTAACATTTTAGTTTAAGGCTTCTTTTATTCTTGTAATAAGTATGTTTGTGATTTTTGTTCATAATTTAGCTAAGTTTAAGTAAAATTTATTTGTATGCTTCATATAATGACTATACTTAAGACCATTTTCAATTGTTTTTTTTTTTTAAATTTTGTATGAATCTGTATGTCACATCCCAGATGCTTTAATATGCAAGATATTAAGAGAGAAAAAATAATTCTCTAAATGTTCATGAAAATTTGTACTTTATAGGGGTGTATTGCTCGAATAAATATAACATACAATCTTTTTCATGAACTTTTCTCAGCATGAGATTAAATAAGTATCAGTTAAAGCCTAAAAGTAGAATAAAGAGGATATAATTTGGTAAATGTGCATGCAGACTTAAGAACCCCTCCATAACGGCACACAAATACTTTAAGTTTGAAGTGAATTATTTATTATCTTTATAACAGTTTTCGAGAAAAATTATTGAATATGTTTAAAATATGTTTGTATATTTAGGTATTATACCTTCTCCTTCTTTCTTTTTGGTTATGTTGCTCCCTTATCTTGCCATTATCATCAATGAACTGATATGATGGTAGATTAATGAGTGATCTCACACGGTTCTGAAGTTGTTGTGATGTTGGGGTATGCATTGTCTCAACAGGGCTTGTGTTCTCTTCACCACTGCTATTTAATGGTATATTCTGAAAAATAGAGAATGATTGTTTGTTTGTTTTTTGTAAAGGTAATAATTGACATCAGGTAACTTTCCAGCTTTACTTGTAGAGAAAGACTTCAGATGTCCCCAAGTCCATAATATTTTCAAATACAAGCTGGCAACCGAGTACAACCACAGATCTCCTGTATGTTTGCAAGGATAGTTTCATCAGATGAAAGAATGCAAAGTCCCTGATGTGATTTAAATCTACAGCTGTGAGGGGCAAGTGATTTGAAGTTGATGACCTTAACCACTCAGCAAAGGATGCCCCAGAAAATGATAAATTGAGTTTTAAATGTTTGTGATAAGGTAGTCTGTGTTTTATTTTTATCTCAATCTTGACAGAGCCATTCAAAATCATGGAAATTCCTAAATTATCCATAAAGACCGTAAATAGATAAAAATGCTATATAGCTGCTAATTTGCCCCCCCCCCCCCCAATTAATTCTATTTCAAGTCATAAAAGTTTCCTAGCTGACTGGCTTTAAATCACTTCCCAAATATCTGCCTTGGACCATATCAGGTACAACACTATTTTCATCAAGTTTCCATTGTTCAACTAATCAATCGTCAATATAATTTATTAAAAAAAAAAGATCAAACACTCAGATATCAAAAACATCAAACACAAAATTTCTTACAGTTCTGCTAGAAACAGGAGTTGTTCCAAGCCCAAAATTCATCTGTGAACAGGGGGTGGAAGTGCTTGGTACAGATTTCCGTGGTTTCATACCAGGAACAGACTCATCAGCCAATGTGGGCGTTCCATCATGATTATAAAACATGTAACCATTCCTTGGATGTGGTGTATGATGCAACAATTGTTTCTCCAAAGGTAATCCAGTCATGCTGGGTCCAGACTATAAAATAAAAACAACATCCATACAATGATACATGCACATTTAACAATTACTGTCAGACACATTAAAGAATCATATGATTATTTATTAAAATGTTTTACTCAAGAGGTCCATATTTACATTTGTTTAAAAGTTATTGTAACATATTGTTTTGTTTTTATCTCTTCACCCAAAGTTATACTTCTGAAATGACAATTTCTAACTCGAGATTGGGTTTGATGAAACAAATATAATAACTAGGCCAATGAGATGGCTATGTTGGGGATATGGTCAGACAGATTTAATTGCAAATTTCTTTTCAATTTATCGTCATTCTAGAAGCTAGTCAGCACTCTTTGAACATTGGTTATCAAAACTGATAGTTACTAGTATCTAATTTAGTAAAACCTATGATAATTATATTATGAAATACTAGTACACCACAAAAGTAGAGGGAAAAAAGAAAAAGAGAGAAAAGTTTTACTGTAGGAAGCATCATCTGTGCTGGAGGACAGAACGACTGTTCTGATACCGTGCTGCTCCCAGGTTGTGTTAGTATATTTCCTCTTTGTTTGTTCATAAGCCTATTGAAAAAAAATACAAAACAGATATTTTGACACATATTGTTTTTAAATGAAATTGTGTTATGATAAACTATTTCAAAACAATCATTATAAGAACATTCCAAAAGAATAAATCCAGTGCATGCAAGATCAATAATGATCTCAAGATCTAATTAAGTATAGTGATATTAAATGATATTTCATTGACAAAATTACATTTCATTCATTTCAAAACAAGCATTAGCATATTTTATAGAGAATAAATTCTTTCAAGTCCAGAATTAATTTTTTTGTTCAGCTAGTGAAAAGCCAATTTCAACATGAAAAAATACCTGGAACCAGGACTGAGTTAGAATTAAAATAAAATGGACTGAAACAGAATAAAGATAAACTTAATGACTACCTTGGGTTGTTTTCTTTATCAGAATCTTCTTCTGAGTCTTCATAAACAATCACTTTAATAAAATCTTCCCCTTCTTGAAACTCCATAACTTTTCCATTTTTGCACAACTTTCTTACAATATCCTCTGCTTCATTTGATATGGAGGAATTTGGATCTTCTACAGTACTTGTTGTCGGAGTCTGAATTGCATTCAACTGGTTCATATTTGTTGTCATTGGTGGAAATGTCTTAGCATCTATATGACTGTTTTGATGCAAGTCAAATGCACTATTAAAATCACAAGGGAATGCGTTACCTTCAACATTTTCTCGTACAATTTTTGCAGGACTATGCTTCATTGAAACTGAGTTTGGATCAAGTTCATTAATTGTGTTCGAGTTTTCATCCAGTTCATTCAATACTTTATCATCGTCACCATGTTTTCTCTTAGGTGAGCCTTTTTCACTATGAAATTGATCACGGTCACGATACAATGACAAATCAGTGGGTTTATCAGATTCAATGTTTGGTTCAGCTTTAATTTCAGGCTCTGGGCTGATTGGTTTAAAACCTTCAGGTAAGTCGGATATGATATCATGAAAGTTATCAATCTTGTCCATCTTGATAACGACTTGGTCACAATCTGTTGCAAGCGTCTACCACTGTGATAACTTGGAAGTTTTTACTTGGTTTTCCACAACTTTATCAGCTACTCAACCTATAAGATACACATTCAAGGTTTAAGCAATGTCCTATATATATATATTTAAGGTTCAGGACTATTGAGAGAAAATGTAGCTAGCAGAATTGTTTCTAGCCCACTGATTTTTCTCACTTAATTGGAAAGCGGCCTCAGCTTCTTAATTTTGGGAAAAAATATTGCTAAAATTGAGATTTGGGAAGTAAAAAGCCGGTTCAAGTTAAGATTTTTGGGAAAACTGCATGATTTTAAAGACAATTTCATTTGGGAAGAGGCTTTTTTCGGAGTCTGTTATATAAGCACAGGGCCGGCAAAATCAATTGTCCGAGTTGCCCGAGTCGTAAAATTGTAGGTCCGGGCAAGTAAATTTCTGCAGTTTACTTGTCCGTGGACAAGTAAATTTCGGCGGCTAAAAGAGGAATTCTGAAGAAAAAAATCTAGTTCTTTTCTAATAGATCTAAATCAGAAGGAAAATCAAACATTTAAGGGGGCAGGGGACCTAAAAATGAAAAATTTTGTATTTCAGTGTGACCAGAAACACAATTCCAAATATTTCAAAATCTGTTTCACAGGCAGATAACCAGTTGCACAGCATTATTCAATGATATATGACAAACATTGAAGAAAATAATAGTTTGCATGCATTGCTCCTTCAAAAAATGACTGACAGCAATTTATATTTACCCCCACCCAGCCAAAATCACACCTAAAAAAAACCAATATGGGCAATCTTCATGAAGGTGCAGCATACTCCAGAATCCGCCCGATTCCTTTAAAAATATCAGTAACATGCAGTGCAAGCTATAGCATTTTCAGAAATGACAAATAAAGTGTCTGTCATACGTTTAGATTTTTCACAAAATTTATCTGAAATTTCTTACTTGTTTGGCGCCAACTGTCAAAGCTTGATTTTTAACTTTTTCACCTCCATTCGGAGAGTCAGAAATACATACAAAGCTACAAAAATGCTTAGTTTCGGGTAAAAACCCAAAAATATATCTCATTTCCTACACACAAACAAGAAAGAATTACAATGACAGAGAAATATCAGAAGTTATCAGTACCTTCAAAACACCATGTCTGAGTTATTAAAAAATTTGAGCCATCATACGAATATGTCCCCTGCCCCCTTAATACGAAAACTAGCGTGTGAAGTGTGGTGTCATTCATGAGGGCATTCCGTGCATATTAGGTTGTTACTATTTTAAGTGTTTACATAAATAGCGACCAACCAGGATTGGGGTTTTCCTTACGTCATGCAGTCACTGCATGCGCGCGGCAATTAACTAATTATTGGGGGGGTACATGTTTGTTTTGGTTTATGACTGCCGACTTAGCCTCTGCAATAAAATATTTTCGGTAGCAGCGGGGTTTAGTCAAAATATATTGACGTGCCAAAGCTTGATTCTGAGATATTTTCGTTCTAGGGCAGAATCTCGCTAGGCGAGATATTGCCCAGACACGAAAATAGCACAATATCTCGTCGCGGAGTACAATTAGTTGGACTACAGCGGGGTTCTGCCATAAAATTGAATTGGAAGCTGTGGTCTTTTCAATCGCATTTATTGTTTAGATAGCGGACACAGCATCAATCTCGCAACAATTGTCTTTGAAATACCGCTGTGGTGTATGAAAATTAAATACATTGTATAGCTTTTCCAGGTCATTCGGGAATTTTTACGCTCATATCGGCAATCTGACTGCTTGAATTTATGTGGACAAAGTCATTTTATAATTTATTTTATGTAAAGATTTCTTGTGAAAATGCCTTTGTTTTTGAATGTCTAATACTGGTGTAAATGTATACATGTCAGTTTCATCGTCGCCGATGGTAATGATGTCAAAATTTTCACAATTCATCCGCTGCAACCAAGCGTATATACGTATATGATATTACATTCTGTGGCAATCATAATTATATCGTTAAAAAAAGCCAGATGTCATCAATTTGACAAATCTAACTCAAGAGTACATATGATTTTTTAAAAGGATTCAAATGAATATTATATAGATGAATAGAATTTTAAGGAGTGAATAAATAAGAAATGGTACCAGAGTGCAAAACAATGAAGACAATATTTTAGAGCAATTTGGGTGCAAGGAAAACTGAAAAAGTGCTGGCAAAAGACCAATGCTCCTTCTAGTAAAATATACACAATTTGTCCATCACTGTCGTTCTACTTTAATCTACTTCCGTTAACATTTTATAAATATATTATATTATAATCATAATATATTATATTATTAAACATATCTTTTATTTTATTATTATGGCATAGAATGTTTAATAAAATTGAAAGAAAGTTCATAATCATATTGCTCTTCTTTATTAACATTTGCAGTAAATATTAAATATAAATACGGACAAGTGAACATTGAGTACGGACAAGTAAATTTCTTAGGTTACTTGTCCGTGGACAAGTACAATTTTCTGAGATTTTGCCGGCCCTGAAGCAGAAAAATCACTGTAGCCATTCCACCCATGATTTCATATTATTTTATCTAGAGGTGTATCTGCCTTAGTGCTTTTTAGGGCCAATATTCACGAATTCGAAAACCTAGCTAAACGCCGTTTTCCGGTACTTAGTGTACATAACTCTGGGGAATTCACCTAATGGAGTGTAATAGCGAACTCGATGTTTTCGGCCTTTTTTAAATTAAATTGAAATAAAACAGTTATCTCTTTTATAAGAAAATAATTAAATATCATTGTATGAATATTTCCATAGAAAAAATAAAGTAAATGCACAAGTTTACACAGAAAATAACCTTATTTATTATGGAAGATTCCACTACGTCTGTTTGAATTTTATTGATTTTCATTATAAATGATTTATTTTTTTGAATAATTTGCAATAGATATTAAAGGAATATTGATAATTTTCAAAAACATCAATTTTTTCACCTTAAACGGTTAAATAATGATAGAAAACAGTAATATCACGTAACTGTGTTATGTACTTCATTTGGTGTAATTCCCCAGAGCTAAAACGGTAACGTACCGGAAAACAGTGTTTAGCTAGGTTTTCGATAAGGTCAATAGAGATAAAATTCAGCCCAATTCTCCTGTCTGAAAGGTATATATTTCACCCTACTTCTTAAGAAAAATTGAAATAAATAAATTAGAAAATAAATAAAAAATACCCTTATATAAGTATTCTAGATCCATATTATAATGAGGGGAGTTAATTGTAGTTTGTTAATAGATGTTTTACAGTATTGTTTCACAGTTTAACATATAGGAATCATTATATTCAACAATGTTCTAGAACTGATACCTGCCACATTTAGGGCGGTGCCCTTGGGTACCTCAGAAGTTTTTTTCTCTCTTTAATTTATAACAATGACTCACTTATTTTCACTTACTTATTCTAATGGTATCTTATAAACTTTAATAAAAGAAAATACACATAACAATCAAAGTTAAAGTCTATGATTAACAATAAGAGCCGCACCATGACAAAAACAACATAGTGTGTTTGGGACCAGCATGGATCCAGACCAGCCTGCTTATCCACACAGTCTGATCATGATCCACGCTGTTCGCTATCAGTTTCTCAACTTGTAATAGGGTTTGTAAGCAAACAGCATGGATCTTGATCAGACTGCATGGATTCGCAGGCTGGTCTGGATCCATGCTAGTCACAAATGCACAATATTGGTTTGTCATGGTGCAGTTCATTATTTGTTTTAGTTCAGTCTACTATGAAGTATGTTTATAGGTGGCTCTAGTTAGTGCAGGTTTGGATTTAGTTCTGGCTTTCATAACTTTATATGTCGCTATTATTTTGATGTTGTGACGGTGAACAGGTCTAGCAGCACTATAAAACCTGTTCGCTGAAGCTAGTTTGGATTACCTGTGGGGAGTATTCTTTATAAAATCTGCAATGCAAGAACATTATTTCCACAACACAATAAATTAAATTTTATAACATAGATCTACTTACTGTAATAGAATTAATAAGGCAAGCATAAAAATAATCCTTTAATAGATAAATATTAGAATTTTTAGTGTATAAAACTTGCATTTTTACTTTAAAAGTTAAGGGTGCCAAATCATGCAGTTCACTAAATTTCTGTCTAAAAAACAATTGAAACTGAGAAGAAAGAAATGAAATGTGCAATGAAGAATAAATTTCTGCAGCCACATCGGCACAAGATAATTTCAAGACATGCAGTTAAATTTGAGGAGAGCTACGTCAACAATTATTGAATACAATGAATTATTAGTCATAGATTGATGTTTGATACATACATTTCAAACAAACAATGGCAGCTGCGCCAAATGTAACGTGAATCAGCTGACAATTTACGTGCTACAAACGTGCGACTTTATTTGAACGTGCGTTCCTTTTCAACTTCGTCTGCACAATGACGTCATAAACGGGTACCTGTTTATTACTTGTCTAAAAACCGTTATCAGTTTTATCCGTTACTATCATTCTTTGAAATTTAAGTTTGAAGAAATACAATGTACATGCATATCTACCTAGTGCTCTTACATAGAGGATATTGAATGAGTGTAGTTTAATACTAAATTTATTGAACGAGTTGAATAAAATCATATTATGCGAGCCTTTGGCGAGCATAATATTGTTTTATTCAACTCGTTCAATAAATTTAGTATTGAATCTAGATCTACACGAATATAATATTCTATTTATCACATATATAAAATAAGAACAGTAAACTGTTAAAATGAGGAATTTTTCAAGGACGCGTCCATTGTGTAACGCGCAATATTTCGTTTTATATGAAATTTTCATTTTGTTTCATTTTGTTTGATTGTATGTTCTATGTTTTGAGTCTCAGACATAGGCATAAATTTGACAGTAAAAAGAACAACAAATACATGTATACTGGTTTCCAAAGAGATCACCCCGACACTTGGTTTATTTTTTTTTATTGGTCTTTTTTTGTCACATGGTCACCTATAGTAATGAAATAGGACATACTGTGATGAAATTTTTAAATTTAATTAAAATGTGTTTATGTTGACCACAATTTTTTTTGTCACAAAAACGGTCACAAAACATTCTTTTTACTTAACAGCCAGAATGATGGTGGTTAGAATTGTCTTGAACACAGACTATATTTAACATGAGAAAATTCCTTTAAAAAATGTTGAATTATCAATTAGGCATAGATAAAGCATATAAAATGTAAAAACGACTGTTTTTTCTAATTTTCAATAATTTTTACTTCAAAATTTAAGTGTTGACTTTATCTACTGTCCAGGGTTAAAAAGGCCAGGTTTCGGATACTTTCCGTTATTAGGACCTTAAGGAAGTACAAGTGTCCATTTCAATAAAGGAAGATTGCATATGATTATAAATGTTTGAACCGAACTTTGTTTAGGTGGGTAAAAATTTAAAATATAAACAAAAATAAAACAAGTTATTAAAAAAATATAGTGATGTACATATAAAAAGATTATTATCTCATGCTCCTAAATAATATACTTGCGGTCATTGTTGTGAATGCCATACATTGATCAACAGGTTTATACGGGCAGTTCATAACACACCAAATCATTTTCAGATTATATTAAGTTTTTGGTAAAATCAGAGACATAGATAACATTATCTATGTCTCTGGTAAAATAAGTGATGCATGCTCGAGATTAATTAAAATGTCATAAACCGAGCTCCCTATCCCTAATGCCCCATTCCAAGTCTTTATATACATACGTTCTAAGGATTTTAGGAGCATTAAAAGACACAACGCCGCCCCCATAAAACTTAAAAGTTCAACAACAAAAAAATCCGAATTCCGTTGCGTATTTTAGTCGTACCAAAAACTTACGGTACGTTTTCGAAATAGGGATGGGATTTAAACCATAACAAATAAATAAAATAAATGAGAGGAAAAGATATTTATTGTTTTGCTTGTGATTTTGATAGTTACTCCACTAACACTTATCTTAAACAAGAAAGTTAGTAACGCTCCAAGATGAGTGCAAGTCAAATGTTTGGAATCATTGTATCAGGGCGTCTGGTGAGCAGTTGTCACATATTTTCGCGATAATGATAGTGAATTCTGAAACAGCTATGTTTTATTTTTTGACATGCGGATTTTTTTTATTTCATTGCCCTCTTTTTAAATCAGTAATGTTAAATTGGATGAAAGTTCGTGCATTTTGCAGGACAGTCTTTTAATTCCTGGAAAGATGATATTTTGATTTTTTTAATGCAGCTCATCAAATTGATTTAATGATATGTATGTTGGCAAACAGGACGTTTCGGCCCCAAACCAAATCGGCCCCAGTCGAAAAATCGGCCCCTGGACATTTCGGCCCTTTTCTGCGAGACGTTTCGGCCCCACTATAGTGTATTGCTTGATTGATTAACAACAATTAATTTAATTACAATTAAACAATTATGACACTTTAATTCTTTGAATAATTATTTATTATCTTTTGATCTCTTGAACCATTTAGATATACGTTAATGTTTTTAAAGGTGTAACAAACAATAAAGGCCGGTTACTTACTTATAAAACAAACCACTTAAACTTCTTGATTAAGAAAGTCTGGTCCCCTCACCTATGAGGGTCTTATCAACCAACTAGAAATGGTCCAACGTCGCGCTGCAAGATTCGTGAAACAAGACTACACACGAACAAGCAGCGTCACCGACATGCTTACCGACCCCAAATGGGACACCCTCCAACACCGGAGCAACAACACCAGAACAACTATGTTCTTCAAGATAATGCACAACCTTGTAGATATTATACCAGATCCTCCACTTATCAATGCTAAGACTGTCAGAGGGCACAACCAACGCTTCCGCCAAATCAGAGCACGCACCTCCATCTTCCAAAATAGTTTCTTTCCCGCAACCATCGTGCTTTGGAACAAGCTGCCGCAAGACGTTGTTGACCAGACCAGCCTGGATGCTTTCCAATCAGCTCTGGTCAGGCAACATATAATATACTAATCACGGAGTTGTTTTTACTCTTTTAATAGAAACTGTAAATGGGGAAACTTTTTATTTTTATTTTGGAAAAAGTCAGTCCTGCCTGCTGCGTATGTATATACAGTTGACTCTCAATAAGTCAAAATCGCTTTACTCAAAATTCCGCCTTAGTCGAATAATTTCTAAAGTCCCGTCAAATTTCCTTCTTTATCTTTGTATTTTAACTCCGCTTAGGTCAAATTTTGACTTACCGAGACTCCTGTTTAGTCGAAAAGAAAATTTGGTCCCGTCAATTAAAGTCCACATATTTTCATCTCAATTAGTCGAAGTGTGAAAACAGCCGACTGATCAAAGGTCGGCGACATCAAGGTGAGATGTTGTCACTCGTGATTTACACGTTTCATAGTAATTTTTAATTGCCGGTCATCATGTATTATTAACACGTCGTAAAAGTGTCTTTAATCCGTTACACGACTTAATTGGTTTTAACAGTTAGATAACTTAATTAAAATTTAATTACATTTCTTTAAAAAAGTTGACTCGTGCCAGTCTGATGGGTGTTAGTCAAATAACAGGCTAGTCAAATAACAGCCTAGGTATTGATGTGTATTATCAACGTAAATGATATTTGTATAATTAATGTTCCGTCATATTGCATACATTAATTTGTACTTCCGGTTCACGATAGTTGCTAATTTCGTTTTCATCCGATGATCAATTAAATCAAATATAATTGTGTGTTTATGTTTCACTATTAATATACATGTATTAAATTTTGAATGATATATTTTTGTTCATTTATAATTTGTAGTTGAAAGTGATTTACCGTCATTTCAATGGTTAAATATTGCAGCATTGCCGCTAACAACAATAAGAAACCTACTTCTTTGCACATTCAATCAGATACATTTATATACATGTACGAAGTCAACGTAATGGCGGTAGTTCTACGTTACTCGAATTCCGTTTCTCTCGAAGTAAAATACCTAGTCCCTTGGATTTCGAGTTACCGAGAGTCAACTGTATACAGTTTTTATCCGATTGCGAGTATACTCCTTGCGGAGTGATGCAATTACTTAAGATGATGATGATGATGATGAAAGTTACTTACAATTTTTCCTTAGAAAACATTATCTTTTGATCTTAATCAAACTATACGTATTTTTTTCTTTAAGTGTAACTAATTAACTGTTTATACATTATGCTAATTGGCAGTATTGTTTTGTGTCTTGCTTCTTTATCATTCAAATAAAATATTATCTATATATGGTTTATAATTTTTTTTGTGTATTATATTTTTTCAAATAAAGTTTATGTTCTGTTCTGTTTGTATTGATTACTTTCCCCCTACTACTATAATAATCTAGTTTTTATACTAAATGATTAAATATATATATTAATTGATTAATTTTTTTTTTTGAAATGCTATTAATATATCGGTTTAAAATACAGTACTTATTCTGGGGCCGATTTGGTAAAGGGCCGAAACGTCCGGGGCCGAAACGTCTTTGGTAGTTTGGGGCCGATATGTCTTGGGGCCGAAACGTCTCGAAATCGTATGTTGTACCACTTTTACAAACAAGGAAACTACATACAATTTTTGATAATATGGATACAATATATATATTTAAAAAAATGATTAAATGTTAAAATATTAGCACTGCTACATTAAGTATCATTGAAGTATGATTGTATTATACTGTGAAAGGACAGATTGCTAAATCCTAGCCCATAAGGATCTTGCACCCTCATATTTATTCCTCAAGCATGACATTGACTAAAGTGAAGCATATCTCAATAAAACTTTATAATCCTTCATTAAGGATTCATCATATTAAAAATTGATGTCAAACATTAGCTACCAGTACCAGTATCTTTTATGTAAAAACCTTCAATCTTACCAAAATGTTTGTGCATGTGATTAATCACTACAAGATTGACCTTAAAATGTAGTCTGTACAGATGGTTGAGAAAACAATAGTATTGAATACCACAAAATGTGACTATTTATAAATTATTTATATAAATGAAATAAAAGGCTATATGTGTGCTATCTTACTGTAATTGAATAATGTAAACTATAAATTCTGTTCCTCATTAATTACTCTGAGTCTGATCTGCACAAAGGTAATCCCTATTTAAAATTAATCAATAATTTATAATTAATATTCCTTGTTATGCAATTAATGAATTATGATGTTACCATTACTGCATTGGTTGTTCCTATAATCTCTGGTTTATTATTTTGCTATATTATAGGTACAAACTGATGCCCAGCAAGTGAGCGAGAACCAGATTTTATTCAATATACCAGACGCAGATAGTATTAACCATATAGTTGTGTTCATGACTGGTCAAGTTCCGTTTCCAGATGGCCTTGGTGGGGCAGGTAAGTTTTGAACTTTTCCCAAAGTTTTCGTATTTTTATGCTAAGTAAATAGCTCATTAGCTGTCATTAAATTTTATGAGAATAATCAAGATACAAATTCTGATATAAAGGAGAAATGGCATTTTAAAAATTGAGTGACTCTAAAGGTCTAGAGGTACTGCTCCAACACTGTAGTGAGTTAAATTCATAGAAATTAGTTCAAATAAGTTATTTGCCACTTGACAAGGGAGATAATGGGTTCGAGTCTCACAGGGGTTTCACATATATTTTCTCAGTACTGGTAAGTTGTAAGAAGTTGAATAAATAAATTGAGATGAGAATGATTCAGCACCAATCTAATGATTATATTTTTGTCACTTTTGTTTGGAAAGAGTTTTTCAACTTTTTTTCTATGAAAGTATTGTAAACAAGCAGGAGAGTTTCTAATCTTGTTTATAGCTGTCAAAATTGTTTCCATTTTAGTGTATTTTTCCTGGCCAAGTTCAGCTGGCCAGTCATGGCTGCTATTGGGACATATTTCCAATGTGAAACCAAGTGCAATATTCAAAATTACCAACCTAAAATCATCTGGTAAGTATATGCCTATATATCTAGATATTTTCTAAGATAAAAACAATACTAGGATAATTTATATCAATGAGATTTATATTCAATTTACTGAAGTTGAAACACTGCCTCTGTGGTTGAGGGGTTAGAGTCGATGACTTCTAATCCAGTTACCTCTCTGGTGTGGGTTCGATCCCCGGGAGATGCTTTGGTTTAGCGCGGAGGAATGTAGTCTAGTACTGGTGTAACTCTCCAGGAACGATGGATGGTTAGGAAACTACCCGCCTATATGACTGAAATACTGTTGGGGAAAAGGCGTAAAATGAAACAAACAGACAAAACAAAACTTGTTTAAAAGTATTTCCCTGGAATTTATCACATTCTTTTAGAGCTTTTAAGAGAAGGGATTGCCTAGTGTTAAATGTGTCTGCCTCTCAACCAAGGGAATGTATGTTTAAGCCATATGACTGTCAAAATCATGTTTTCAGGTATGATGCCAGTACTGGTTAGTCACAGGAAGTCTGCTTGAAACTGTCATTATATAAGTTGCAAGAACTTTTGTACTATTAAGCTTTATAAATAAATATGTTTAAATTGAAAATTAAATCCTTTTGAGCTCCATAGTTCATAGATGTCTTCATAGTCAGTAGATATCATTCTTGAAGTGATTGTTTCCCCCTATATTTTACAGCCTAATAAAGGATGTTTCTCCTAGCCCAAAAAAGTCCTCTAAAATGCTATATTTTCTCCTGAAATGCCCTGTGCACATTCTTCACTAGTAACATGACTTAACACATGGGTGCAAGTTTTCAGGCATATGCCTGAAGTTCAGGTTTTTTGTGACAAATTTCATCATGTTTTACTATTAGATTATGTAGGAAAATGATCATGAATTACAGTTTTCAGCTTTTTCCAAATTTTCAACTTGCACCCATGTTAACAGCTGCTGACTTATATCAATAATTGACTAAAAGACAGGCACCTGTCCCTATATATATCCTCTACTGTATATACTATGCATGTTAAATTGAAAATTTTATAAAATGTGTGGGTAAATTCCATTCTCATTTGTTGCAATTTGATTTCAGGTTTTCCACCTTTCTGATTTATCCTTCAGAAAGCTGCAGGTTGTTTTGAAAATTGAAAAGAAAACCAACTCACTGTTGTGTATGGAATTAACATGTATAATTTTCTCCCTTTCTGTCAATTCCATACATCGTATATTTGAGGACCTGACCATGGTCCCTTTTAGTAGATTAAAAATGACATTCCTTCAAATTTTTAATGAAATGCATAGTATAGTCAACCTTACCTTACTTATGTTTTACAGATAGTAATAACAGCAGTCATCCATTTGGGCAGATGGAGCCCCAGTCGCACCTGGCTCAGATCGGAATTTCTGTAGAACCTCTGACAGAGTTGTCGCAGCAAACACCCGCTACGCTCACCAAAACGGCCAATGTGGAACCTTTTGTGGAGTTCTCAAAGACTATGTGTGAAAACCTGTTCAATTATGCATCATCATTTACACAGACTCAAGCTCAAATGGTTCCAAATCCCAATGAGATGTTTGTGCCTTTAAGTAAATTACAGCAGTGGTACGAAAACTTTCTACGGAGGTTGCAGCAAAACCCTTACTTTTGGAGATCATGACAATCAAAATTTTTTATTTTATTATTTAGAATCGGCTAGATTTTTATGTTTTGTTTTACTTTTAAATTGAAACTGCAAAAGTGCATAATCAGGACTAGGTATGTTTTAGTCATTGTCTTTATGAAATGTATTAAACTTTCTGACATTATTGAAAGTAATGGCTTCTTTGCATTTATTTCTATGTAAGTGAAGTCTGGCATGAATGAGTCTGAGAAACAAATTGTTAATTGTATTTTTAGAGAATTCGTGATCAGCTACATGCAGTTAGTTTTTCTTTATATAGAAATTTTGAAAGCTTAATTAATTAAAGATTTCATTAGCTACTCGATGTATATCATATTAATTTTAGCTGTATGAATCAATTAAGCTTAACTTAAAATATCGTAATAAATTTTCTTTTCACAGGATGTAGTAATTTTGGATGTATGAAAGATTTTTCGTTGAGTAGTGCAATTTTTACAGAGGCAAACAAGGAAAATTAAAACTGGCATAAACTAAAAATTATTACAAAGAGTCGTATTTGAAACACATTAATGAAAAAATATTGGGGTACTTTTTGAGTTATCTGCCCCAGAAAAATGAGTTAACTGTTTTAGGTTTTATTATTGGTTTGGAAATGATTTTGTGCATGTGCCATTACTTTATTTATTTCATACAAGCATTTTGGAAGTACACTTTTTTTTAAAATTCAAACAATAATTTTTGCATCAGATATATATAGCTTTATGCACTTTAATTCTTGCGTGTTCAAAAATTTTGTTTGGTCTTTGTAATAAAGTGCACTACTCCCGACAAAATACATTGACTCGGTGTTATTATATAGAGGATATTTGTTTAGTTCAGTGTAAGATCAGAATATATTTCACCGAGTGAGCACCAAAAGGTATATTTCACGAGTGGCGCAGCTACGAGTGAAATGTGAACTTTTGGTGTTCATGAGGTGAAATATATTTCGATCTTACATTAAACTTAACAAAATTTCTTTTTATTATATGCAGAGAAACGTTTAAAAAGACATTTTAACCTACTAAATGAAAAGCGCGCCAAATAATAATAAAACGTGACATCATTTATGACGTCACGCAATTAAGTTGTTTCCAGTACAGTGTACACTGGTATTTCACTGAAACAATGTAACAGGCTTGTATTCAAAACAGTGAAATTATCAGTTTTTTATTTCACTGATATATTTCTTTAAACCACCGAAAAGCATGTAATAAATCATAGAAATAGTTTAGGTAGAGTGGTCAGGTCCATGAGTTTGGAAATATGAAACAGCTTGAAACACTGTATGAATAAATCAGTCAGTCGGTGAGTCAATTCATGTTGTTGGTATATTTATGACAACTATATATCTATAGTAAAAAATTACAAAATGAACAGACATTTAATACCGGTACTTATTTGCTCAATCACAATGATTTAATCCCTCATTAAAACTACTCATGTTATAGACACAATTTATGGCTGTAATTGTCTTCCATAGTACATAAGGCAACCATATTCTAGCTTACAGATAGTTGTTCAAACCTTTTAGCTCAGGTACTTCTTAAATTGTTATAACTAGAGTTATGATTTTCTACCAGAATTAGTGCCCTTGATTCTGTTACTATGGTTATTTCATGTTTTAATTTCACCGAGGGATGGTTGGCTTGTATTTTGACTTTTATCTGATAAAATATGGTGTATATTTTTTATTGCCCCTATTATAACTGTGCTTAATAGTATTTTAATCAATGGAATGGTTAGGAAAAATAATGGTTAGTGTTGGAACAGTTATTAAAGATTGCTTTTGTGCCATACTTGACCTAATTGTTAGATATGTCTTTGCCAGAAGGGTTGTTTCTGTATACAAAAGTATAGACTTTATGTTGTGTTTAACTTGGTGTTTGCAATATAGCTGTGCTTATAAATCAATTAACTGCGAATCTAATTAGAATAATAAGAGGTCTTGGCAGGCCATTAAGGAATATTGTTGATGACTTTTAAACTTTCTTTTCAAACTACATTGTATTTAACATGCATGTGTAAATTATATAAATTTCCTTCTTATGTACTTTGTTATGTATTTTTTATTATATTTCACTATATTGGTGATCAACCGAGGCGCCATTTGGTGCAGCTTTTATCTTGGACATAATATATGATATAATGTTCTAGTTTTTATGTATACTAATTATATATATACTGGGATCCTACATATTACCGGACAAAATATGATGTTTTTTCGCTGTAACTTTTATTTAAGACATTAAAAAAAAGAATGAAATTTTATCCAAATAATGGTGGGTTCTAAATGTGCATATACATTCCTTTATCACACATAAAATTAAACATTTGACCGTAGAAATCTGTCTTTAAAGTAGGGCATTTAAAGAGGAAAGAAATCGTATAGACAACTCAATTTACCGGACATTGTGTTTCAAAAATTTCTGAAGTCTTAAATTGAAATTAAGCAATGAAACTACGACTATTGAATGGCATTGTTAAGATACTGGAAAAAACCAGTATGTCACTAAAATAGACACAGCAGCAATGCTTGTTACGAAGAGGCAAATATAGGGGTGTAATTGAAATTAACACTATTAACTCAGTTAACGTATTGATTCTTCATGATCCTTAAACGACTACAACACATTTTGTTATTCAAATGGAATTCTGTTCTTTGTCATACAGTTTCCTTTTGGTCATCATTTAGCATGTTGCAAAAGCCATAACTTTATGTTTTGTACATTTCATGTAGAGTTAACGTTCCTCCCATGGGCGTAACCCGTTTCCTTATATGTTTTTTTTAATTTGCATTTCTTTGTTAAAGACAACATTGAGATATTGTTTGAACGAAATTTAAAATTACTTTTTATCATCATAAATATGTTACGATTGTCTCCTGAGGTAACGTTGAGAAGAATTAAAAGTAAAAACTATCTAAAATAACCCATTAAGGGCCTCAATATCCGGGAATGCGCAGAACAGATTATTCCCCCGCATGAATAGGTCATGGAATATCTAGTAAACATAAGGGCATGTTAGTATATAAAGAACTGAATCAACAATATTTGCCTGAGAGTGGTTTTGTTGTTATTTACTTTGAAATAGAAAGTGTGTGTACGATTCAGACCGGATGATCTTTTAATCGAAGCAAAAAATAAAGCCTTATTTGATAGGAATAGATTTTGTCCGGTAAACTGATTGTCCGGTAAACATGTAGGATCCCAGTAGAGGCTTTCTCATATATGTACATATTTGTTTTAACAAAGGATAAGAAAAAAACATACAAAGAGAGAATTTATTGATGAATGTATTTCAGTACATTTATGATATAAATATTGCTTGATATATAAACTTTAATCATTTATAACAACAACAACAAAAAACGACTAATAAAATGCAATAAATTATTTTTTAAAAGATCCATGTTCAGTGGTGATTTGTGTTGTATACACAATCTTTCCCATGGTATGTGTCTATGTATTTATTATAAAAATGCTTAAAACCGTGAGTGTCTAAAAACTGAGTAACTTCCGCTCTGTAAGCACTGTTGAATAGATCGGGGTCACGTGCCAACACGAATAATGTGGCCTCGACGTTGTCACTAACAACAGCATACTGATACTGGTTATTGTCACCGAAGTTATCTTCTCCTAGTTTAAGTACCCAATCTACAACAGATTAATATATGAATTATGTTAAAGTTATCACACAGCAGGTTGGATACTTGCGTTTTTATGCGCTATTTAAAAATCCTGTGTGTTTTGTGATTGATATTGTTACTGTGTATACCACACTTGCAAAAATTATATATGTACAAATGTTTATAAATTGTGCAAATAAAACAATTTTCAAACATCGAAGAATATGTAAAATGTGTACTGCAAATATTTGTGCACATTATATTTAATCAATATATTACATGCTGAAAATTTGACTTAGAATTTATAGAAAATAAATTTCTAATTACCTCCCTTTATTTATATGAAATGTTAAATTGAGTAATATTTTTAAAAATAATGCTTATTGGAACATACAATTTTGACAAATCTTAATTTGAGCATCATATTTATGAAATAAAACCATGACAAAATTGTGTTACAGGATCTTTAAAAGTATTTATTCTGTTTGGAAAATACATGTTTCCAGATGTTTAAAAAGATTCGAGAAATCAAAGTACTGCAAGTTAGAATGAATCAGCAGTTTTAGTTATTTATAGAAAGATATTCACAACGCAACGTATACGTAACACGTGCAACGTTATAATTACAGTAGAATTTAAGAGTTTATCACTAAATATATCTACCCAGTTTAAGACGGGGATCAGCAGCAAAGACAAATTTAAAACAAAAACGAATGGTAAAAGAATGGTAAAAAGGTATAAAACTTACATGGGGCGGCTATTGGAACATTGTTCAGTACAACAGAGAATTTACCAGGCTCGTTAGAGGCTGTGGCACTACCGTTGATAATTTTTAATGGACCTGAAGCATTGTGAAGTCTCTCGGAGTTGAGAACAGATACCTTGCCATTAGGCAACAGTTCATCTGGAAAATCAAAAAACAAAACAAATATGTTTGTGCTCAGTTAAAATGTATCGGTGACAAATGCAGTTTTGAAAAATGATAAACATGTACATGTATATTGCATTCGTAATTGAAATTAACTCTGATAAAAACAATTGTCCTCGATATAATATAGAAATGATAAAACTGACCCTTTAAACTAATAGTGCATATATGTGAAAAATGATTTTTGTTTTATTCTTCAAAAGCAGCGAAAACCAGAAACAAAATACATGTAGTTAAAATCGCAGACTTGGTTTTATTTACCACGAATCAATGTAAAGTTACTTCTTAATAATTTCAGAGATATAGATACCTATGTCTGATAATTTATAATACTTGATAAAAGATATGACGGAAAATCATAATCCTCCTTATATGAGCCGTGTCACGACAAAAAATCAACATAATGGCTTTGCGACCAGCATGGATCCAGACCAGCCTGTGCATTCGCGCAGTCTGATCAGGATCCATGCTGTTCGCTTACCAACTCTATTACAAGTGGAGAAACTGATAGCGAACAACATGGATCCTGATCCATCCGCGCAGTCTGGTCTGGATCCATGCTGGTCGCAAACGCATTATGTTGGTTTTGTCGTGACGTGGCTCAAATATAATAACTTACAATCAGCGGTCACACAATAAGCGTCTGACTCCCAAAGCGTCACCACAGACTGACTGGCAAACATCTGTATTTGTAAAATCAATAAACTTATTACTGCTAAAAAAAACTTCGAACAACTACACGAAAGGAATAAGCATAAGTTGATCTGAACCTAAATAAGATTGCCAAATAATTATGTTACATAGACCCTCTGTCCGATTCCTTGAGTACATTTTAGCTGAAACAAAAATAAAGTTTTTAGATTTCAACTTTGGAACACAAATAGGACCGTGCTAGTATTTTCGAGAAAGAAAAAAATAATAAAATAAAGAAAAAAAGAATCCCTAAAGAAAGTCCATCACGACAAAATTGAAAATATTGCAGGTTCGGTTTGATTGAGCTTGTTCATTGACGGTTCTGGAAAGTGCAAGTTACCGTCCACGCCCCCTAGCACCGGCTTAAGCAGAAGTCAACATTTAGAACACGAAAATAGCGAAAATTTTAATTAAGAATCAGTTAGCTTCGACTTCTGTGCTACACACTACTTCTCAACAGGGTCTTTTAAAAGACCCTGTTTTCAATGACTTGATAGTTCCAAATAGCTCAACTTTGTCTTATTGTAAAAGATTTAAAAAATAAATAAATAAGATATATGAACACATATATCTTCAATTAAACTACAAAACTCACCTGGTACCATCGTCCTAAGTACTTGTTTAAGTCTAGTTTCGCCACTGTTGCTGGGGGTGTTATAAAAGTATCTAGAATAAAACAATTAACTGAGAGCGGGAGCGCAAATGCCGCGAAAAATATTTTTAATTGAACCATGATTAACTAGTATTGTCAAACACTTTGTTGTATGAAGCAATGCTTATTTTGATGTTTCTTTTATACATAATTTGAATATCTTATATAAGACATATACTAGAACGTTAAAGGCACTTTATCTCACCTCTCACGGAACAGTTTTGTCTTCAATAACTGATAACTTATAATTAAAAATTTTGATATTGTATGGTGGCGTATTTCAGATAACCTGATAACTTACTGGTTAATTAAGAGGTTAACTAGTTACGTAACTAGTTAACCTGATAACCAACTAGTTAATTATGAGGTTAACTAGTTACGTAACTAGTTAACCTGATAAATAACTAGTTAATTAAGAGGTTAACTAGTTACGTAACTAGTTAACCATATAACTAACTAGTTAATTACGAGGTTAACTAGTTACGTAACTAGTTAACCTGATAGCTAACTAGTTAGTTATATGGTTATCTGGTGGCAGAAATATGCCACCATAATATTGCTTACAGAAATTGATATAATTGATCTTTGCAGAGCCTTAATGTGTGTTTATGATGTCTGTAATTTAATGAAATCATATAAGTTATAATGTAAAGAAAATTGAAATAAATTTGTGAAGTATTGCTAAAAATCACTTGCATGTTTAGAACGCGTTGCAGTAGAAGACCCTTAAAGAGTCGTATGACAAACTAGTGCAAGTAAAATTCTGCAGGGAGTTATTTTTATTATACTTTTATTCCGCAAGTAAGTGGTTATACAAGGAAAATAACAAATTAACACATATACAGATTTGCATAAATAGGAATCATTATTCAATCCCCAATTGCAACATAGGTAATACCACATTGGATAAGTACAAGATATTATTCTAGAATCAAACGCAGCATGAAATATTAAGTGAAAATAGCATAAACAGAGACCTCAAAAGTATTCATATACTATAAAGTATAGATCGAACAGATGAACATTATTTTGGGTATATCTGCATTTACATATACATTATGCAATTTTATATCTTACCATATATTTAAGATGCTGGTAAAGTTACCACTGATGTCAATTTAGTATTCCCTTTCTAAAAACATGATATTGTGAACATATATGTTGCGGTTAAATGACCCTACCCTACAATTACGATGTCTTTCTAACAAAGTAAATTAAGTTTTGAAAATAATTATTATATGCATATACATATTTTGTTTCAAAGCTAGTGTGATACACCATATAACAATCATATTATGTGTTATTTAGATTAGTTTATTCATTTAGATAAGATGAAACATTATATAGATGTATCATACAAGCTATTAATGTCATAAAAAGGGTGTAAATACGTCATGGACAGACTAAAAAATGAAGCCAAGGTTGTTATGGCGTCAATAATTTTACACCCCGCCCAATACAGCATATTTACTCCCTTGCAGTTAGTGCAATTTCTCTGCACTTGTCTTAGAAGCTGACAAAACGTACAGATAAATTACTTGATGATATATATTATTTGATAAAGATAAATTCGAATATTGCTAACCATTTGTGCCGCGTCACGACAAAACCAACATAATGGGTTTGCGACCAGCATGGATCCAGACCAGCCTGCGCATCCGCGCAGTCTGATCAGGATCCATGCTGTTCGCTATCAGTTTCTCTACTTGTTATAGGGTTTGTAAGCGAACAGCATGGATCCTGATCAGACTGCGCGGATGCGCAGGCTGGTCTGGATCCATGCTGGTCGCAAACCCATTATGTTGGTTTTGTTGTGACGCGGCTCATTTCATTTATAATCAGTTAAACTACCTTTAAAAAATAGCGTTCCACGGTTTTTACAGCATGGCAATTAACGTGACTTGAAGATTTGGAAATAAAACGTGAGTTGTATCAAAAGTTAAGATAAGGACTTTAAACTCGATTAGCGGACCACACACTACAGTCATTATTTTGATAGATAAAAATTAAAAATAGAACTTAATAAAAACTCCTGATGTTAAAATATTTATATATGCTAACATAATCATGATAATGGCCATATCATGGGACCAGAAATGCATTTCGATGATTTAAACTTTCAGGGACTTGATTGAAGCTCCGTAGGTTTCTTTATGTATAATGATAGTGAACTTTATCTGTATAATTGGGTGTTCATGATGTTAGACTGTATAGTTTATGTTGCTTTCGGCGGTGGTGCTCAAAAATCTATAGGTATCTACGAACCAATTCCTATCTATCATGTTGAAATGTAAATGATTTAGAGTAATAATAAGACTATAGCTCGTTCAATTTTAGAAAACTTTTGACACTTGAAAGCTGACGAGTGCAATATTTCGTACCCGATTGCTACGTGCGGGTTGTAAATATAGGGAGTACAGCCGTACCTATCGGAAAACAAAAAGCGCTACCGAAAATATTATCATTATGGAGTTTGTTGTTATTTCTTTAATATTATATTTCTTTATTTTAACACTGCACAAGGAACATTTATCACGTTTAATATTCATCTGCTCGTATATTGCTGACGTTTCCATCTTTGTCATATGTGTTGTCTTTATAGGCCTACATCTCCTTGTCTGTTGTATTTTTATTTTCAATTTCATAAAAAAAAAACATTTTTAAAAAATATTTTTCATTCTGTTTCTTCACCACTTTCAACTTCATTTGTATCTATATTAGATATATCTACAATTTTTTGCACTTTTTTGACCGTCACTTTCATACTCAGTTTGTGTATTTTTACTAATACTCTTAGCACAACTATTTCTGCTTCAAAGTTTAGTCTAGACTTGTTCAACTCCTTAATTAACATGCCTTTCATTAAAACAAAACAATTTAATACTCTGCGACTCCTTGTTTAAACACTGAATCTTATTTTTTTTATTAAATACAACTGATCCAGTTTTAAACAGCGTGATATTTTGTGTTAATGTTTTCATTGAATTGAGTTCTACATCGAATGAAAATGATTGGGAAAGTTATCATGAAATGCTAGCGTTGCATGATATTCAACCAAACTCAAACAGAACAATATTTTACTGGCATCAAGACAATGAAATAAAATTAAAGTAAATGATTAATACTGGTCTGGTAATGTTTAATGTGTAAATTCATTATTACTGACATTTTACTTCAAAAAAGAACATTGACAATAGCGTCAATACATCGTGTTTCTTTTTTGCATTTTAGATTTCATCAAATTTTATCACTTGACTTACTAGTAACTATGCAAACGAATTGACTGAGCGAGATATGACAGTCTTTTTTATAAAAAAGGTAAAATAATATGGTGTAAGAAAACTGTACCAGCCATAATGAATTAAATATTGCATATGAGGATTCAACAGTTCAGAACTTATTGCATAGATACCAAAATCTCATTTTCCCAAAATATTGGAAATACGCCGATTCTTTTAAGGTGACAATTTCCTGACGATTTCATTTTAGAAATACAATGTATAATTAAAGAATAACTAACAATTTACTATAGTTTTTCACAATTTTATACCTATTGCCACCTAAACCAGTCATTTGGCAATACATTCACCATCATTTCAGTAGGGTTAATTCGATTTACGTATGGTATGGGATTGGACCGAGCAAAATCGTTTTTTAGCGCACAAGTTTCTTTAAAGTTGTAGCATCACAAAATGGCGGGATTTGTGAAATGAAACTAAGTTGGTTAAATCTCTCTAAAAATATTGATGTACTGGCACTTTTTGTGCCGTTAATACCTGAAAATTATACTTTTGAATAACTTATTAGTTTTAATTCGCTTAATTTTCATATTTTCACCTAAATCAATGTTTCACCAAAAACGTTCTGACCCAGAACAAAAATATCCAAGAATCTAACATTCATGGCATAAGAATTCCATGAACGACAGCCTACTGCTCACTGCCTACTGCTAACCGGACAGCCTGCTGCTCACTGCCTACTGCTAACTGCTTATTGACAGTCTAAGTCTATGTATGGATCAAATAGAAGTATTCCGAATGTACACACATGTGCACCCGCCATTTTGTTGAAAAAAATCAGCTGGGAAAACAATGGTAAGTAAATTAAAAAGGATTATTTTATAATTAAGCCTAATAATTTGTAATTTCGAATTTATTGCAATGACTTGTGTATGTCCCACCATTGCACACTGCATTGCTTATGTTATGAAATGGTTCCACGAGCCTCTTGCACAGGTGATTGATAAATTGTCAAATATAGGACTCATTTTAGGGTAAATCAACTTAATAACTTATTTACAAAGAATCTGTGTTCAACAATCAACATGGATGGGCTTGAGCCCACCACTATTCCTCGGTTGAGAGGCGGAGATCTGGACCATTATGTCCCTTATTTTATTTAGAATTTCATGGTTTATTAAACTTTCATTTGTCAATGTAAAACATTTCTAGAAGAATATCTGTAATATACTGATGAAATCACTGGTGAAATTTAGGCTAAACATTCTCTCATAATCAAATATGTGTGAGTTCATTTACGAGATCATTTAGGTTCAGTTTTCATTGGCTGCTAGTTATAGCTTATAAATGTGTAATTCCTTATTAGATGTTATGTAATGCATTTTTGCTCTTGATAGTTTATGTTTCAAAGATATGTGCTTTGAAGGTTTATAATACAATTGTACAATCAATTTTATTCTAGTACAGAGGATGATAAATCTGACAGAAACATTTCAATGGAGGAACAGCCTATACTTTCATTGACTTCACAGGCAAGTAACAGAACCAATACATTGAAATTACAGTGGAAGAGGAAAAGGACTACATAAATGTATTGGTTCTTATAGGCGAGTTTAACTCGGCTTCCTTCTGAAAGCATAAACAAAGACAAACTTGGCTGTATTCAAATTGTTTCAAAAACGTTCAATATTTCAATGACATAAAGAGTGCAAACATAAAGTGATAAATTACAGTTTGGACCAGCTTATTTTACTTTTATGAAAAGCCATCGTTATTCTCTTGTTTATATTAAATTGTGCTATTGAAAAACTCTGAGAAATAATAGATTCTTAACTATTTAAATTTACTTAATAATTTCTGATAGA